TCTCTCCTTTGCTTCGCCACAGCAGCACTTATTAGCACTTTGTCCCCCACACTTATGTGTTCAGTGTTTTTGCGACCATGTTGGTCTGCATATTATTTTTGCTTGTCCTGTGCGCTTGCCATCGCGTCACGGACTTTACGTGTGATGGCTAATCGCTCATCCGCAAAGCGCTGAGATTCGCTCACGCTTTTAGCATCCAGCTCGCCTCCGTATCCACGCAGGCTTAGAAAGACGGGTCGTAGGAAGAACTACAAGTGCTACCAAGTGAAGACGGTCACTTCGATGAAGTTGCCACGTGCCACGAGCTCACACTTCGAGCAGCGTGAGGAAGCAATTAGACCGTCTTCCCTCCGCGTGCGGTGGTGGTGGTGTTGGTCGGCGCCGAAGCGCTGTACCAAACTTTGCCGGTCGCCTTAAGCGAACCGCGCAACGAGCTTTGGAGCAAACATCTATCTACGTCGCGGAAGCTGTTACCAGCCTTCCTGCGCGCAGTGAACGTGATGTAGTATATTCAAAACTGACTTGTATTTAGCAGAAACTTATTAAATAAAAATCTAACTACTGGTTGGATAATTATGAGAAGATTGGATACGCGTCTCTTTAGAATTGTATTCCTACGTGCGAGCTTAAAATATATTTAAGCTCGCTGATGACGTCTGTTTGAAGCGTCACCATGACGCCCAGTCCCAACTGGCGTCATCCTCGTTGAGTGTGAGTTAATTTATGGATATCACATTCACGAGGGTGGGTCTCATTGATGTGCCTAGAGGTGGTACCCAGACTCAGACTCAGTAGGCAATTACCCATACCCAGACTCATGGGTTGGGTATGGGTAATTGGCTTTAATTAACCACCTTACCCATGATTACCCATGGGTAAATGTACCAAATTTTTAAGGCATACATCAGACACACATGCTCGTATTATTTATATAATTGTTAAATGTATTGGTGACTCATTACGCCTTTTTTGGTGAAAGTCTACCGCACATATGATGCAAAGCAACTGGAGCCGGTGGCGCAGGCCATGCTAAGCAAACTCAAGAAATATATATCAAGCTGGCGTTTAAACAGGATGCAAACTTCTTTGCAACGGTGTTAGATCCAAGATGGAATATCAGCTGGTTCAAAAACCTCGACGAAGGGCCAAAGCAATTTTGGGCTCTTGACCATAGCCCAGAAGCAATTGTTGTAATTTACACTTGTGTCACACGATACAATTTCGGAACTGTCGTTCATTTTTACCATACAATACAAGCCTTACTGTCCTAACATACATCTCTTCAAGACGTATGCCAGTTGGCAAGTACAACCTGGGACTCTGCGTCAGCACGACTCCCCTCTCATACCGTCACCATGAAGCACACCAACTGCCATTCACATGCCTTGCCATCCACTGCCAACTGCCAGCAACTTCCACTGTTCTTCAACTTATTCCAACAATTGATTTGCTTTTTGTGGATGTAGCATACATTAATAAAAAGTCATTAGAATATTTCCTGCTTTCGCCACCTGTCAACATTGGTAACGACAAGAGCGATGACGACATGGAGCCAGACGTCTTCGCATTTGCTGAAGGCATAATTTTACAGACCGTAGTGAGCAAAGTCGAGGAAAAAGCTCAAACTTATTATGCTCTTTCGCCTGTTCACATACACTAGTTGCCATTGGAGTGGTGAGCACTGCATCAGCTGCAATTCTCCACACTTGCAAGGATGGCATGATTTTATCTGGCCATCCCCGCGTCTTCAACTCCGTCTGAGAAAGGTTTCTCTCAAGGTAGAAGGAATTACCGGTAGAACAGAACTTCGCTTTCCCTTAAAAGCTTGGAGAGGCTTTTGTGCCTCAAGGATTGGATAAGGACACAGGGTCAATTTTTTTTTGTCGGCAAGGGACTAGTTTTTTTCCTTTGTCAGCTCGCTTGAACTTCCCACGTGGGAGACGTAGAGTGTGTACTTTTATTACCAATTTTCATAATGCTTTTTCTCCCTTCCATATTGTTTAATAGTTTGCAACTCTGCATGTTTATTGCGCGGGTAACATGGGTAATAACCCGCGGGTATGAGTTCGAGTCGTGGGTTATAAAATTTGAATGAGTCTGAGTCGTGGGTAAACGCAATTACCCAACCCAGACTCATGGGTACCACCTCTAGATGTGCCTCACCTAAGTGAAAGGTCTTAAATGCCACGTACCCTTTAGACCTCCCCGTTAAGTATCATATACTTAACGGACTCGTGTAACTATTGGTCCGTTACAGTTAAGCATCTTTCAGGTCAAATAATCCTTTTATATGGTTCCTAGTGAGTCTTGAATGCATCATTTGTTTTTGTTAGGAGTCTAAAAGGGCGATCAAGAGGCTCTAGTCAACGAATTATATGATTCATGATACGTGCATCTGAATATTGCGTGATTAAGATTATAATTCATAAATCATGTAATGAATTAGATTTATGAATAGGAGGCCTACTCACGACGCTAGCTTCCGATGCCGAGAGAAGTTTCGGGTCAGATCTTTTCAGCCGACGAACACTACTGATACGGAAGCTGCAAGGCGTAGTGCAAACAAATACAGAATAGCTGATGCTATCTCTACGAAAGGGATTTAAGCAGACTGCATGGTCTCATATATGCAAGACGACAACGGTAGCTGCAGTGACGGACCCCTGCGCCAAGCTTTTACGCTGCTTGGTAGCGTTTCTGTCAGTCGTTTTTTACATATGAAACTGATATTCGTCAGGATATTTGGTCCAGCAGAAAAAGATATGATCTTTTTTAGGTAACCATACAAACGCCTATATGCGTCGACAAAATGTTTGAGCAGAAGATCATAGCAAATAAGTATATCTTGTGATTCCGTCTCCCCTCATTCGCCTCCTCGTTGGCTTGTGGTAAAGTCGCTTAAAAGACAGTCACTACTGGCTGCAGTCGACTAATTCGTGCGTCTCTACTAAAAATGCAACACTCGCAGAGCGATGTGGCGCTGGGTACCAACGGTAGTTGGGCCGACCTCAAAATCGCTGAGGGACTCAAGAAGCGCAGCAATACGGCGCAAAACCTCCAGTTCTATGGTACGACTGACCTCACTTTATAGCAATAAAATCTCGTATCCTATCCCCGTTGTTACTCGATGGTTGTGTCGTCCAGTGTCTCTTACTCTCTTTACATCTTTAATCTGTTACGTGCGACAAAAGTCGAGGAGCAGAAACGTCTGTATCAAGAGTTGCCCTTTTCGGTCCTTCCGGGTATGCGAAGGCAATCATTCCAACGTGAGCGCAGCTTTTCCAACCTCAAGTCACGCAGTTCCTGGGGATCTTTTACCAACCTTGTGGCCAGAGGAGAAGACCAACCGCTGCTAGGAGGCGATGACGAGTTTCCGGAACCAGGCTACACGATCCCGTTGCTACTGAGCTGCGGCGTAGCGCTTATGAGCGCCTTTCAGTTCGGCTATAACACGGGCGTAACAGGAGGTATCAACTCTGACATTATCTTTCCAGGTCACTCTGACATGCAGTGGGCCATCTGCGTATCTATCTTCGCCATTGGGGGTCCTATTGGATCACTCACTGCGGGTCAAATGAGTTCAGCACTGGGCCGCAAGAAGGCACTTCTAGTGGACTCTTTCCTTTTCATTATTGCCGGCCTCATAATGGCTTTTTCCGTCAACATCTACGCACTAATTTTTGGTCGTTTCCTGGTGGGTTTCGCCTCAGGAACTGTGAGTGTTGTTGTGCCGCTTTATCTTGGTGAGCTCGCACCACCTAATCTGCGTGGTGCTTTGGGTACAGGGTACCAGCTCTTTATGGTCATCGGTATTTTGGCTGCTGATCTGTTGGCGTTTAGCTTCTCTGGAGAAAGTCACGGTTTCTCCGACCCTGGTTGGCGTTTGTTGTTCGGTTTTACGGTCATTCCCGGGATCCTACAGCTGACCTTAGCTTCTTTGCTGACAGAAAGTCCGCGTTGGCTGCTGACCAAGAACAGACCCAAGGAGGCAGCGGATATATTACGTAAACTTCGTGGCTCCAATGATGTGTACGAGGAAATCGATAGCATTTGCTCAGCAAGTGACAATGAATCGGGTGCCAACACAGGCATCTGGGACGTGCTCACCGATCGTAGTATTCGATTCCCGCTTGTAGCAGCTGTGGTGCTGCAAATTGCGCAGCAGTTTAGCGGTATCAATGCCGTTATGTTCTATGCCAGCTCTTTCTTCAAGAATGTGGGTTTGAAGGACCCTTTAGTAGGCGCCACGCTGGTGTATACGGTAAACGTTATATCGACGGGTGTTGCGCTAGTACTCATGGACACGGCCGGTCGCCGACCGTTGCTGATCTTTTCTACAAGTGGCATGATTGTATCCAGTGTTGTGCTGACGCTGGGCCTGATGAATGCGCTTCCGTTTGCAAGTATGATTAGCGTGGGCGGCGTCATGTGCTATGTTTGGTTCTTTGAGATCGGTTTGGGTCCTATTCCGTGGCTGATTGTGGCGGAGATGTTTCCTTCTAAGCCACGACCGACTGCCATGAGCATTGCTACCATGGTAAATTGGTCTTGCAGTTTTGTGGTTGGGCTTATGTTCCCTACCTTGCAAAGCAAGCTGGGCGAGTACACGTTTGTGCCATTCGGTATTTCGCTATGCATGGCACTTGCTTTCACACTGAAGTACGTGCCTGAGACAAAGGGTAAGACCATTGAGGAGATCCAGGCTGAGCTTAATCTGAAGCAGCAGCAGTGAATGGTGGATAAGGATAAATTGGCTACAGCACAAAGTCTAGAAAGCCAAGAATGCGCTGAGCGTTTAGTCACTTCAAAAAGAAGTAATAACACTTGCGAATTGCGTTTGCGTTAGTTAATGGGCTTGCAGCTGATGATCGTAATCAAAAGGACCCGTCCCTGACTGTAGTCCCTTTCTTCTACCTTCTTTGTCGTCCTTTATGATGTTTCTCCTCTAGAGGCTTGTAAACTTGCAGTTGGTCTTCATTCCGAAAAAACTTCTACGCGCTGCTTCGCACGGCGGTGCATATTGTTTTGTGAGAAGTATGAAACAATGTTCGTACAACAAGGTTACGTTCATGAACGAAAAATACCACTGCTTTAATTGTTATCTCTAAATCTTGCGACGCTTCTTCGCATCGTGCTTAAGTATCTTCTTTACAACACGGTTCTTCTGGGACTGCACTTGGCGAGCCGAAACGAGAACCTTCGATTGCACAGACTTGCTCTTTTTGATCATCATAAAGTGCTTCAGGCGTTTCTTTTCCGTGTTTGTAGTTCCACCACCTGAACGCTTGTGCTTGTAGTCTTCGCGACCTTCGAGGACAGCTCGAAGTCGTTCCTCCTGCGTCAAACGCTTCTTCTTCGAGTAACCTTCAAGATCGGTCGGGTTAACTTTTGTAGCATTTGAGCTTGCCTTGGCAGCATCTTCCTCTGCCTTGCGCTTGCTACGCGACTTCGGGTCCTTCAAAGCCGCATCGCGCTCTTTTTTCAACATCTCGATGCGTTCAAAATCGAGGGGAGTCAGGATTCGACGAGCGTCTAAGCGATCCGTTTGCGAAACTGCCAATACCTCCTCAGTTTTTTCCGTGTCAACATCCTTCTTCTTACTCTCCACTTCACTTCCACGCGTGTTGTCTTCCTCATCAGACGAAACGTCCACCCACTCATCTTCAGACCCGTCTTCGTCCGATGTAGATGAAGCAACCTCCCATCCATCCTTGTTGTCTTCGCCGTCAAAGCGTCCAGCAGCTTCGGCTTCCGCCAACAAATCCGCACCGTCTACGCCTTCGCTTGCTACAAGTTCACCGAAGCGGTGAGGCTTAACTGCATCGTTGTGATACTTGCCGCGGTTCTTGCGCTTAAGTAGAACGGGATGTATATCCCGAATAAGATTAAGCACTCCACGAGCTGCCATGACAATAGTTTTGTCGCGCGCGCGGTTGTACTGAATCAAATCGCTCACTAGCACGTCCATCCCGTCGCATTCCAGCAACAACGGAATACGACGAAAAAGCTCACGCAAAGAATTGATGCCGACGGCTATGACTTCGGACGAGCAGCGTTCGGTGACAAAGTTGTGCGCAATACTCTTGACAACTGGCAGAAGTTCCTCGGGCGGAATTTCGTCGTGGCAAGATTGCACCAGGTATGCTAGGATAGCAGTCACATTCTGCTGATGAGACTGCAGATAGCGCTGCAAAAGTGGGTAGAAAGGAAGCACCACAAGTTTGTGAAAGCCCAGAACACGGCCAATAAAATTCATCATCAGCAGCTTCACTTCAAAGCGTTCCGTGCAGCTCCTAAGTAGCTTCAGCTGGCGTTCAACGACGCCCTGTGGATCATTTAGCAACTCTATTGCAGGGAACGTAGCCACAAAGTCGATTGCACGTTTGCGTGCCCTCTTGTTTTTGTAAAGTGCTTGCAAAGTATCACGCTGACGCTTCTTCGTTTTCTTCGAGTACGCGTGAAAATCAACTGCTACAAGAGCTTTTTTCTCTTTCTTTTGCTGTTCCTCATCCTCCAGAATATCATCGTCAATTCCCAAAAAGAAACTCAGCGACATCACCAGAAGTTTCGTGTTCTTGCTTGTGCACGCCGTGGCGATCACATTCACGCTACGTTGATCGTGCCAGATCTTGCGCTTGAACAGCTCCATCAGCACCTGCAGTGACTTAATGGCAGCGTGCTCACTTTCGTCCTGAAGCATCTCAAACAGAAAGTTTTGCAGAGCCTTATTTACTTTTAAATTGCGCGATGTGGCGTTCAACTGGCGAATGTCCGACACAATGTGCTTGTACAAAAGCTCACGCAGCCTCTTATCTGGGCAGCGAAACAACTCAAAGAATAGCTTGAGCAACGTGATAGCGTCCACAAGGCCACGGTTGCGCAAAAGCATGAGACTCTGCACCAGCGTCTTGCGAAGCTCTGGTTCCAGCACCAGATAATTGTCACGTAGCAGTCCCATGATTTGATCAGGGAAGGCCACCATCTCCACCGGGTAGCACTTTGCCACATGACTCAGGAAACTAACCAGCGCTCCAAAATGCGCCGACTCCTTTGTGGGCTGTAGTAGAAATAGCTGATACTCGCTCTCGAAATGGCGCTGCTGCATTTGAAACTCAGTGCGATAGCCTATCGGGTCGCGTTTCACCATGTTCTGCAGCTGCGGCAGCTTGCCAATCACATCCGGTCTGGACGCGTTGAGCACTTCCATGATTACGTACGTGACAAAAAGACGATTGCGTCTAATCCCAGAGTTAACAAAAAGTAATGCTTCGGTAGTTTAAGGATGTCGTCGGCACCTCCACCCATTCGTTTCGCGTAATTACCTCGCATAAGTGACATTCGGACACTTGAAAGAGTGACTAAAAATGAACAAGCAAGAGCACGAAGCCTCGTTTCGTCTGCAAGAGCCACGGAGCGATGTCTGCGTTCGTGTTGTGCAGAATACGACCCAAGTAGATGGATTGGGTGGTGAAGTATGGGCTGGTGCTCTTGTACTTTGTGAGTTCCTGGAAGCGCACGATCAGGATGTGGTGCTGGGACGTGACTTGATTGAGTTGGGTGCTGGCTGTGGGCTTTGTGGACTCGTGGCTGCCTCACTTGGTGCCAAATCGGTTGTCTTGACGGACGAATATCCAGACTTGCTGGAAAGAAACACTTCCAAGAACTCTCATCTCTGGGCTGAAACTGAAACTGACAGTGTTTTGCCAATTGTCTCGAGCGGTGAGCTGGAGTGGGGTGTCACCAAGTCCATCACACCGTTTGCCCACAAGTTCGACACTATGATAGGCAGTGAGATAACACAACTGGGTCGAGATTTACATGTACCATTGCTTGAAACTATTCGCTTTGTCCTACGCCCTCGAATCATCTCCCTCGCGCTGCTCTCAATGGATCTATGCCGTGCTACCTGTGAAGGAAAATGCGACGTGAACAAGTGCACTGCCTCGCACTTTGTAGCCACAGCAAAGCAGACAGGTTTTACGGTATCCAAACGTTTATCGGTACGTTTGGCGTCTTGCAAGAGAGTGACGACGTTGGTGGGTGCATTAGGTCGACCACTTCATGTCGACAAGGACGACTGGAGTGTTGTCTTTGAGCTGCGTCTTGAATGTGTGAAGGAATAAAATGGCTACCTTTTAGTACGCAAATTCAAACTGCATTTTAGTATGACCGAGCCAGTATCAGAAAAATATTGAGAAAGGAGAAATCTTGTGCCATGCCACCTCTCGTAGTGATCCGGAGCGGCTGCAAGCACGTTGAATACCTGGAGAATCGCAGTGCCTGGCGACGTGTGCCACGACCAGATTGTCCTAGCGACGGCGATAACGAACATGCTGATGACGAAGATGACGAGGAACTGCTGCGTCAGGCAGAAGAAACGTGGGCTTGCGTCAGCAACAACAATTGCGGCAAAGTTTTTGATTTTTCACGTGAGCGATGTGATGTGGAAGGGATGCACACCTTTCGCTGTGCTGACTGCGGCAACGTGGTGGCCGACTACGATGATGTTATCTCCAAGACCTTTTTTGGTCGCACTGGCAAGGCTTTTCTCATGAATAACATGTAGGCGTGAGAAAGATGATGGACTACACTTCAGTACTAAATACCAGCTGTGTGTCGCACAGGTACAATGTCCGTGTTGGTCCCGCTCGCAATCGCTTCCTGATGACTGGAATCCACTCCATCGCTGACGTGTTGTGTAGTCAATGTGACTTGGTGTTGGGTTGGAAATACGTAAGTGGAAAACAGATATTTAACGTCGACGAGTACTAACTCTCATGATATACTCACAGCTGAAAGCCATGGAGAGCTCCCAGAAATACAAAGAGGGCAAGTTTATTCTGGAGCATGCAGTTATCCAGGATGATTCAGAAGAGCAGACCTGGAATCGGTTCTAGACCATTGTCGAACTTGTAAACACTTGATTGACCTTGCAATCGATATTTGTATGTGTAGCGTAAACAATGATAACGAGCACGTCGAGTGTGAACGGACAAGACAAAACTTACCATTGTGCACGGGAAATTTGGCACGCACGAGAAAGCAAATACTATAACTTATATGTCAGTCATACATCGTTCCTCTCTGCATGACCAGTGAAGATACCAAATCCCAGTAGCCTGGCATAATATCACTTTGATCTTCACTGCTGCTAGGTATCTTCGTGCATGTTTCTACGCATGTCGATTGCTCTACTGCCCCGGTGGGCCACGCATACCAGGCGGTGGACCCGGGGGCCCACGCATTCCCGGTGGATGCATCACTCCTGGCGGTGGTCCCATTCCCATTCCGGGGGGCGGGCCCATACCCGGAGGTGGCATTCCCATGCCTGGCATGGGTCTAGGTGGTGGCATCAAGCCACTGGGAGGTCCAGGCATGCCGCGACCTCGGCCATAAGCCTGCGGCTGTGCCATCGCCGCCACTACAAACAAAGCAGCACACACATCAGAAATGCAGAAGTTAGCCTCGCCTTGTCACTTCACAGCGTGAGGAACTGGGACGGCTGTGTTGCTATGGGGCAGGCTCCATCATACTAAGATCGTAGGCAGTAGTTTCCTATGTTGGTGCTCAGCCAGGTTCGGAGAAAAAAGCCGTACACCCGATCACTTATCTGTTCGTGTGATCATTTGGAGCCAGCCACATGTCAACCCGTCCGGGCATAAAGCTAATATGAATGATATCTATATACATACCTTGTCCTGGCTGCATCATTCCTGGTGCAAGACCACCAATTCCACGCATAGGGGCCATTAGTCCCATGGGTGGACCACCCATCAATGCCGCTGGGATACCACGTCCTGCCGCACGCGCCATACCTGGACCATTCGGTCCAACAGTCTCGTTCTCCTTGGCAAGAGGCGGACCCTCTACCGTAAGTGACACGACGCTCTCACCACGTAACAACACGAGCCCCAAATGACGCTTCTCCACACGCTCCTCTGACACTGCTGACTTGATTTTGGCCTTAAGTGTGCGAAACTCCTCGCAGTCGCCCAGCACCAGGTTCATGTGCTTATCAAAGGCCATAAAGTAGCCAATGAGCACACGTGAGTCCTGTAATGTCACCTTCATGCGGTAGTTAATGTAATTAAGCATCTTGCTGCTCTTGGTCATTACCATCTTTGCCACTGTGTATCGGTCTATAGATTAACCAAGTCAGCACCAGAGTCGAAGTGAAGTAATAGATACCGCCACTCGATCTTAAACCTTTTAATTTGCATCATGTAGTCGTTGTCATAGGTTTATCCAATATCAATACACATACTTTTGCATTGCCATATTAGAACGTTTGTAAGAATGTCAGACGCATTCCCGGCAGCAGGAACTTGTGCGGAGCTGCTTTTGGCTGATAAAAAAGACGCCGTGTATGAAAATGAGCTCAAAAATTTACTACGTGATGTGTTGGAGCGCGGCTGCGGGGCACATTTGTTGTCGCAGCTGCTACCGGAGCTGTCGGCCTTGTCCTCTTTGCTCTACTACGCAATGTCTGTCGGTGTGCAGCAGCCTGGTCAGACGCTAGGGGAAGAGTTCTGCGACATCATTCGCGTGACCAAGTCTGGATATGAGCCCGTGGGGCCTGTCCAGCTTTGGCGCCATTTACTATGGCTCGCTTGTGGTGTGATGCCCGAGTACCTAGTCGCGCGGTCGCAGAGCGGTTGGAAAAACTTGGGCCTGCTTACGCGTACGCCACGAGAGCGCATGGAGCAGCAAATGAGGCTTCGACAAGAAGCTGCAGAAGCAGTTACAGAGGTTTCTGATGGTGTGCAGCCGCCTGTGAAAAGTAAATTGGCAAGGATCAAACCACTACGATTGCTTTATCAAGTTGATCGTGTCGTGTATAAACTGAAGTCAATGCGTACGTGGCTTGAAAATGAATGTTTTTCGGCATCGTATCAGTTTAATTTGGATTGGGTACTGCAATGGGGAGCCCACGCGCACCTTGCAGCTTTTTACGTGTTCGCACGGTACTTGCACGTGGCGAAGCGAGTAGCCAATATCCAATATGTTTTTGTACGGAAGGACTTGATGTCTGGTATGAACCTGTCTTTTCTTGGCTATTTAATGTCGCTGCGGCTGTTTACCACGGCGATACTTGAGCTGAAGCGGCTTTACGGACACTACAAGCAGGATAAGAAGCGGCAGCAGGAGGCAAGGGCAGTTGCCGGAGTTTCTGCAACTTCGTTTGGTTTTTCAGAGAGAGTGCCTTCGTCGCTTTCATTCCCAACTGTGAGCAAGGCGTTTTCTCAGCAACAACCCGAACGTGAGCGTAGTGTTCCTCGGCAATCTCGTCGTAAATGTGCTCTTTGTCTGGGTGAACGTATTTTTCCTGCCGCTACCCCCTGTGGTCACATATTTTGCTGGAAGTGCATCGTAGGCTGGTGCCAAAAGAACAAAGCTGAATGCCCGCTTTGTCGTCAAGAGACGCACCCTCAGCAGATCAAGTGCGTGTATAACTACATTTGACCGAGTTACAATGTATATTAATTTCCGGTTATGCTAGTAGTCTCGATTAGCGTTTCCGGTGACGTTTGTTCTTCTTGTCCATGGACTTAGTAGTCGTTCGTTTTCCCTTTTCTCCCGTCTGCACTTGTGCTTCCGTGCTTTCCTGATCTCCCTTCGCGGTCTCTACTGCGTCAGCGTACATTTGGTCGCTGCTTAGCGCACTGTGAATGAAACGTTTGGAAGCACTCTTGTCCAGAACCAATTTGGGACCCTTTGCCAGCTCTTCTGCGTCCTTGATCTTCTTTATAAAAGCCTTTACACGCTCCTGAATGCAAATACAGATGCCATTGTTAGCAGCTTTACAAAGTTACTTGAACGGTGTGACATAGACAGTCGTACCAACTCCTGCTTCACGTGCGTCTGTCGGATGTCCTTCGGAGAAACTCCCTGAGTCTTTAAAAATACAAACAACAATGCGTTGATAGTGTACGCTAGCAGTGTTGTACACGCATAAAGACCAAGTCAATCGATTGTCAACGCACGACCCGATGCCCAGCAGGTTTAGTACACGTACCTAGCGAAACCTGCACTTTTGCACGCTCCAGAGGACTAAGTGGGGCCACAAATTCTTCCAAGGAGGTCTGCTTAAGAAGAGATAGATGTTCCTCCACTGCTGCCAGCGTCTGCTCCACGTTACCAAAGGCTTCCACCGATTGCTCGCTCATTGTTTAAAAAAATATTGATTGGAAGACGACAACTAGAAAATATGAATATTATGCTAAAAAGCTTCAAATATTTCTAAATTGTACAGAAATGGCATACCGGAACCTTTACTTCGAGGTGAAAGTGGATGTGCCTTTGTGGATAACATGGTGACGACCGCATTTAACATTTTGTAGCTCAGCCACTTTTGTTTTACCAAGCTAGATACTTTAGATGCACTTGTTACTACAACACAAAGCCGCTGCTAGGTCCATCAGCGTCAGTGTCGGTATTACTGCTGCCATTGACGTCTTCAACACCATTATTATCACTACGAGGGCTCGTGTCTTTCTTGCTTCTTTTCAAAACCACATCGACGGCATGCGAAGCGGCTGACGTTGGCGCCTGACCGTGTGGATTTCTAGCCTGCAATGTATCAATCAGGGTCTTCTGTACGTCAATCATTTCGCCCATCTTACCAACAAGCTCCTGAAACCGTTGGTCCATCAGTGCAATGAACTGCAATAGTAGCACGCTCGTTGGATCTACGGTTTCAACGGAGGCCTCCACCGCCGATGCTGAGCGCTTTCTGCCGCTAGTATGATCACCTGACAATGGAACATTTCCGGACATTGGGAGGTAATGAAGAGGATGGGCACTAATGTTGGCAGTATTTTCTTCACTCTTGGTAGTGGACGATTCTGCTTGCGATGTCAACTCAACTTGCTGGCTCTGTATCGAAGTTTCTTGCTTTGCTTGAGACGTCTGAGCGTTTTCACGTAATGACTCAGTAGCTGAGCTCGCGCTCACGACGCAGGAGGGTTTTCTACCAGCCATCAACATGACCGACGGCGTCGCGGGTACTGCAGTAACAAGTTCGTGCTTCACAGAGCTACGAGCGTTCTCCTCTCTAGCCACTTCGTACTGCCGCCGATGCTTTACCGAGTAGACCTCGCCATCTTTTAAGTGCATCCTTGTGAAGTGCATCTTGAATTTCTGCGTGCGCATGGGCTTGTTGCAGTTCGGGAACGTGCAAATGATGCCATTCTTGTGCTTGTTGCCCACCATTGAGGGATACGCGAGCTTGGGTACCCTCTAGGTTTTATAAGGTTACGCTTGAGACCTCGAATATTTTATGTGATTTATTAAATTGCCAAAAACTACAGCTTCCTCTATAAGAGCATTTTTTCTACTAAATTATAAGAAGGAGCTAACAGCGAGACCGAGTTTTGTGCTTAAATTTGTTGTTTTTAACTAATCAATTTCGATAAGTTTTTTAGTGCCGAAATCGGTTTAATATACGTTAAAAACGAAATTATGGGTATAACTAAAACCATTTGGTCATGCACTAACGTCAACCATGATAGCTACGATACGATTGAGGATGCTGCTCGCGCTGCTACTAATAGCGTTGCTGCAGATACACACTGTCGCTAGGAGCATAAAGTCAACCCTGGGCTTTATTGACAATAAGCGCGTTGTGGAGCTAGACCCAAGCGTGCAGCACGTTCCGTTGGACCCAGCGAAGGCACATCTGCGGCCACCTCCACCCCAAATTCCCTCGTCGTTCGACATCTTTGTGGGTCTTTCTGTCTTCCGCGATGGCTTTCGCTGTGGTAAAACCATTTTCACGGGCATTAAGCGGGCCAAGTACCCAGAAAGGCTCTTCTTTGGCGTCGTAGACCAGGTGAACACTGGCGACGAGCGTTGTCTTGACGAATATTGCAAGATGGCGGAAGCGGAGTGGCCTGACAAGGGACTTTGTCCCTACAAAGATCACATTCGTGTTGATTTACGCTCGGCCTTTGAGTCGCGGGGTCCCACGCTCGCGCGCCATCAGCAACAGAAGCTGTTGAAGCAAGAAGAGTTTTGTTTGCAGCTCGATGGCCACAGCATCTTTACAAATCTCTGGGATGAGAACCTATTGGCCGACTGGAAGCAAGCGGACAATGAGATGGCCGTGTTATCCACGTACTTGCACCACATGCATGACTTTGTTCTGGAGAACGGTGACAACGCGATCAACGCAGAGTTGCCCCATCTGTGCTCGACCATTCGCGACAGGAACGACATAATCCGCAATGACGGTGCCAGTTTGATCCGTGACTCCAAGTATCCGCAGCTGCAGGCGCTCTGGGCTGCCGGTCTGTCGTTTAGCAAGTGCCACGCTGAACGTCGTGTGCTGGTGGACTCGCACACGCTCTGGATGTTTGATGGCGAGGAGTTTTTGCGCGCGTCTCGCTTGTGGACGAATGGTTACGATATATACTCTCCTAGTGAAATGGGCTCCGTGATCTACCATAACTACACAAGGCCGTCTGTCACCTATGACCGCATGAAGGTGGATCCGCGGGTAAAGGCGCGCGAGAAGGAAATGGGAAAACACCGTTTCTATCACATCGTTGGCAAACCTGTCAAGGGCATGATTGACACGTACGAACTGGACAAGTACGGATTCGGCTCTGTGCGTTCGTTTAAGACATATCTCAACTTTTCTGGTGTGACTTTCCAGGAAGGTGTGAAGGATAAAGATTCATGTAAGCAACTTCACTGGGTACCTTATGAGAATGCAACAGAGATTGAAGCTCTGATGGAAAATGGCTGGAAGTTGCAGGGGCTTGCTGCAGATGTCCGCGCTGAAAAAAGTGCGAATTTCAGCGACGATGAGGGGTTAGCAAGGTCGAAGGCGCGGCTGCGGCAGGAACTTGTGGACACTGGTACAGCGAAGGGTCCCTCCGCTACACCAGTATGGCTCTTCATGTTTGTAGTTGTCGCTGTTCTTTTCGTGACTCTATCGAATGACAGCGTATACCGATCGATCCAACTTACTTTCTACGCCCGTTGGCCGCGCAAAAACAGCTCCAAAGAGTAATGGGGCACATTGATCATAGAAGACGTGTTCCGCATTGACATGCAAAAAAAAGTCTTGCTCACACTTCAAGACCTGTCTACTTAAGCTGTTCGAGCAACGAGGTTAGAGACTGTTTCGCGTTGGTGTTGAGCACGTCATCGTCGGTTTCTTGAATGCGCTGTAAAGCTGAAAGAGCACCGTTAGAGCGGCACCAGGCCACGTTTTTCTCGTTGTTTACTACAACACTCTCCAACGCAAGTAGCGCATTAGTCTGAAGCGATTCCAATACCGCACTCTCAATGTGTTGGACCAGCATTCCCAGTCCGCCGGCTTCAGCCACGAGTGACTGGCTGGCTGCATTGAGATGAACGCCATGGTGTACAGCCCAGGCAGCGTTGCTGTTAACATCTTCAGAGAATACTGGTGACAGCAACAGCACAAGAGTCGGCAACGCGCCATTCTCGCGAATCAAATCCTGTATGTCGATGTCCCACCCAGAGACAATATTACCCAGAGCAAAAGTAGCTGCCCCGCGCAGCGGATCGCTGTACTCGTCTTCAAGCAGCTCGCATATGCGCTGCACGCCGTCTTGCTCGATGATCTGGTGTCGGCCTTGGGCGCAGCTAGCAATGTTAGCTATGCAAGTCAAGGCTGCACGCTTGATGGCTTCGTGTGGGCTCGCAAGTACGCTCAAAACTGCGCGCACAACCTTTGAAGAAGAAACGACGTCCGCAGCCGTCGGTTCCAGCGCCACGTTGCCCAATATGAGACACGCAGCTGCCTGTAGTCGAGGGTCCGTTTGCGTCACAAACGGGATCAAAATCTCCAATGCGTCCAGTCGAACAAGCTCTTGAGTCACGAGAGACTCCGTTGACAAGCGAATGAGCGCCAGGAAAGCCGGCACCAGTAGATCAGATGACACAATGGTGTCACTATCTTGAAGAAAGCTTAACAAAGTCTCCAGCGTGTTACTGTCGACAATCTCCAAAACATGTCGCTCCTTGACCGCCCTGTCCATAGACGAGCTTAGTTCAATTGCATTCATGGCCGCTACACGGTCATCGGTAGAGGTTTTCTTGGCTTTAAGTGTGGTCGCCAGATCAAAGATGCTGCCAGATGACGTTGCGAAGCTCTGGAAAGTTGTGAGTGATAAGGGAAGACATTGAACTACCAAAGGACGAGTACGTATTGTTGCTGTAGTAAGTGGCGCAACAGTAAGCGCACCCCAGCGTCGCACGGAACCGACCACTTGCCTCAGTAGCATTTGAGAATTATGTAAATGTGTGTGCTATTAAAGTTTGTCACTAAGTCGTCACTAAAGCGAAACAATTCGACTAATACGTAGCTATAGTAAAATGGGCAAGAATCGGCACAGTAAAGACCGATTGTTCATTACGCAGACCGAGCACAAGTATCTCTACGGTGGTAAAAAGCAGGAGATCCGTCGAGCTTACAAACGTATGCAGTGTAGATTTTCTTTTCTTGTCTTCTTTTGTTGTTTGTGATACTAGCTCTGGTGATGGTGCTGTGTCATTTAGGTCTTCCATTCAACTGCTGTGCTATCACTCTCTGTCCCTTCACGGTACGACCAGAAGATCATCACTGTCTTGTACTATTTTATTGTGCATAATTCATTGCATAATATGATTTTAGAATCCGGTATGCACACACGAGGGTCACTTGTTTGATTTGGAAGCTGTCGTACCTTACGTGAAAGAGCATCAGATCGTACGTCTTGCAATTGATGATATTGGCGCAGATGTTTTACCAACTATTGACATTGTTGCTTTGCAGAATCCTGTGACGGGAAAGCCTCTTCTTTTGAAGGAACTTATCCAGTTGCACTTTAGCAAGAATTCACAAGGGGAGTATTTCTGCCCCGTCACTTACAAGGTCTTCACAGACAATACCAAGATTGCCGCAATTGCGACTACAGGCAACGTTTTCTGCCACGAAGCAGTTGAAGAGCTTAACATCAAGCCTAAGAATTGGACGGTACCAATCTGCGGCTGTATAATGTATAGGTTTACATGGATGCTAACAATAGCTTCTCTCTGGATTTATGCCAGGATCTTATATCTGGTGTAAAGTTTAAGCGCAAAGACATCATCATTCTGCAGGATCCGCAAGATTTGTCCACTCGCGAAATAGAGAATTTTGAGCATTTACGACGCGCAAAAGCGTGCGACCACGTACGTACAAGGAAATGTTGCGTTCATTACACTGTTTGGTAATGAAAAGTATGCTATATGGTGTAGAATGTCTCTGTAACAGCTGCAGCTCGAAATATTCGTACAAACGCTGCCACAGATCGCATTCTTGAAGAGGTAAGGGGCTGGAGCGAGTTGATATGCTCGGTAACAATGGCCGGAGATAGCTCACACGATTTTGTGTATATGGTAGCTGGACGCTAAGCGAGCGGCGCAAAAGGAGCTAGCAAAAAAGATTTTGAGCAAAGCTGATGGCGTGAGCGAAAAGGATAGAATTGTTGCTTCGTTGACCCACCGCAATTTGTCACAAAAATATGCTGTGTCAAAGAAGATGGCAGGATCAAGCAAGTTGCAATACTCACAATTTACTTCAGGAGAATGCTCAAGCTCGTTTACGTCTAGTGTGAGATCTCCCGTAACGAGCAATGCGATGGCGCTAGCCTCTGAACAGGAGCTTCTTGAGCGGAGGTGGCAGGCTGTGCGAAAGCTGAAGAAGAAAGGCCTTGTGAGACTTGAGACCACCCTTGGCAACATTAATGTGGAGGTGGATTGCGATATCGTTCCGCAGACGGCAGATAACTTTTTGACCTTGTGTCAGAACAAGTATTACGACGGTACCTTGTTTCACCGTGTCATCAAAGGATTCATGATGCAAGGAGGAGATCCAACAGGAACAGGTCGAGGTGGCGAATCCATTTGGAAGAACCCATTCCGTGATGAAATCGACAGCCGACTGGTAAGGAGATGTAATTAGCTTTCAAGTATGCCATATCATTGCCTAAACCTTACCTGTGACGGCTTTTGCGTGTCTTCTGCAGTCTCACGACCAACGAGGTGTGCTGAGCATGGCAAACGCTGGACCGGATACGAACAACTCCCAGTTTTTCATTATCTTCAAAGTATGCCCACACTTGGATAAAAAGCACGCTGTATTTGGTCGGGTTGTTGGAGGGATGGATGTGCTGGACACCGTTGAACACGTGGAGACTGGTGCAGAAGACCGTCCTATCGAGGATATACGCATTAAGAGTGCTCAAGTTTTTATAAATCCGTTTCAGGAATACGAGGAAGCTCAGGAGCAAGGTCTAGACGTCGTGCAGGCAGCGAAAGAAAAGGCTGCGCGGGAGGCAAATGATCAAGTGCAGGGTGCTGTGTTGAAAGTCGGTGGGAAGTGGGTCGCCTATGACGATTTAGCAGAAGTGGATGTGGCGACAATCCCCACAAGCGAAACAACTAAAGAAGAGAACGTGGGGAAATATTTGACGACCAAATGCGATGGCGTCACCAAGAAGCGGCTGTCGAAACCTCGAATACCTACTGCCATAGAAAGCAAGAAGAAGAGCAAGAAATCATCTGGATTTGGTAGTTTTTCTGGGTGGTGATGCTATTATTCGGAACTGAATTGGCCAAACGCAACCTTCACACAGAAACATGATGGCTGTTGGGGTAAAGCTCTACTGACATTTTTCTACTAAAAACAAGGATGTGGGAAGGACTGTTTGCATCAATGGACAAATACTTCGTGGAGAAAGGTATTGGTGAGGATATGTACGTGATTGTGTACAAAGCCAATGACAGGGTGCGTTGACTATTCCGTTTTACTTACGTAGAATCAGTGGGCTTTGCGACCGAGTTATCTAGGAGAGCGGTGGAATCGGGAATGTTCAAAAATGCCGATGGTAGGATAAAGGTGCTCCTGTTGTAGATAAAAAATTATTGATCCACTGCTGTTTGCATCTTGTATTTTTTTCAAAGCTGTGTCAAGGCGAGACTGTAATAGTTGGCGGCAAATAGCGTATTTGACCTTGAATTTACGCAATCAAGTAGCAGCACTTAAGAAATTGTTGTAGCTGTTCGGTAGCAATTGGTAGGTGTCGTAGTTGTTAGAAAGGCATGGGCATACAATTGAGTAATTAGTCTCTTTTGTGGTAGCGTTCGCTGAACCAGACGACACAGCGACAATCTACGTATCTACAGATGCTATAAACGCTGTCGAAGAGCTTAATAAGAGCGGACAGGTTAAGACATTGGTTTTTATAGCAATGTCTTTATTTTTTAACATTTAACTACTAAACAAGTTCAGATTCTAACCTCTAACTCTAATTTATGCAAATTTGATTGGTCAGAATGTTTATCATCCGGGTAGAATTAAGACGTCAATTGGCGATATCATTTCTCTTACAATGTGATGATCTTACTATACTAATAGTACTGGTGCCTGATTTACATGACAAAAATATGATGTCGAGCCAACGACTTCGCACATGATGGTACATTTTACATTTTGCTACCATACAAGCAGGCTGTAAGAAAACATTAAGGAATAATAGATGCGTTCAAGCTTCTTTGTCGCAACTTTCCATTAGTCACTTCTGTCGGGTAATGCGACAAATCATCATGCAGCATGCAGCTCAAAATTTCAGCAATGTATCAGTACTTATGACAACAGTGTACCTGGCCCCACTTTGAGCTTTGGCAATCTATGACGAAGATTTAAAATTTGTTAACATAGCAATATAAGGTGGCAAAGATTGGAAATGTTAACAAATTTATGTTATAAAAATAAATTTTGCAATCTACAAGTGCTCAAAAAGATATGATGTTTAGATATTAATTTTTATAATGTAAATTCGACTGATACAAGCGCTATTACGCAGCGTAAAGAATTGGCGCAGAGGTCCGTCACTAAGGCTACCGTCGTCATCATCGTCGTCGTCTTTTTAAGCGCGTTCACTTTTAGCAATTGAGTTTCCGTGGCTTTTACATATTTAAGTTTCAAAAAGCTACTTCTCTTCAACATCAAACAAGATCAAGGTTCAAGATGGCTACTATTTTTTGGTTAAAACATCGCTAATTAGGCTTGGACGGAGATTGCGCGACGTAGTGAGGCCTTGATGACGTTGTATTTACAGCTGGTAGAAATCTTGATGTATTCATTGCCATCGTCGAGCACCACTGTGAGCCATTCCGGTACCAGCGACTCCAGCAGATATAGCTGCTCTTCAACCCTGCCCTTGATCGGAGCCCGTGCTGCCAGTCGGCGCAGTATATACGCTTTGGGAAAGATAGACTTCCTTGTGACCATCATTAGCGATTGCAACTGGTCGCTGAGCTGCGGCAGTGTCGACAAAAGCCGTCTCTTCAATATCTTGGCACTATTCTCCACAATGTTGTTCTGACCTGCCTCGTGCTTGCGGACTTTGTTGATAAGCCATTCCGGTAATGACCTTAAGTCTTGCGGTATGGGCTTCGCCAGCGCCTCCGTCAGCTTCTCGTTGGCTTTACTACTTACTGTGCCATTTTTCATCTGCTCCTTGCTATCGTTCTTACTAAGCACCATATTAAGACTCTCCTCATTTACAATCTCTGTCGGCACTTGAGGCAGCGGGGCCTTCTCAATCTCTACAAGTTTCATAGCGCCAATCAGCTCATCGTCCGTCATGTCTGGGAATTCCTGCTTGATAGCTTCCACATGTCCCTCCAAATAGACATTAACCTTGCGGATGAAGAGTGTGATACGAGCCTCGAGGCTCTCAGACTTGCCATCAAGAGCTGACAACTGCTGCTTACGCAGTGTGAGCACCGGCGGCTGTTGATTTAATCGCTGGCGTTTCGCCACAATCGAGTTACCGACGTCTTCTTGCGCTTGGCGGCGCGCAGTGCGCGTGTTCTTCTTCCACTCGAGGGTGTAAGCTCCTGGCAAAAGATACAGAATTTGTTGCAAATGCGCAGGTGTAAAGCTGAGCTGGCACGAGCTCTCCACGGCGCGTTTGACGGCGGCAAAGTCGGGCGTGTGCTGGTACAGCGTCAAGGCACCAAGTCCAAACTCCAGCGCTGAAAAGAGACGAACTAGAACACGTAAAGCAGGTGGTGCCTGTTTATTAAGGCGTCGAGTAGGGCGCTTTGAATGCGATGACAATGGAGCATCGATCTTGTCGTTTGCCATGATTGTACGTTGTATTCACTGCGTAATTTCTTACAGTAGAAATGTATGGACAAGCAATGACATTTTATTTGGGGATGTTCTATGGCAGGCAATTCTTGATCATAATTGTAAGATGACATTGATGGCAAACGTAAATGTGCATAGTGCTGAGTAATATAAAGCAGTTAAGAGGTCTTTCTGTGCTAGTGGATACACACTGTAGCGGTTGCTGGCGACCTGAACCAGCACTTGTGACGTGTTGGCTTCGAGGCGAGATTAGCGGTGTCAGCTTGAGTCACGGACGTGTTTACAAGCATATTAGTAATAAAGCGAGAAAGATCAATGTGCTATCGTTGCTACTGTCATTGGAGGATGCGAGAGCGTAATGCCGCAGGGTCGGTAGGAGGACGTGCAAGCTTTAAGCCGGTCTAGGACGGTGGCAAATTAAGAAGCAGCTATGCTGCACCACCTCTCGCTTCCTTGGTCGCGCCCAGACCAGTCCAGCTATGCACGCATACCTTGGTCTAGTGAAGAGCATATGCAGCTTGTCATCGCATCACAGCGGAGAACATACCTGAGACTGGCCGCGCATGGGCTGCTTATAAAGTTGAACGGCAAAAACGCAGATCCCGGGCAATGTATTACCTGCCGCATGTGTCGAGTTTTAACGTCTAAAATGTACCAATGTAGAAGATTTCGAAGTGGCGACTTGCGAAGATGAAAGGATCACTTTCTTGACGACTCGTCCAGTTAAGTTTACTGCTTTGCTCAAGTTGTTGTCACACGTCCCGTCATGGAAAACGTCCAAATATTAAAACGAAAAAGCGTCCTCGAGGGGACTCGAACCCCCAATCCCCGCCTTCGGAGGGCGATGCCTTATCCATTAGGCCACGCGGACTATATATTAGTAAGTTTGAATTACATACGTTTTATTAATAACGCGTTCTTTCGTTCGCTAGAAGCACAGAGTGCTTAAATAGAAGACACACCTGCTTTCGTCGACTCTAAAGCTAGCGCACCACGACCCATACGCGCTTTGTTGCCGACGAATTTTGGGTATTTATAAAAAACCAATAAGTTGTTGTGCTTCGCTGTCGCCTCCAGGACTTGTCATGAGGGGGAAGGATCTTGACCTGAGTGGCTTTTTTCATTGTATTAGTAGGGAGTTTTTGTCGGGTATCTTACAGGATAGCTATGGAAACCTTATATGTATTGAGTCCGCGTGGCCTAATGGATAAGGCATCGCCCTCCGAAGGCGGGGATTGGGGGTTCGAGTCCCCTCGAGGACGTTTTTCGTAAATTTATGAATTTCCTCACTTTGAACTGCTATGCTCAGCAAAGTATACGACAGCGTTTGAGATCACCTTGTTCAGTGCTTTTTACGTGCTGTATGCCTTTATATCTAATGAGACTGACGACGACAATGTGGCCATTCTAGTGCAACCTACTGCCGTAATCGAGCAGAGATACTTTTTTCTATCATATCTGACGCGTGATGCTACTAAAATTCGAGTATCGTGTTCATGCCGTCGAGACGATCACCGAGCAGCCGATGTACCTGAGAGAGACCACAATGATGTCGCTGACCTACACATGAACGCTGAAACTGCGTATCTCTAGCTACGGGTCAAAGATTGACATGGGGCAGTCTGTAGCAATAAATAAAGCCGCTATTAGTGCAACTGGTTTACCATTAAACAAATACTTTGTGTTTCTACGTCGATATATATTGTAAGTATATCGACTTGATTATCAACAGTAGCCACAAGGAAGACACAAGTGACCTAACTGAAGGAACTGGGATCCTTAGAGTTGCCAGTGAGGCGGCGAAACTTCTGTGCAATCTCGTCAAATTCGGTGCTCAGATCGTCGAGAGAGTTGGCCAGCGCTTCCACTGGTGACGACGCATCATTCGTCTGCACACGCACAGTAATGTCATGAATCAGCGGATGTGGGTGCTGGTAGCCGCTGAATGTCACGTTCGGGTCGCGCAGTAGCTGCCTGGAATTGGTGAGATGAGTGAGTCACTGTAAATCACTCATAACAGGAAGTCAAGAGCTCTAATTCTAGCACGCACATGCGAATGAGATTGCCCATAGTGTGGTCCTCGCGCAAGATGGTAAACTTGCCAGCGTTTGAGATCTTAGTGTCCTTCTCATACGTCACTTTCTGCGCACCTTCAGGCAGCAGGTACGCGTCACTTCGGCTCGGCGCGTTCATGTTGTTTAACTGGACAAAAACCCACGACAAAATGATAGTGGGTTTGTGTGGTGCACGTAATGTTAATCTATTGTGTGATGGACGTAAACTCCATAATGACGACCAAGACGGCGCCACACTCGAGCGGCCCGTCAGCAAATCATAGCAATTCACAGGCTGAAAGAAAGCGACAGCGGACGGCACGTTCCAAACATCGTCGAGTACATCGAAAATGGACGTTATATGCGCCGCTCAGGAGCACTGAGGACCCAACCATCCCTGTATCAGTGTCCACGTTCCGTTTCATGTCCTTCAACGTCCTCGCAGGTCTTGTTACCCCCATCATCATTTCATAAGAGTGAATGCTTTTTATATAAGAAATTGTATTGCTGTAGATTATCTGGTCAAACAGAACTATCGAAAGACCGACACTGCCACATACCGTCAGAAATATGAGTTAGTTGGGTCCAATCGTGCAGTACTCACTCGTATGTTCGACAAAGTATTGATTTGAGTTAATGTCGATGTGTTCTACAGCTGGATGCATCGTCGAGAGCGTCTACTGAGGGAAATTTTGCACTGGTCACCACACGTGGTGAACCTTCAGGAAGTGGACCACTATGAAGATTTTTTCAAGCCGAGATTGGAAAAAGCGGGCTTTGTGGGAGTCTACAAGCGGAGGTTGGACTCCTTTTTTTATGTAATTAGGTGTGGAAGGGAGGAGAAGTGTGTCTGATGCATGACTTGCTATCGATAGGACTGGAGAGACCACGCATGATGGCTGTGCAATTTTTGTAAAGAAAAGCATGTTTCGCATTGTGACGTCGCACGAGATCGAGTACCGCGTACAGGATCACCCTGTACTCAATCGTGATAACATTGCATTGGCAGCAGTGGTGGAGATCAAGTCCGACGCCAATGGGTCCGTTCCAGCTCGCTTTGTGGTCGCGAACACGCACTTGCTATTCAACCCAAATGTTCGTATGCAGTTCTTCGAGTGATAAACGTTCGTGTGTAACTTGACGTTCTTTTCATTGGTGCCGCTGTACAGCGTGGTGAGATTAAATTGGCTCAGCTGGATATGCTATTGAAATACCTGACGTCACTGCGGCAACAACAGCAGCAAGTGCTGCCGATTCTTCTCGCGGGGGACTTCAATATTGCCCCACATAGTCCACTTTACCATTTTCTGTCATCAGGAAAGCTAGATGCGTCTGGTCTTTGTCGCAACGGCTTGTCCGGTCAAAATCTGGATACACATGCGCTCAAGGTGTGTAATTCTGCTTTTTATCACTGTAGTGTGGGCAATTCTAATTGCACGCTGTTTTTCTGATGACCAGAAAGCATCTCGTGTCGTAGAGAATGGACAAACTCGTCACCACGGAAATGGTACCGCTTTTGGAAAGTATAACTGTGACCGGGTTCAGCGAAACGACTTTCGAGATTTTAAACCCAACACTTTGTACGCGCATGAGGTAAATCGACTTTATTGATGGTATGGATGACTGGTTAGATAATCTAACTCAACCCTGATGTGACATTGGAACTCAAGCTTGACTTGGCTAGTGCGTATGCCCAGTCACCCGATGACAGATGCACGGGCGAACCAAAGTTTACGATATTTCATAGCAGCTCCAAGGGTGCAGTAGACTACATGTGGTATACTCGGACCTCGTTGCACTGCCATGGGGTTTTGGAAATGATCCCGGCTGGGGTCTTGTTCAAAAACGGCGAGCTACCTACCATGGAACATTCGAGTGATCACCTGTCGCTTGTTGCCGATTTTTCACTGCTTTGAGTAGTTGCCGGTATGAGGATGAAACAACATGCCTTGTGTAATAGATAAAATAGATTACATAGCAAACGCATATGCGTTGCCTATGAGATATCATTTGTTTTGGTACCGTTGAATGACTAATATCTACACACGACTACAGACTCTCGACAGCGTACTACTTTATCATACTCTATTTCTTCAGCAGCTTAGCGATCCCGTAGCTCACCAGACCAACCACAGCCACCCCAAATAGGTGGAAACTCAGCGGTGTACCGAAAGGAGGCACAGCTGGCACTGGGATGTTGCCTGGGTCCTCGTACAGCGCTGTTCGCTTGTGCTTCGGATCGCGGAGGATCGCCGCCACACGCCGACCTGCAACAAACCCATCTTCGTGAAAACCTCGACCCAACCAAGCACCGGAAAGAGAGATATTCTCCTCCTGGATAATGTCGTCCTGAGGAATGCAATCCGCAAGCAGACGCGGGTGGTCCCAACGGAAAGCCGAAATGGTCTGTTCAGGAGCGGGACGCTTGCCCTGGAAGTCATGCGGTGTGATGGTTACAAAGACGTCCTTCTTGCTGTTTAGGCGCTGAATACGATTCATCCAATAAGTGAGGATGTACTGCTCATCCTTTGTAATGAGGACATTCCAACTGCTCCACACCTTGTTCGAGGGCGGCAGCATAATCGGGTCGCGGTGAACGTATATCATGCTCTTGTGGTAGTGGAAACGCATGAGAGAGCGGTAAGCCTTTTCGCTCCAACGAAGCATCTTGGCGCTCTCGTCGGCATGGGTAGCCAGCACGACATGATCGCACTCGATGCGCTCGCCACCTTCAAGAATCACAGCCTTGCCACCCTTTATAACCTTGGCAACAGTAGCATTGTAGCGAACGGTACCATTGTACTCTTCGGTGAACAACTTGAGAAAGGGCTCAATGTAGCCCGAGCCAACGTACCACCAAAGTTGCTTAGGGCGATCAGTGCGGCGTCCAAGCGCGCCGAGAATGACCTGCCATAGCGGCATATAGAGTGAGTTGGAGTGCGTCTTGAGGCAGCGAAGAAACTGCGTCACGGGCAAGTCAAGCACATCGTCCTTCGGAACCGTCCAGAGAATGGCCACGAAAGCCAGGAAGTAATGGCGAAAGAACTCATTCGAGTAACGACCCTTGGCAGCCCATTCACGCGTCGTAATAGCTTCCTTCACGGGCAAAGTCATGAGATCCATTGTGAATTTGTAAATGTCGATGAGCACGCGCCAGATGCGAATGTCGAAGAGGTTGAGCAAACTGCCATGGAATGGGGCTCGCGATGAAAACTGCAGATCGCCCTCCACGTCCGACGTGACTGTGAGGCTCATGGGAATGCGTTTCTTGGTGGTACCGTCGGGCTGGGTGACGCCTAGCATCTTGAACCATTCTTTAATATTGGGATTCGAGTCGCCAAACATCATGAAGCCGATGTCCACCATCTCACCATCGATTTTCATCTCGTATGCATGTCCACCAATAGTCGCGTTTTTTTCGAGCAATACAACTTCATGACCATCCTTAACCAAGTGGTAGGCAGCAGAGATACCGCCAATACCGGAACCAACGACAATGATCTTCATTGATTTACAGATAATCAGAGTGGGCAACACTGGATCCAAAGTGGGTCCTTCTTGCGAACGTTTGCAAGTCAAACTGCTCTTTCATCCACAACCACAGAGGACCTCGATACAAATTGCAAGTCAAGTGCACGACTGATGAGGTTTGCACTTCAATTTGCGTAGCGCCAATTACAGTCCCCAAAGCCTTGCCACGATTGACGATTGCTGGCCGACGTTGGAACTGACGTCGTCACATTGGTGATCATCATTTAGCACCGCGTTACTAAAAAACTGGGCCAGCAACAAAGTAAACTTAGGAATAGGAGCAAGCTGATGCTAAAGCAACTGCGCTCATGGATATCCGCCATCGGTAACCCTCCAGCACAATGCCGCAGCTTGCTCTCAGATCGGGGCGTGTTGATATATAAGATGATGGATGATGACACCAGACGCAACGGTAAGCGGGAAAGGAATTTCGAGGAAGTATCATCACAGGTCATTATATGAACGAGGCTATGAGGAGATGCGGAGGTGGCACCCGTTACGGTCGCTACCGTAGCTCTGTGGACAGAGTGCCAATGTTAATTAAAGACTAGTCTACACTTTACCTCCAGGTGCTAAGGTAGAGGAACTGGGTAGTTCGTCCAGTTTTGCAGACACTATCATTTTACCTTAAGCATTGGCATTATCGTCGCTACATACCATGGCCACGAGGTGGTGATGCTCTAGAGACAAACGCGAGATCGACAGCAATGGTGGAAATCGGCTCATGATCTTTGATTGCTTGAACCTGAACATCAAGGCTTGTTTAAGTTTTCGAGCCCGAATGAAATCATGAAGCATTACCGATTAGTCTTATCGTACCCTCTAACATTAAGGATGATCTTTAGTCTCTCATTCTGTGCGCCGTTTAACGGCAGCAGTCAATGTCTTTAACCTTACCTGATCCGTCCTGTGTACATCTATTGCTTTACGATGAACTTTATATTAATGGACACGATTACATTAAATAAGGAGAACGAGGAAGAGCATCGCATCATACTGTCTGGTGATAGTGGACTAAAGAGGCTGTCGAAGAAGTGAACACTTGTATAAATTATCGGCATATTGAACAGGCAAGTCAAGTCGAGCTGAAACTTTGTCTACTAGATACTCAAAAAGTATCTTTTTGTCTTTTTGTAATAAACAGTTAAATTTCGATAAAGTACGATTTCCATCCTTTGGGGGAGAAGATTTCTTTCAACAGTGTGTGAAGTAACAAGAGGAAGAAACAATATGACCGTCGCGATCGGTCACTCCGGTACGTTTACTGCCTTTACAAGACACTAGGAGTACATCCCCCTATACTTCTATTCAATGCCTTCATATTGGCAACAATTGTTGACACTTCTGGTCTCCAGTGACCGTCTATAGCAAGCACAAGTTTAACTTAAAATCTGGTGGATCTTTTGTCTTATAATGTACAGCTGCGGGTATTCTAGCGCTCCTGGAAGAAAAAGACAATGCACTGAGGGTGCGTTAGTAAAAGAAGCTATTAAGTTAACATGTTCTAGTCTTATAAGACCATTATTAACGTCATTGTCATTACATTTCTCCAGGCTCATGCTCTACAGAAGCTAAACCAGGTCGTAGATCACTACTGGGCAGAAATTGCAGACGCTATTCCACTTATTGAGGAACTATCGGAAGAAAAGAGTTTTCCTGATCGTGAACTAGCAGCTTATGTTGCTTCCAAATGTTTTTTTCACCTCGAAGAATACGAAGATGCGCTGCGTCTGGCGCTTGGTGCCGGTACATACTTTGATCTAGACACACGTTCTCAGTACACAAACACAATCATTGCTACGTGCATTGATAATTATGTGGCTGTGCGTGCCAAAGAGGACCTAGAGGCCGAGAAGGCGCTCGACCCGAGACTTACACAGGTCGTGGAACGTATGTTTGAACGCTGCTATGCAGCAGGAGAATTCCGTCAAGCTATGGGCATTGCTCTGGAAACCCGACGTCTTGACCAGGTGAAGGAGTGCCTCGCTCGCTCCACAGACGTGTCGGCAGCGCTGTCGTACTGCTTTGAGATCTGTAAGACGGTAGTAACCAATCGCCACTTCCGTTTAAAAGTATACGAAGTCATGCTGGACGTGTATCGCTCACGACCGACCCAAGACCACGTCAGTGTATGCCAAGTATTGCAAATGCTGGACAACCACACAGAAGTGAGCAAGATTCTCGAGCAACTCGTGCGCGGTGGAGACCGCGACTGCCTCATCGCTTTTCAAGTGGCTTTTGATCTGAACGAAAACGAGAACCAAAAATTCCTTATGAACGTCTATCTTTCATTGCCAAGTCCCCCCGCTCCCACTTCTGAAGCAGTGACAGAAGACGTTACCCCCACGGCGGAGGAGAGCAAAACAGAGTCACCTATGCCAGTTATGGCTACCCCAACTATGTCTACCACGCCTTCTCCAACGCCCGCTGGTGCTTCTCCTGATTACTGGGACAAGCTGTCGAAGTTGAAGCTGATCTTGTCCGGCGAATTCCTCGTGGACCTAAAGCTGGACTTCCTTCACAGTCGTAGCGACTCTGACCCGCTGGTTATGAAGACTATCAAGACTGCCGTGGAGAATCGCAACTCTGTGCTGCACCATGCTGCTGTGATTGCACATGCTTACATGAATTGTGGTACAACTTCAGACTCATTCTTGCGCGAGAACCTGGAGTGGCTTGGTAAGGCCACAAACTGGGCTAAATTTACGGCTACTGCTAGTCTGGGTGTAGTGCACAGGGGCCACGTTCGTGAAAGCATGAACCTTCTTGCTCCTTACTTACCGCAAGGCGGTATGACGACTTCTCCATACTCGGAGGGTGGCGCACTGTACGCGATGGGTCTTATCCATGCGAACAAGGGTTTTGCAGGATCTGGAAGTAAGAATACGATAGAGTATCTGCGCGATGCTTTGAAAAACGCTGGATCGGATGAGACCGTGCAGCACGGCGCGTGTTTGGGTATTGGCCTGTGTGGCTTGGCTTCGCACGACTACGAGGTCTATGATGATTTGAAGACCATATTGTTCACCGACTCGGCGGTCGCGGGTGAAGGTGCAGGGATTGCCATCGGTCTTACGTTGCTTGGGGCGGGCGGTGAGGCACGTAATGGCGAGATTGTGAAGGACTTGCTGGCCTATGCGCACGACACGAAGCACGAGAAGATCATTCGTGGTTGCGTGATGGGCATTGCGCTGATGATGTACGAACGCGAAGAGCAGGCTGACGCGTTGATTGAGCAATTGACCCGTGACAAGGACCCGCTGATCCGCTACGGAGGCATGTACACTGTAGCCATGGCGTATGCTGGCACTGCCAACAATAGCGCAATTCGACGTCTACTACATGTGGCTGTGAGCGATGTGTCGGACGATGTTCGTCGTGCTGCTGTGACGTGTCTTGGCTTCATCCTGTTCCGTACTCCAGTGCAAGTGCCTAAGCTGGTGTCGCTGCTGGCCGAGAGTTTTAATCCTCACGTTCGCTACGGCGCTTGCGTCGCAGTCGGGATTGCATGTGCTGGTACTGCAAAGAACGAGGCTATTCAGCTACTAGAGCCGCTACTCGACGATGCTATCGACTACGTGCGTCAAGGTGCGCTGTTAGCTTTGGCTATGGTTATTATGCAGGAGTCTGAGGGTCGCAATCCAAAGGTGGCAGCTGTCCGTGCAAAGATTCTAAAGCTGATTACGGATAAGCATGTGACCACAATGACCAAGATGGGTGCCATTTTGGCGCAGGGTATCTTGGATGCTGGTGGTCGTAACGTGGTTATTTCGCTGCAGTCATACACCGGGTTTACAAAGATGGCCGCTGTGGTGGGACTGGCCGTTTGGGCACAACACTGGTTTTGGTACCCACTTTTTAACTTTTTGGAGTTGTCGTTCCAGACGACAATGGCAGTTGGTCTTAACAAGGACTTGAAGCTCCCGCGCGGCTTTGAACTCACGTGTAACGCTAAAAAGTCAGCTTTTGCCACGCCAAAGCGTATGGAGGAAAAAAAGGAGGAGAAGAAGGAGCTTGTCGCCACCGCTGTGCTGTCGACAACCGCAAAGGCACGTGCGCGCCAGGCAAAGCAGGATGCAAAAGAGAAATCTATTAGACCTTCTGACGTAAGTGGAGATATTGTCATGGAGGAGAAGGAGGCGTCTGTAGCCGAAGAAGAGATAAAGCAAGTAAGCGTTGAAGAGATGGACGTGGATGCTGAGGAGTCCAAGCCAGTAACCAGCAAAAAGGCAATGACAGTAAAGGAACCGAACGTCTTCACATTTTCGACGCCCGCTCGAGTGACATTGGCACAGGAGTCTGTAATTTCCCTGGATAAATCGCAAAGGTACATCCCGGTGATGTATCCTGTACAGAGGCTGACCGGAGTTATCATGCTGCATGACACAACGCCCGATGAGACGGAGGATGTGAAGGCTGTGCAAGCACCCGCTGCCTCTGGCGCGGAAAACGAGGCAGAGCCGCCTGAGCCATTTGAGTGGGAGCCCCCACAGTAGATATTACACCACGACAAGAACGTCTCTCTCAAGCTCGACATGCAGACCGAGATGAGAAGCACAGCTTTGTTCTCGACCCTGTCGCTGGCAAAAAAACAGTATTCGTAGCTGAAGGGTAAGGCTCGACCAGCACAGCAAGTCGAATATAATTTTCAATCAAGCATACTGACAAATGGGTAAAGTTGCTAGAATGTCGTTTGATGCGTATGCCACACGACCCAATCAATTATTGCTTATAATAAAAGTGAAGCTTTAAAGGTAGCAAAGTCCTAATCCCATCGGAGAGGAAGATTCAAGGGCTTGCAGTCATACAGGAGCGTCGCGCAGCCTCAAAGCAAGACGCAAGCAAATAGCCAGTGATTATATGAGTCGTAGCTTCAAGATGCAGCGTCTTTTGCCGCACGAGCAGCAACAATCGAGAGTTTACAATGGGTACGAGAGCAACTTTGATGGTGTCGGAGCCTTCTTGCTGTTAGGAAGTGACTCGACGGGCTACGGCTCTCGACTCAGTCGAAATGTGAAGAACTCATCCCGAGATACAGCGCCGTCCTGGTCACCATCAGATGTGATCTCTGTATCATCGTCGACGTCTAGGAAACTCTCAAACTGGCAGACATTCTACCACTTGCTGTCCTTCATTACAGGCTCGGGCATGTTGTGTCTACCATTGGCACTTGTAGAGATTAACTGGTATGGCGTGCTGCTGTTGATTGTAGCCGCAATAGTGAGTGCGTACACTTCAAAGCTATTAGTAGACTCGTTAGAAGTTCTGCGCTGGCTGAGAGGTACCAGCGTCTCGTACAGTGACCTGGGACAAGAGTGTTTCGGTACTGCCGGTAGCCTCTTTACAAGTGTGCTTGTGCACGTCTCGTTTCTGATTTTGTCTACTGGCTACTTGGTGCTCGCGTCGTCGTGTCTTGTGGATGTACTGGGACTTCAGTTCGGCACGGTCATGGTGTTGGTGGCTGTGTGCGTGTGGTTCCAAGTACTGGTGCCCTCGCTCAAAATGCTAGCCGTGCTTTCAGCTGTGAATGTAGCCTTCAGCTTCTGGATCGAGTCGATCATTTTAGGTGATGCGATGTATCCGCTCAAGCAGATTGCACTGGAGCATTCCGATTTTGTTTTTGTGACGCCAAATCTCTCAAATGTGACGATAATGGGAAAACTCTCGTATACGTTTTCGCTACTGCTTGGTGGACTCTTCAATCACTCAATTATACCTACATTGTACGATGCCATGGCCGATCCAAGTCAGTGCAACTCAGTGGTTGCGCGCACGACATTTGGGACCACAGCACTCTTGTATTTGCCGATTTGCTGTGTCACTTACGCCGTGTACGGTGCAACACTGGAAGCTCCCGTCTTTTTCAACATGCGCAATGTCGTTGTGCGCGACTTGGCAATTGTGCTGTACAGTATTCATCTTTTGCTGTCGTATACAATCACCTTGTTTCCTCTCCAGCGCGTGTTTGAGCGGTGGATTGTGCAGGTTCCAAGTGGAAGCACCCACAACAGTCCGGTGGAAGCTGCTGCTGCAAGTGGAGCACTTCCGTTCGTATCCTTTGGCCCCGTACCAGAAAGCGAGCAAGAAGGGAGATGTGGCGGTGTGGAGACCACTGCGCGCGTGCTCTGCCGAAGCATTTTGGTGCTCACGACACTTCTTTTGGGCTACTTTACTACACCCAATACACTGGATATTTTTGCGTGGATGCTTGTACCGACGGCACTTTTGGCACTTGTTCTTCCATGTATTTTCTACTGGAAACTATGCGGTGAGGAAGCTACTCGCATGGATCGCATTGCTTCCGTTCTTATCAGCGTGGTAGCAATTGTCACTGCCGGTTGGAGTCTTGCTGTTATTATCGAGTGTTAAGTAGAAAAGAGTTAGTTAAGTTAGTAAAAGCACAAAAGCACAAGAAGTATCGATCGACAGTGAGCAACATTGAGTCAACCTCCACGACAACCCATTATGATTCATATTTCGTGTGTACAAGAACGTAAAATCTAAGTGGATATTTTCCATTCTTCTACCAAAAAGTCCAAGGGTATTGAGAAAGTATATTCGTGCCTAATCATGAATGCAATTGCTGGTATAACGAATTATTTAGAGAAAATTATCTCGGATACGCAGATGGAAGGAATGAAGGCACTTTTGTTGGATACTGATACCAAGAGTATCATTAGTATGGTCATGTCTCAGTCCCATATTCTCCAACGTGAAGTTTTTCTTGTCGAAGAATTGGATGCAGTACATGAACCAATGTTACATCTTAAAGCTGCTGTCTTTGTACGTCCTACAGCACGTAATATTGAGCTATTGCGTCAAGAATTAAAGATGCCAAAATACGGTCGATACCATGTCTTTTTTTCGAATATTTTACCTATCGAAGCACTTGAGAAACTTGCAGAAGCTGACGAGAAAGAGGTCGTGATACAGATTCAAGAATATTATGCCGACTATTTGGCCGTAAATGAGTCACTTTATGATTTTGGTCTACACAACTCGATTCAACTTAGTGTCAAGATACCCACGGCTCTTTATAAAAGAGCTCTTGTTTCTACTACAACAGCAGGAGTTTTGACAACTGACCCAGTGGATAAAACTACAATGACGCCACCTCAAATATTTCAACGAAGCGTCGAAGGAATGCTGTCGGTGCTACTTTCTATGAAGAAAAGACCGTTGATTCGGTACGTCAAGGGGTCAGAAGTGGCTGAGAAACTGGCACGTGAAGTTTCGGCAAGGATGCAGCTTGAACAAGATGGACTCTTTGATTTCAGACGACCCGAGGTGACTCCGTTGGTCTATGTGATGGATCGCAAGGACGACCCTGTGACACCGTTGCTTACTCAATGGTGCTACCAAGCGATGGTGCATGAACTGCTTGGCTTGCACGAAAATCGCGTAGATCTCCGCGATGCACCTAGTGTACCCAAGGACATGATGGAGCTCGTGCTGTCAACAACCTCGGACGAATTTTTCGCGCAGCATGTGCACGCCAATTTCGGCGACCTCGGTATGGCTGTCAAGCAACTTGTCGACAAGTATCAGGCACAGACACAGACCCACGAAAATATCCAGTCGATCGATGATATGCAGCGCTTTTTGGAGAATTACCCGGCCTTTCGATCTCAATCGGTGACGGTATCGAAACATGTAACATTGATGGGGGAATTGGCACGTCGTGTAGAAGTGGATAAGCTCATGGATGTGAGTCAACTAGAACAGGAACTTGCATGTGGAGATGACCACAATGCACATTTCCGCGATGTGGTGGCTAAGTTGAAGGATGCACAAGTGAAGCCGATTAACAAGCTGCGACTGGCCATTCTGTATGCATTGCGTTACGAGACTCATAGTTCAGTCAAGCTGAAAACAATCAAAGAGCTGCTGGCGGCCCCTCATGGGGGTGGTCTGCCTTCTCAGCGCGTTGCATTAATTGACGCATTCCTGAAGTTCGGCGGTGCTAAGACTCGCCAGGGCGACTTGTATGGTGACCGTGCTGGACTGAAGAAGTTCATGCGGGCGGTGACGCAGGGCGTCCAAGGTGTTCCGAACGTATATGCACAACACGTTCCACCACTTGTCGAGAAATTGGAGTTGATTCTGAAGGGTCAGTTGCTAGACCAAGAGTTTGGCGTTGTAAATGGAGGTACCGGTGTTGCAACATTAACAGAGTTGAATGGGAACAACGGAGTGAAGCGCGTGCGTGACGTGATTGTGTACGTGTGTGGTGGTGTTACCTTTGAGGAGGCCATGAAGGTGGCTGAGATGAACCAGAAGGCGGCATTATCGAACTCAGGTCAGCGCATTTTGCTCGGCGGGTCCTGCATTCACAACTCGACAAGCTTTCTAAATGAGGTGGCAATGGCGTACAACTTATCTTCTACTCGTGGCCATGGTGGTACAAATAATAACTGGAACTACAATGGAAAGAAACTCTAGATGCGCATAGTCGTTTCACTGTTTGACCGAATTGAAGTAGCACGCGAAATAAAAACGCATCGTAACGAGAGATAAGAAGAATGTATTTCTATTCCAAGGAGCTGTGAAGATGATAAGGAATAGATGTATCTTTATCAATCAACCGCTAAGTTAGGACGAAATGGGGATACGCTCGTATGTAACTCGATCATCATCGACAGACGTCCCGTATAGATCAACATACAACACCTTGGGGACAAAGGCCGCAGTGTTGTTGGTTTTCACGTAAATCTTCCAAAGGCGTGAGATCGTCCCGCTGATTGTAACTTGTAGAGCGACTCCACTTTTAGCATCAACGTAAAGCAGGGCAGAACGACTGGGTAATGCGTTCAGTGTGATTGTATAGCTGACTCCAATCGCTTTGACTGAGACTGACCCCTTTCGTTCCGTAGCCTCTTTGTGTGAATATCCCCAAGCCAATTTACGCTCAATCATCCCGGTAGCATTGCTAATAGGATGATCCGTCCATCCAAAACTCTGCCATTTAATATCCATCGGCCACTTTGGATCCAGTTCTCGACGTTTCTTGTCACGAAAGTTTGCAGTGTATACAACAAGCTGCGCATTTTTACTTCGTTCAAAGATAACGATACGGTCGTGATCGATAGGCAAGTAAGTTGGCCACAAGGATGTTTGAGAATGGGAAGAAGCTGTGGTACATTTATAGTCATGATCTGGAAATTCGTCAGTAAAATAATGTTTTTCTTTCGGTTCACGACTCATATTGTTCAATGTATTAAAAGGTTGGAGGGATGTTTGAGAAAATGACAGATTTTAGCCGTTCACTTCCAGCTTTGAACGTTAGTTTGCGTTTTGTAAGAGTCGGAAAGTTTAGATGAAGAAGTCAGAGCTCATGGCGTAAAAATGTCTCTTCGAGGAAAGACTTAGACATTTAGTATCGATTTGAAAGGGTTAAAATTCTTTATTTTGTAGAAACAATACTATTAAAACTACTAATTTAGTTGTTTAAGAGGAATATACTAAATCTGCGCAGTTGTTCTTTCCAGGTGGTGCCTATTGTAATAAGGACTTGCGTCGCCATCGTTAATTTAACATAAAATTGATTCAGGTTTGCTGCAAATGGGATCCCATGCTTGAAACTCTCAGAGCCTATCCAGTGCAGAGACGAGAGTCGTAAAGTCTTGGCAGAATTATGTATCTGAAAGCACGAAATACTGTGCACGAAGTCTTTTTGCTGTCGCCTGTCATTGTTACAAAATGTAGAGACTCGTAAAACATTTCACATTTCTAATGAACATCGAAATACATGCTACTATAGATTTTTTGGTGCAGGGTCACTAGGAAAAAACACATTGAAAAAAGCGTCTTTATTTCGATTAAAATTATCATATACTTTATCTCCCAATTAACAGATTCGACTTTGCACTACAACCCTCACCGTTCCATTGAGCTACACAACAGCTACATACAAAAGTTACGACAGTTATCATGAGGCTACACTACAGACATATTACAAGGCATGGGCATACTATACAGGACGCAAAACGGATTTGACATGCAAGAGACCTCCTGGTGTGACATATTTTGTGAAAAGACAAACGTTTTGGAAGTTATTCCTTAGCATCTACTACGTTCAGAAATGTAACTGTATGCTCCATCCATTTAAAACTCCTCATTCAGGTACGAGATGTCATCCCACGGGTGGCGGTACAATGGCTGCTTGAGACGCTTCTGGTCGAGAAAGTGGCCGATAAAACCAATGCTACGACCGAGCACGAAGAGACCGTTGAGGCAGCCATTCTCAATCTGCTCGTTGGCCTCCTCCAGCGTGAACACACCGCAGTTACGCAGCAGATCCACGAAGCAGACTGCAATACAACCGTCAACGTTCAGAATAAGGTTACTGCGTTTTTTCGTGGTCACTTGCTCCACCTCCAAAGCGAAGTCCAGTACATCAGTGGAAGGAAAATTCGCCTTGGCAAAATCCTTAATGATAGTCACGCGCTTGTCCGGGTTTGACAGCGACTTGATGCGGTGGCCAATACCCATGATGAGCTTGTTCTGCTTGCGCATATCCACCACAAAGTCGACCGCAGACATGCCCGAGTCGTGCGCACTCGCGAACATTTCAGCAGCCTTGTCCAATGCACCACCGAAACGGGGGCCAATCGTCACCAGACCCGAGATCAGCGAAGAAATCAGGTCTTTGCCGGCACGGGCAGTAACAATAGTATTGTGAGCACCCGACACAGCCGGACCGTGATCAGCAGTGACCATGAGCACCATCTCGATGAATTTCGAAGCGTAGGGCGGCAGATTACGCTTGAACCACAGCAGACCAATAACGCCGCCGACGCCCATGTCTTGTTCGAAAACCTTCGAGATAGGGGTACCAGCGTAGCGCAGCTCCTCACCACGGTCATCCGAGATGGAAGAGATGAAATTAGCAGGCTTGCGAATTAGACCAAGATTCTTGGCCCAGGCGTAGTCCATCGGAACCTTAGGAACCGGAATTTCTGGACGCGGCACAATCGCACCTGACCCAACCATCGAGTCGAACTGCTTGCGGATTGCGTTGCCGAACTGGTCGAAATTTTCTGGGACAATGGCCCCAGCCGCAGCCAGAGCAGCGTTCTTAGCCGAGGCAGTCTCGGACTCACCTGTAGCGCATGCGCCGGCGTGGCCGAACTGCACTTCGAATGGGAAAATCTTGGCGCACGTACCAATACACCAGGCAACCACCGGCTTCTTAATGGCACCCGACTGAATGGCACGGCAGACTGCAAACTCGTCAGTGCCACCGACCTCACCGAGAAGCACCATCATCTTCACCTCCGGGTTTGCCTCATAACGTAGCAGGTGCTGGATGAAAGTAGAACCAGGGTACTTATCACCACCAATAGCTACGCCCTCGTACACACCGTCCGTCGTCTGTGAGACAATGTTGTTCAACTCGTTGGACATACCGCCTGACTTTGATACGTATGCAACGCTGCCGGGGCGGTAAAGCTTCGACTGCACGATGTTGTCCAGCATTCCACCAGTGTTGCCAATACGCAGGCAGCCTGGTTTGATGCCACCAACCGTAGCAGGACCGATGAGGCCCACATTGAGCTCACGCGCCTTTTTAGCGATCAAACGCGACTGCTGCTCTGGTACTCCCTCGGCAATGATGGCGTGCGTTTTGATGGTGTCATTGTGCTCGAAGCCTTCCATCGTCGACTGGTACACGGAGCGGAACGATGAAAAGTTAATAAGTACGCTCACATCCGGATACTTCTTGACAGCATCGGACAGCTTCTGGAATACGGGGATCAAACGCTCCGAAGTACCCCAGTAAAACTTCAAGTAGTGGTTGGGTGAGAATGGAAAGATGAGGGCCGCCACACTGGGGGTCTTGCGCTTGCACAAGTAGTCAAAGTCGAGCATGCCCTGCACAGCGCGTTGCTGCAGACCGTAGACAATACAACGCGTCTTGTCGTTCATGCGCACAATACCCTCGTCCTGGATCACTACGGTTTGCTTGTTCGCAATAGCCTTGCTCTCTACCTCTTCAGTGGATTCTGTCTCCTCGTTGTCGCTAATTACTGCACTGCCTTCCTCGGAAGACGGCTTGCCCGAGCTTGACTTGATGCCACCGATTGCTTTGGTAGTGGGCTGCAACTCCACCGCTGAAGGCTTCTCCACAAGTCCAAGAGCCATAGGTACAATGGCCGTAATGTGTGTTTCCGGGCCAAAAACCTCAATAGGAACACCTGTAGCCTCGCCAACATCGCGCATAACAGCCAGGCCCTCCTGGCAGTTGGGGCCACCACGACGCACCCAAATGTGTACCTTGTTATCCTTAAGTTTCTGCTGGTACTCCGTAATGGCACGAATAATGCCCTTGAACGTTAGTGCAACATCCGTGAAATTGGCAATGCCACCACCAATGATCAACACCTTTCCACGGTCGTCAAAGTTGCGCGTCATGAGGTCCAAAATGGTCTTGGCATAGTTGTAGGTATGAGTTTCGCTAGGAGCACCCGAGTACTCGCCGTAGTTGGCCAGCTCGTGTCCGTAGCCAAGGTCCGCAATCGTGTCAGCGTACACAACCGAAGCACCGCCACCAGCAACCATGGTCCAAATACGGCCAGTGTGGTTGAGGATAGTAAGCTTGAGCGAAGCGCCGGTCTTGGAGTCCAGATCCTGGATAAACTCTTCCTCGGGAAACTTGGCACGGCCGAAGGCCGGAGGGAACTCGATATGGCCCCAACGATCTCCCACTAGGAAATTCGCCGTCTCATCAAGCTTGGCAGCCATGTCCAGTACAGAAATCTGGTCACCCACGAGCACAATAGGGTTGATCTCCATGTATACAAAGTGCAGCTCACGGAACTTGGCCAGCATGCCCACAAGAAACTTGGCCAAGATGGGCTTGCGTGTCTCTTCCACGGATGAGAGCAATGCAGTTGCCACTTCTTCCTCCGAAGCTACAGATTCAATGCCAATCTGTAGACGCTTGGCTTTGGCATCCACATCGCCAACATCCACACCACCTTCGTGATGAAATAGAATCTCCTCACCATCACGGTTTGAAACAATGCACACATAATGCTCATCGGCACCAGTGTGTTTAAGAAAAGGCTCAACAATAAAGTGTGTAAGAACCCCCGTGACGGTTTCGACCTGAACAGGCTGATTAATACGTTCCCATATCCAGTCTTGAACTTCAACCCACGTAGCATTAAGTAGCAGCAAGTTTGCTTTACCACGACGTTTGATCAGTTGGTCAGGCTTGACCACGAGTTTAATCTCGCCAAGGGTTGTAAGCCATGGGCTCGTGGCTTCAATAGCATGAAAGAAATCCTCACGACTCTGACCGACAAAGCTCTTCCCCACGGCCACCTGTGCAAAGCGTTTGTTGAGGTGAAAGTCGGGTAAATTCGTGGACAGAATGCGCTTGCCATCAAACTCGCGAATAGCTTTTGCCGACATGATACAAGAGAGTTTTTATAATGTCTTGAGGACTGTGACGGACGCTGCAAAAGCTCAAATGACATAGTAAGATGGTGTGTTTAGAAAGAGTGATGGTCGGGGGTCAGGCACGTCAAAAAGATGAGGTGGTGGCAGTATTTACTTGAGTTTTGTAAGGATCTAGGCGGTGACATCATGATGTTAGCTGGTCAGTGACATAATAACATATGTCACTACATTGAGCATGAAATCGCATTTGTCAGAGCACATTTATTGTCATACTACTGATATTGTGATATCTTACAATTGTATTGAATTAGGATAGGATTTTCTGCATACGTCAACGAGAGACCGTCGCAATTCAGCAATGCACTATGACATAGACAGGCAACAGTGAGGTGACGTAGCCCTGCATCAGCAAAATCAAAACAATGACGCAAAGCCACGGCGATACCAGCTTTTCAACTTGCCTCTGCGTGTCGTCTACTCCTTCCAATGACATCTGATGGTCCTCTTGTCATGACAATGACTTTATGCTGGTAGTCGCAATGGAACTTCCATGCAATTTCCAAGACCATACTCCTTATGTCTTTACTTTTTTTGTTACAGATTGGCATGGACGTATTGCCAATATAAAATTCAAGTCACACGCAATACTTGCCTTGTATGACAGTGTGGATCGCTGCTGTCGAGGCACATCCAGTGCAGTGACATTGCAAGCCTCATTAGTGCCGTTTTCATTGCAATTGCCTTGTATCTACTGCAGATGTATCTTGTATTTCTTAGCCTCGGCGGTGAGGCGTGGCATTAATTGCACTCGCACCCAAAGTCTTTCGTTCTTGTGTGTCGGGTAGCCAATGTCATTCATACGATCCACGAACACAATAACAACACTATGCAGCACAAGGAGCAGGAATATTGGCCGATCTTAGAGCAGTGATGACATGACATCTACCTTAGAAACCAATCACGTCGCTATTTTTCAACAGCAAGCGGTCTGCCAGGAGGCTCTGAGACTACAAACTCGAAGATGTCAATTGACTCCAAGTGTGACAGTTACTGTTCAGACCACTATAGATGATACATATTGGCGAGCAAAATACTCTTGCAGGTTATCAAATCACTGAAGTATCGAAGCAAGGCCACTCGAAAGCAATCAAAATAGAGCAACATGCATTCAACTGCGACTATTTCCTCCTGGTCTTTTCCATCTTCTGGTTGTTAACGATTTAAGAAACTCATGCATTCCGTTATATCACCGGTAGCGAACCAGAGGCAGAACATCTGCGCCCAAGCTAAGCTTGACCGGCACGACAGTCCAAGTCTTCTTCTTTTGTTATCCTCTTGAGTTCTAAGCGAAAAGTGCAGGTCGAAGCGTGATAGACTTCAGCTTACAGATCCTCGTCCTCATCCGGCAAGGGCACCGCGGCGGCGGCAGAGCTAGCGTCAGCCTCAATCTGGGCAATCTGTTCTTGGGTGATCGTAACCTCAGGGGGGCGAAGAGCAGGCGCCTCAACAAAAGTCAAGTTGTTGTCACTGTATGTAGCAACATGAAAAAGTGTCAGTAAGTGTTGCCAATTGTTGCAATAGTCTGCTGCTGCATTCGAACGTACCCAACAAGTTTACGAGCCAACCACAGGAAAGGCTTCTCAAACTGGTAGTTAGACTTGGCTGAAATGTCAAAGTACTGCAAATTTTTCTTGCGGTGGAACGTGATCTGCTTGGCCTTCACCTTACGATCCTTGACTTCGACCTTGTTCCCGCACAACACAATCGGGATGTTCTCACACACACGGAACAAATCTCGGTGCCAGTTCGGGACATTCTTGTACGTAATACGCGACGTCACGTCAAACATGATGATCGCACATTGGCCCTGAATGTAGTAGCCATCTCGTAGACCCCCAAACTTTTCCTGGCCAGCAGTATCCCAGCAATTGAAGCGGATAGGGCCAAAGTTCGTGTGAAATGTCAATGGATGCACCTCGACGCCTAGCGTCGCCACGTACTTTTTCTCAAACTCGCCCGTCAAGTGACGCTTCACAAAGGTCGTTTTACCGACACCACCGTCACCTACGAGAATAAGCTTGAATTCTGGAACAATTTGAGCCTACATAAGTTGAAATCAGATGCTGTCAGTATCACTGCCTGTCTTGTCATGAATACTACAGCGTCTGCTTGTCAAAACCCTCTCAGTCTTTCACAAATCTGCTTCTTTTCATCATGTTCTGATTGTCATGACAAGTTTCAAGTCCATTCTATGGCTGCAGCATTCGCTACAACATTAGATCGAAACTTGTAACTTTATGACGAATTTTATCACTGATTTTCGCACTTGTACGAGGCGTTTGAGCTCGAGAAGAAGCAAAAGAAACACGAAAGTTTCAAGAGCATAGAGACGTATTCAATACAACGCAGCATCGCTATAGACACATAAACACACACGTACCATCTTGATACGAAGAGAACTTTATCAACTATTGGGTGTCTAGTATCGAATGGGAGCGAAACCTACGCCCTCCACCCGCCATCAACCATACGAAAACCAAGTATATTCTTCCCCATGAGGTTTTTTCATAATCAAATGCATGAGGTTTTTCAAGTCAAAGTATCCTTACAAAAAACAGCTGAAACTCTTTCTGGACCAGTTATTGTGGAATTTTACAAATTTAGACATCTATAGACCATATTTAGAGCTACGACTGGCACTTCGTCACCCATTGATTAAGCCCAAGACACTCACTCAGTCATGCATCTCATGTATTATCTCGGTGAAGACGGCAAGCGTGTCTACACACTCAAGGTAGAAAGTCATTGATATTCATTATGTATGAAATAGTACAGGTTGTCTAAGCTTTTTACTATGTATTATGGACTTACGGACGCAGAAAGACACACCGACAGGTTCCCCAACATGTTCGGCACACCCGGCACGCTTCTCACCTGACGATAAGTTTTCTAAGGAACGCATTACTACCAAGAAACGATTTGGTCTCTTACCTACGCAGTCACCTGATCCAATTTTTCAATAAGAGACACTTGGGGCTTTGTTTGAGACAATTGGAAACACATATTGAAACCACTAGCAATGCTGTAGATGTATAGACTTGAAGTAATGACAAGCTCGTGACTTTTGAATTCTCTGTCGTCTTGGTGTTGTTTGTATTCAAGTAAAAGAGATGATAGCACCAGCACCCTTTTCTATATACTGCTCTCTAGGAGACAAAGAGAGGAGGTCAGTTTCCATCGCGGGTTTCGTTGAGAAGCAGAAACACTTTCGCTGGGCATTCGAGTTACGAGTTCATAAGATGGAGTTAATGTCAAGCAGTGAGGAAGAAGGTGTTGAGAGCAATTTATTTACGTCTTCAGCACAACGTAAACGTCCACAGGCTCCCGCCAGTCAAGACAGTCTCGAAGACGAGCTCCTGAGTCCAACGACGCGTTCTGACAGACCCACACCCAAGCCCAGCAGCTCAATTGCACCACCTAAAAGTCACAAGCCTGTGATCTCGGCACGTGAGCTGCTACACTTTCTACCGTCTACAGCAGAGCAGAAAGAGGTAACATCACCTGCAAGAGACGCTAAAGAGGCAGCAATCGATGCAGCAGTGGCTGCATACTCGTTAGTCACGCCAAAGAGACTCAACGAGTCTTTGACTAAGAAAGAAAAGGAGTTGTCTGCTGGTGAACGTATTGCTCGGAAGTATGGCCTAGTGGCTGCAGCAACGATACCGCCGAACGATTCGACACGCTCACGTGCCTCTTCTGGCTTGACAGATTCGCGTCCTGTTGCTGATAGACACTCAACCGATTCGGATAGCCATGCAGCGAAGAAGAAAACGTCTCCGATCGTTGCAACTCCAATGGTTAAGACAAAGAAAAGGTCGTTCTGGGACGTGCAAACTGTTGGTGTTGATCCTGACGAGCCGACATCAAGGACAATGTACGTGTCTCCGTTTAGCAACCCAGAGGGGTTTATGAATGCGAAGCGAAGACGACAACGACGACAGCAACTAGCCAAAGAAATGAATGAAGAAGAGATGCACACTGCTCGTGACGCTTTTTACGATGACTCAAAGAGTGACGCACAAGACATTGGGCCACGACCACGACATATTATGGCTTCTGCTATTCCAGCGATCGATGATGTTGCAGATGAATGGATGTCGGATTCCAAGGAAGTGGCATGGGATGATGAGAAGGTTTCTAGCAAGGTGGTCGCAGTAGGGAACAAAACACGCTTGACTCCTAGTCGATCAAGTGATATTGGTAGTAGGCGCAAGACGCCGTCGAAGCAGCAATCATGTAAACGAGTGCAGACGGAAGAGAGTGATTCCAGCGAAGACGAGAAGGAAACTTTTACTTGTGAACGGTGGCCGCAACTTGATCTACCTAAGGTGCGCTTTCATGCACCATTATTCTGTTGTGCTTCACAATGCGAGCAACTAAAGACATGTACGCTCGGTTTTTGGTTAGATTGATGCTGGCCCTATGATTCTGACATCTTCGGTGGAGGAAGGATCCAAGACTCTTGAAGTTTGTGCAAGTATGAATAGCTACCTGTTTGAGTACCAGCGCGTAGGTGTGGAATTTCTCTACAACGCCTACCTGCGTGGCACTGGCGCAATTTTGGGTGACGATATGGGACTTGGAAAGACGATTCAGGTCATTGCGTTCCTGTCGGCACTTTTAGGCAAGTGTGGCGATCACCGTGACAAAGACGCATGGAGGGCGTTGCTGCATCAGCGTCGAGAACGGCATAATGATAGTGGTTGCAGTGGTCATCCTGAAGACTCGGGTTATAGCTTTGCTGGTGAGGTTGCGCCAATTTTTATTGTAATGCCTGCATCTCTGCTCCAAAATTGGGAACAAGAGCTGCATACATGGATGAGCTGTACGACTGTCATCCTTCGAGGAAAACCAAGTGACCGCGACGCAATGATCGACCAAATTGCAAGGTTGGTAACTTCTTGACCTGCTTTTGTTTATACATGAGCTTCTGCTTTATCTGTGGCGTTTCATTTGCATGTATAGGGGTGAATATGAAATCGTTATTTGCAGCTACGGTATCCTGAAGATGTATTCGAGTCGACTGCACAAGATTTCATGGGAGGTTGTGATTCTGGACGAAATGCACTGCTTGAAGAACCCTGAGGCTCAACTTACGAAAGCTGTGAAAGCGATTACGTGTCGTAAAAGACTTGGACTTACTGGAACATTGATGCAAAACAATGAGAAAGAGCTTCATTGCTTGGTTGACACTATTGCGCCAGGGGCAATCGGGTCTTGGACGGAGTTCAGTATGTATTACGGAAATGATATCAAGTACGGAAGAAAAAAATCTGCTGCTCCTGAAGTTGTTGAACGGGGTCAACAGAAAGAAAAAGAGTTGCGCAAGAAGCTGCAACCATACTACCTTCGACGAGAGAAAGAAATCAATCCGACGTTCCAAGAAGTTAAGAAAACTGACCAAGTGGTATTCTGTGACCTGACCACACTTCAAATGGCAGCATACCAGCGGGTATTGGCGATGCCTGAGTTTCAGCTGCTTCAACGTGGAGATGAAATCTGCGACTGTGGTCGCGATAGTAGGGAGACACGGAAAAAGTGCTGCTACAAAACACCCAGGGATGTTGGTGATGCTCCAGGATTGCTGTATGAACGTTTTCACAAAGATGGACCATGCAAAAATTGTCCAAACTGCATGGGTCTTCCTTGTGTGGCTATGCTGTTGAAGCTGTCTAATCATTTAGAGTTGCTGAAGGTTAATCCGCATGATGGAGCGGAGCTACAACATTACCAAGCTGAGTTTGCAAGGATAGCATTTGGTACCGATATTGATGCTGTTGGAGGTGTCGAACAGGTGTCAAATTTCCAAGAAATGTGTGCTATCTCGACGAAAACTTGCGGTAAGATGATAGTACTGGAGAAACTACTCGCAATATGGAAGAAACGTCGGGAACGATCGCTTATTTTCAGTCGAAGCACTCGAATGCTAGACATCATTCAGCTTTTCTTAATAACAAAAGCGACACGATACAGTCGATTGGACGGCAACACAAAGGTGGAAGACCGTTTGCAAATGGTAAACGATTTCAACAACCCTTGCAGCAACACTACTGTATTCCTAATTAGTACAAGAGCTGGAGGTGTGGGTCTAAACTTACAGAGTGCGACGAATGTCGTAATCTTTGACCCTAGCTGGAACCCAGCACACGACTGCCAGGCTCAGGATCGGGCGTATCGTATCGGCCAAACCAAAGATGTGCAGGTATACCGACTCATTACGCTTGGAACAATAGAAGAGATGATTTACGTTCGTCAGATTTATAAGCAGCAACTCAGCGACACAACTTTGAAGGGCGCCAATACACCACGATACTTTGAGGGTGTACAAGGAAACCCACAACAACGAGGAGAGCTTTTCGGTATCGCAAACTTGATCTGCTGGAAACCTAATGGTGTGCTCAAGGGAATTCAGGATGTGTATCAACGAAGCCGTGACGGTTTGATAGTGCAATCGAACCGAGTTCGATATGACGCTGTGCCGATAAAAAAACATGCAAAGAAGTCCCAACCAGATATCGTGAACGATGACGAAGGTGAAATGATCGAGGTGGCTGACGAACTGATTTCGGAGATTCTAGTACCGGAGGACTCACCTACATTATCTTCTACAGAAGAAAAGCCGGCAGCTATCAGTAGTGATAGTTGCGACAATGATATGGACGTGCTGTTTAATGGAGCTACGACTTTTCGCCACAGAGATATGGTTGGTGAGCAAGAAGGCGAGCAGCCGGAAGCTCTTCAACTGGAAGGCAATGTAGCAGTGGTTAAGGATTCGGAATCTGAGCTGGATGCATCGGCTTGTAAAAGCGATATCGAGCAACATGCCATCGACCAGCAACCATCTTCATCTTGTCCGGCGTCTGTGAAGAGATCCCGTGGCAGCATTCTATCACGCATGAAAGATGCAGCAGAAGGTTCGAAAGATGACTCTACGTTGGACAAAGAGCCGCAGAAAAAGTTGTATGTGCCCATATACTTGTAAGCAACACAAGACATTACGGTTTGAAATTGTAGTACGCTACTTGCAAAGCTGGAGATCAGCTCCAAGACACTTGTATCAATAACGACAATTGCTGTAGTAGCTAAACCACTAGCTAACTAGATCTGGAAATGATTAATCGTTGTCGTGGCCTTGACCTTACTGGTATTCTTGCTGGCCTCCTTGCAATACATAAAGGTTGTGGCCTCCTAGAGAATAGTATCATGAATGTGCACCAATTGTGAGTTGCTTGCTCTGGGCCTAAAGCCAAGTACACTCATGACCCCGTCACCACATATTAAAAAGTTAACGAGCCTACATGCATGTACTTCCTTCTCTGCTTGACACACGAACGTGCTGATGCAAGAGTGAGAGAGAGCAAAGCTGCGAGTTTACGCAGGAGCTAATCTCGGTCTAATCTCGAGACAGCGCATTCTCCAAATGGCTTTGATGGCCCCGCGTGTATCCCTTGCCCTTTGTCAGTAGCTTGCATTTCGTGGAACCATCTATCTACTAGGGTCTTCCTCTACCAGCCTCTGTCATGTCTCAGCAATTACATTGTTCCGCAGTGTTATCCTTCGGAGGCGGTGCAGCTGTCAGCTTAATATCAATCACTGCGGTCATTAACAACACCCACAACATCAGACAGACAGCCGAGTCAGTCATAGGTATCGTCCCCCCAAAATCAGCCAGCCAAGTAGTTTGACGCACGATTCGAGTCTCCGCTTATCATGGTGCTTTCCATCCCGGGCAGCACAGTCGCTAGTTTACGGAAGAGTGCTTTGATATTGTAGCCCGCTTTTGCACTCGTCTCGATAAACATGACGTACTCCTCTTTGGCTTTGTCTGAACCTTCTTCAATCGAGACCTGGCGTCGATCTGAAATGTCCGTCTTATTACCCACGAGCATAATCACGACATCCTGTCCACGTTCCGTCCGGACGTCCTCAATCCATTTGCTCGTGTTTAAGAACGAAGCTCGATCTAGTGTAATCCATAAAGAAACATCACAAGTCAGTCATTGAAACTCTATAGAAAGTAACACGATACAATATCTAAAAGCTCTCACTTGTAATGTCATAGACAACAACAGCCACTGATGAGTCTCGAATGTAACTGGGAATGAGACTCCGAAAGCGTCTGTTAAGACAATAGAAATGACAACAATTAGTTCCAAGCAAAGTAATAGTCGACTAAACATCATGAATCCACACTGTCTCTTCTTACTCTTGACCCGCCGTATCCCAGAGCTGCAATCGTACAGTTCTATCTTCCATGTACATGGTCTTGGATAGAAAATCAATGCCAATAGTCGCTTGATACGCATTGTCAAATGTGTCATACATAAAACGTGTAATCATCGACGTCTTGCCAACTCCCTGATCACCTAAAAATACCAACTTATACTTGGCTAGTGGTGCAATTTGTGGCACATCGACAATAGCATCAGAAACTCTCTCTCTGTCTCTAGCAGTCGATATTACAGTCTCTGACTCCTTGGTCAGTGTCCTTGCTGTCGTCATTTTGCTCTCCTTTTAAAAGGTGGATTATGTACACCACACGACTAAACTATACTATCTCATAGTTGAACGACGTACCATCACTCTTGTTTTTAGTCTTCAAAACGCCTTCCAAGTCGCAAGTGACGATGGAGGAGACGAGTCGAAATGACGTACGTCCACGTCGTGGTCTCTCCCGTACCACACGATCCACTTTCAAGTCATCAAGACGTGTTTTATCGAAAGTACCACATGATGGCGGATCGTCTGCTGATGAAGAAGATGAGGAAGAAGAAGAAGAAGAAGAAGAAGAGATTGAAGAGGAAGAAGAAGAGATTGAAGAGGAAGAAGATGAGCCTGTAGATGAGGCAGAAGAGGCGGAATTGGATGCTATTGATGCTGCTTATCGTATTTCACCTACAGCTAGAGAGCTACATACATTGGAACAAGGGACACTTGTTCGTATTCTCAAGACACCTGACGTCGAACAACGTGTGCCCCATACAATGAACAAGATTGGAGTGGTAGAGGAAGTACCACATCATCCGAATACATGGTATAAAGTACGAATTCGTGATGGAGATGTCGTGTACAAGTACCGACCATCGGCATTGGAGGTACTGGAAGACGGAGACGAGGTTGGTAGTTTGAATGCGTCTCCACTTCACAGTCCATTGAGACATCAAGAGAAGAAGAAGAAGAAGAAGGAGAAGACGAGGAGGAAGAGCAAGAGCATAAAAAGAAAGATGATCACTTAGAGCCAGGGACACGTGTGGTGATAAAGTTGGAGATGCTTTACGGGGCTGAAAAACGGTATCTGAAGAATTATGACGGAAAAGAAGGAGTCGTTACTGGACATGGAAAAGCAGGTGTTGTGGTGCAGCTTGATGCAGATGAGGATATTGCACTGACGCTGCATCGGAAACATTTGATGGTCGTGCCGGAGGAAGAAGATGATGGGGAAGAAGAGGAGGAAGAGCAGAGCGAGGACGAACAACAAGACGACAAGAAAAAAAGGCCCGCTGTACCTCACATGAAGAAGCGCTTGAAGGGGAAATTGCTGTCGGTACTTGATCCAGACATGTGGATCGATCGCAGGTGCCGAATCAATGTGGGCAAGTTCAAAGGTCAACGTGGTCGCGTGCTGCGTTCGGGAAATGGTTGGGTGCAGCTTAAACTTGAAAACTCGAGTGAAAATACAGCCAAACGTGCGTACGAGCTCACACTGCTTGAGGATTTGGAGACCATCAAGGTGCTATTTGCCAAAACTCTCGAGAAGGAAAGAAAGCGTCGTGCGGAGGGTCGTGTCAATGGAATCATTCACCGACGTGATGATGGAGACGAGGAGGACAACGACGAGGAGGCTAGTCACAGCGGCACGGATGACGCTCTGGCGGCAGAACAAACTGAGGACTCCCAAGGCGAAGATGACAGTGGCAAACGCTTACGTCGTGTGTCCACTCGCGGGAATTATGGTATTTCGTGGATCGAAAGGAAGGTGAATTTACCCCATCGCAAGGGCTATGGTATCGTGAAAAAAGCGGACCGCGATACGTGCACGGTGGAAATTCAAGCCACTAAAGTGATCCAAGTGTTCAAAAAGAAAGACTTGCAACTTGCCAATGCCAGCCTTCCCAAGACTGCCCGCCAGAACAGCCGCAATCGCAATAATGCCAAAGCCCGGGAGAAACTGGGGCTACATGACGACGCCGTCCTCATGGGCACGACACCGTCACGATACATTGCGTTCCAGGACGTTGTGAAACGGTTCGCATTGCGTCGGCGTGAAAAGCTGAAGAAACGTCCAAATCTTATTGAGTGGCAAGCACGGCTGAACCTGAATTATCTGGAGAACGGACACTGGGACAAAAGCAACCCCTCGGTGATCGATTTGGTCGTGGTTTCTCAGTGCGAAATTTGTGGCGTGGAGAAGGAGGTACGACACATTGCGCGATATTGGTTTGTGCTACTATCTGATATGTTGCGGTTTGATGTTTGACAACTAGGAAATGAATGGCCATTGTTGGAATAATGAGTGTCCGAGATGCCCCGTCTTTGATGTGGATAAGTTTGACCCGAAGGACGAAAATGCTATCATGCGAGTGCCAGTTACACCATTCGCTAATGACACTATCACTACGTCGCTGTGCTTTTCGAAGGAGGACTTGTCACGGAAACGAAAGCGTAGAATACTGGAAACAGCTTTGGCTGAAGCTGCTGAAAGAAACGAAGTGGACACCGAACAGCTTATTTCGCCTACGTTGGAGCCCAAGGAGGCTATAAAAGATGCCCCTAAGCCCAAGAAAACTCCAATTGCAGTAACTGATAAGGATGAGAAGCCCACAAGGAAGAAACCCGGGAAAGTGTCTTGCGACCGTAGTGAGCCAAAAAGCAAAGCTGTCACAAAGAAAGCGAAATCGAAGAGGAGTTCCAGGAATGAGGTCCCAACTGCCGTAACTGAAGCTGCAGAAAATGGCGAAACCTCGCCAACAGGCGCCTTCCGTCCTCGGTATGACAGTGTGTTTACCCGGTAGATAGCTCTGCGCGAGAGAAGGTCACCTTGAGTGTGCAAAGGTCGACGGAAGTGCATGTACATTCCGTTTTTGATTAAAATTTGCTTGCAATTTTTTGTGTTGCTTAACTTTACTTGTTGCACGCAGGCCGTCAATCTTTTTAAGATATAACAAGGACACCGCTGTGTTGGTTTGCATACCCTTACGCGACGAGATAACATCGCTGTAAGTCAGGTCTGAACATCATTACGATTATGTGACTACAGGTCCAATTGTGATGATGAATTTGGGCGTCACGTCAGCATGATGAGCGACGGCCACGCTAGGAATTTTTGAGCAATAGGGCTGTCAAAATTCGATCGAAAGAGTAGGTGTCATGACTTTGTACCAACGCCAGAGCCCAAAAGACATGAACGCAACGTTCACATGCTTCCGTTCACAAGACGCATGTAAGCCCGACAAGCTTACAGTCGCTATCGTCAGCTGTAAAAGAGTCCCTATGAACGACTCAAAACGACGAATTACCAGATATGGTTGACCAGTGGCATATCCTCTATTTGTCAGCCATTTACAGTTTTGCATTTGACCAGAGTCCTTATTTGCGTGATACGGCGCACGATACAACGGGCTGTTACCAGCGCTAACTCTTGTGGTGCTATTGTCAAGTTTCTTCGACTGGACACCTGCGCCGTCAACCATCCGTATCGTTTCTGTACGTTATGACGAGGTCATCTGAACAAGATCAAGCGGGTAGATCGCTTTGCCTGATGCGATATGATTAAAGAAGGTGACAGGTTCCGATCCACGAAGTGGCAACGACGCAACTTGATCAATGCGACACCAAGTAGCTCCAGCACTTTCATAGTCAGGAATTGACTTGGGTGACTGGTCGCAGTTCAATGGCTCGGCGTAAAAGACAAAACGCATTCGCACATATTGACTCCCATTGCGGTCTTGTTTGGGATGATACTCGAGCTTCAAAAGCCCAGTAAGGCGGATATCGATTCCAGCTTCTTCTTTTGTCTCTCGAACTGCTGCCTCTGCCGGGTTCTCGCCACTATCGATACGTCCACCGGGCAACCAAAAGCCCGAGTTGGCAAATTCTTGTACAAGTAAGAAACTGTTGTACTTTTTGTTGTGACAGACCACAAGAGCAAACGAATACAATGTACTGTCGGCCATATGGAACTCACTTGTCATCTCATGTCGTCCAGGAGGTCCATGGGCATTGTGCATATGGACTTGAAAAGGACCGCGTGGAGTTTCTCGACAGATTGGACACGTGACTCCATCAGTGTTTTTCCCATTAATATGGTACAGTGGACAATGTCTCCATAGCTGATCTTCATCCATGCCAGTCATGTTACAAAATGGACACGTAAATCCATCACGTCCACCTGATCGACCTCTATTTTTCCGTCTCGAGTACGAGTCTTGACTTGATTCTGTCCCACAAGAGGCAATAAAAGCCAAGACATCACGTAGATCATCCAATGATTCGGTGACCATAGAAGCTCCTTCTTGAAAACATTGATAACGACCCATTGGATGTTCCGATAGCTGTGGACTAAAGACACAGAGGAAAATCTGTTTGCTTATCGTGCGAATAATACGCAATAGCGAGTATAGACGGCGTTCTGAAAGACCGGAAGCACGAAGTATAACGGCATCAAAGGGGATGCTAGAAGAGTCATAGGATGAGGTCGAATGGTAGACGACACGCCGGTCAGTACTGGCGCTCGCACGAGCGTGCGTTTGCATGAGTTGATGCATGACGTCAGTCTCGTCATTTATGGCTAATTCGGTAATAAATCCATGGGTCGTACAGGATTGTACACAGGCATTATCGAGATTATCCAGAGGCACATCGTGGCTTGATACGTTTCGGATCACTAAAGCACGCTTCATATTAAATAGTGGAAGAGAGGAATTGAAAAAATAATAATTGTTGTAACAATTATTGTATAAAAGTATTGAGGTACTTTTTTGGTCTTGTTGTATTGATAATGTCATGCTATTTAGAAATTCTGGATAAGGGTACATATCTAGGGTTTCTAAATGGCGTGAGTGTATACCCACTTCAACTATACTGTAACAATACATTGACTGATGTTCAGACATCTACCAGGAAGGGTCTCGATACAGCGTAACATTGACCTTCGAATAGCTTGTGGAATAGCACACCTCAATGGCATTGGCTAAGCCGTGTTGTGGTGCTGATGGTACATCACTGTAGATCCGAGTTCGAAGCCGTATCCATTTGCTTGGTCAGAGCGTTTACAGACGACCGTATAACGCTATAACGCAGCAACTTCTTGTATTGCTACCAGTGCCGTATCTTGATGCCTTCTAATACCACGAAAGCCTTGGCTTTCCTCAGTGAATTCAAGATCGAGATTTCATAGACACTGCGTTTTGTCGCAGTGCGATGATCTGTTGATGGAAATCACCGACTTTTCAACTGTACGCATTGCATTAACAACAATTTCAATGGTTGCAACCGTTCCGACTCAAAGTTTAGTCTGCAGCATCAACAGCACATGCGATCTCAAGCATCGGTACCAACCTGATCATGCAAGAAGCTGCTTTTCACCTATGAAATCTAGCTTAACTAATAGCTTTTTACTATAAGCGAGTGTAAAATCGACGGCCTACTATGGCAAACAGTTGCTTATGGTGTTTGTAATACGCAGTTATAAGCATGCAGGTCTTTTTCTTGAATGATCTTATAATCTTATATCTTCTCAAAACAAATATATTCGATCGGATAAATGAATGACGCGCCAGACGCGATGAAAAGTCTACTTTTATAAGTACGTCATTCGTCGATCTACCAGCAGTATCTCAAAAGATAGAAACGCTGTCCGATAGAAATTGTCCCAGAAAGAGTCAATCGTTCTTACAGGTGTTGCCGACGCGACCACAAGTATGAAGTTTCACAATAAAGAAGTGCTCAATGATACATGGACACAGTTCTTGGCATTATGTCTTCTCCTGATGCTGTCAGTCGATTCACTCAAGTACGTCTCTTTTTTCCATTGTATACATTGTATACACATTTGAACCTATTGTGGTATACACCAACACCTACCTCTACTTAACTATACACCTGTGTATATGTATCATATAGTCCAATTAAAGCTGTAAGCCGATTCCTAGGCTTACCATCTTATTATTGGGGTCTCTTGGCTGTTGGCATGACACTTGGTCTGCTCTTTCACAATGCAGCAGACGTCATATATCGCTCGACCCGTGTTTTTCTCAATAGTATCCTCAGTATTTCCTTCAAAAGTGTCGACCTCATTGGTCTCGACAATGTCCCAACTGAAGGACCTGTTATCTTTACTGGAAATCATGCCAATCAATTTGTTGATGGCCTTGTGGTCATGATGACAAGTCCACGTAAAGTGGGCTTTATGATTGCTGAAAAATCGTGGCATTTGCCTGTTGTGGGTCATTTGGCTCGTATCATGGGCTGCATTCCAGTAGTTCGTCCTCAGGATTCAGTAGCTACAGGTGTGGGTAAAATCAAGCTCGTCAGTAGAGAACCTCTAGCGCCTGTGAGTTCAATTTGTGGGGGTGCTAGTAGTAGTAAATCTCAATGGCTCGTACAAGGTGAAGGGACGAGTTTTAATAAACAGGTGACACCAGGTGACCAGATTCGATTTCAAAGCAAAAGTGTCAAGGACTCGGGCTCACCTGTCAAGATTGTACAGGTGTTGAATGATACACAATTACTACTGGACGCCCCATTGAAGAACGACATTGACGAGATGGTACTGGAGTATGCTGCATTCGGGATTTTAAAACGTGTGGATCAATCGGTGACATTTGCAAAGGTGTATACGCACTTGAAGCGTGGCAATTGCATCGGTATCTTCCCCGAAGGAGGTTCACACGACAGGACAGACTTATTGCCACTCAAGGCAGGTGTTGCTGTTATGGCACTCGGTGTCAAGGACAAGTACAATATCAATGTGCCCGTCGTACCTGTTGGACTCAACTACTTTCGTGGACACCGCTTTCGTGGACGTGTGACTGTGGAATTTGGCACTCCAATCACTGTGAATCAAGAGTTGATGAAAAAGTACAGGGAGGACAAGCGTTCAGGCTGCAACTCTTTTCTCCACCGCGTGGAGGAGAGTATGCGCTCGGTGATTGTGACCACGCCGAGCTATGGTGTCATGCAGGAAGTGCTGACTGCCCGTCGTCTGTATCAGCGCTCAGGTGTACGTCTGTCTGCCAAGGAGACGCAGGACCTAAACCGCCGCTTTGCTGAGGGCTACAAGGTGTTGCAGGATATACCCGAAGCACAAGAAGACCTCACAGCTCTACGACAGAAGCTGGATACCTACTACAAGACGCTGCAGAAGATGGGCCTCAAGGATCATCAAGTGCCCTACATCCCGTGGTGGACCATTCATGACGTGCTGGGCTCGGCACTTTACGGTCTATTGATCCTTTTGTTGTCCTCGATCCCGTCCTTCATTTTGAATGCACCAGTGGGTCTTTTGGCACGTCATATGGCTAACTCGGCGCAGAAGAAGGCTCTCGAGGGTTCCAAGGTCAAAGTGTTGGCGCGCGACGTTCTTCTCAGCAAGAAGATACAGTTTTCAATCGTAGCCGTGCCGTTGCTGTGGTTCATATATCTTGCTGCGGCTGTGGCCTTTACAGATTGGTATTGGTCGTCCATTATGCTGCTCATGGTGTCGCTCCCTATGTTTTCATTCTTTGGTGTTCGCTCCGTGGAGGCTGGTATGATTGAGCTGAAGACTGTTCGCCCTCTCTTTTACCGCCTGCTGCCGACCTACAAGGCTACACAGGATGAGCTCCCGCGACAGCGCGCTGAGCTACAAAAGGAAGTGCGCGAGTTTGTCAAGAAATACTCGTCAGTTTTGGGAAAGCTGGCCGAGCCAAAGAAGCTTGACTGGAGTGAGTACATGCATGAACGCTCGTTGCTGCTCGCCGAGAAGACCAAGATCCAGGTCGAGTCGATCCCACCACCACCTCCAGCACATGATCATGAGGAAGAGGGTAGTGAAGAATTTCGCGAAGGCAAAGACGACATTGGCTCTCCCATGCCTACGATCACTAAATTCCACGACATCAGCATCTTGGGGAAGTCAGAGAAATCAGTGGTTGACTTGGCGGGCCTTGAACGCTCCATGTTATTCCCACCTGGATACCAGGAGCTAGCCCAGGAGTTAGTCAAGCAGCGTCAATGCTCCGATTAGTTTGGCCAAAGAGTAACTTGCATTGGGAACTTGTAGTCGCATGTCGCTGCGTGTGGAATGTAATCTTCAAGTACAAAGTCATGCCTATTCATTTACTCTTCTCTCATCTCTAACTCATGCACGTCATCTGCAAAACTAACGCACCAATTCACTTGTGGAAGATGGAGCCACGACGCAGTGCAGCAACAGCTTCCTCACGGTCCTTGTCGCTGAGCAGGTTCAGCACCTCAAGAATACCAGCCACGGCAGCCTTGGGATCCTTGCGGCCGATCTCGACAACCTGCGAGGCCATTTGCTCCTGGCGAAGATCTGCCACACGCGAAGCGATCCATTCCTTATCACTCGACAGCCACAGCAACACATCCGAGTCACCATGCGACCAGAGCTCGGACACGGACACATTCTGCTGACGCGGCACACGACCGCCGTTCACAGCCTCCGTAAACCAGCCCTTGAGAACCTGCTCCGAGCCCACGAAACTCGTCGCACGAGGGCCACCAGCGCTTGCAGCCACGACCTGGCGGCGCAACGAGAACTCTGCGAGCTGGCGCTTCAGACGCCAGTAAAAGAACTTACGCGAGTTCGACCAGGGCACAACCTGACGGATGCATCCCACGGATTTCATGCGACCAGGTCTGTCGTGGAGATCACCAAACTCCGTAGCCACCTGCACGTAGATCGGCAACAGGGTGTCCTCACGGACCTTGATCTCAGCCGAGATCTTGGCGTTCTCGGTCTCCTCGTCAGGCGACAGCTTAGCCAAACGAGCAGTGAGCTGCTTGAGCTTGTCGTCAAGACGATGCATGGTCTGCAAAAGCTGCTTTTTGCGGTACTTGATCTCGACGAGACCAGCCGGCTCGAGGACACCACCACGACCCTGTGGGTCCGCATACATCTCCATGATACCCTCGTTGATGGTAGGGTCCACCACGGCCCATGCGCCACCACGCAGCTCAGCAAACGGCGGAATATAAACAAAAACGGGCTGCTCATAGTCCACGAGACCGTCCACAATGGCAGCACCAAACTTGAGCACTTCGTCGAACATGTCGCGCTGACCACCAGAGAAACCGCGCCAGTTCGCCAGAATGAACAGCGGCAGGTCCTCGCCCTTGAAGTCCTTGATAGCAGTAGCCGTCTTGTGAGCCGAGTCTGGGAACCATACTTGACCAGCCTGCTGAACCAGGTTCTCCTGCGACGCCGGCGTCGCCGGGTCAGCTGGAATGATCTTTTCGGAAGTACGCACCTCGGTGACTACCACACCGCAAGGTATGCCACCTAGACGGCCACGTCCGACAACCACGCTCTTGGCCCAGCCGTCAAGCGTCTCGCGGAACGAGTCCTTGTCCATGAAGCCCGATACCCACTTGCCCATTGCCTCGTCGACCTTACCCACCAGCAGAGCGCGCGGGTCGTACTGCGTACTCTTGTCCTTCGGGCAAAAGTCCACCGTACGTTCGATCTCGTCCACTCCCGTCAGGTCACGGATCGGCAGAGGGCCGTGGCGAACCGCCGGAACGAAGCTCAGCCACTCAAGAATCGAGTAGATGCCCGACAGGTGGTTCTTCGCCGTCAAATGAGTCACACCGTTCGTATGCATGATCTTCACACCACCCAACTGATCGTTCGAGGTGTACACTTCTTTACCCATGAGCTTGTTCAGTGCCTGGTAGCCCGTCAGGATAATCGGCGAGTGTGTAGCGTTCTGCACCGTACGATGGCCTAGACGGACCAAGTAGGCACCGATTCCAACACTACGGCCGCAGGCGTACGTCAGCGTGAACACATCCTTGTAGGCACGCGACGTTTCGCCGGCAATCGTACCGCTTCCACGCAAACACTCGACACCCAGATCAATTTCGCGACCAACAATATCTTTCAGCACGTATCGCTCCTCGCCCGTGCTAGTGACCAGCAGCTCGGCGTTAACAGAGCCCTCAGACGACGCAACCTTGTGGTCCTCGGGCGTCAGGTACAAGTATTCAAAGCCCTTGGTCGGGTTGGTCCCGTCTTTCCAGCTAATCTTGTAAAGTGCCTTGATGGACTCAGACATGCCAATACGGGCACCAGCATTCGCTGAGAAGAAGAAGCGAGGAATGCCCTTCGAGCGAGCCAGCTTCGATGCCAAGTCGAATAGCGTGTCTTCGCGGGTACCAAAGGAGCCGGCCTTGAACGTGATATCGTTAGCAATGATAATGATCTCACGTCCGTTTTGGAACTCCGGGGTGTACAGCGTCAGCAGCCACGCCACCATGCCGATGTCGTTTTGGCCCCGAGGACGCAACGTCTCCGTCAGAGACTTGCCCGTTGCATCAAGGACCAATTCGCGCGTTTCCATGAGCAGGTTCGGGATGGTGATCTTTGCGCCGCCACCGCGCGTACGCTGCTGTACGTACTTGCGCCATTGACGCAGCAGGTTGTAATCAATGAGCTCAAGGAAGTCGTACACGTACACTGTGTTAGACATTGCCTTCGCCATCTGACGCTTCTTGTCGAACGGGAACACAACCGGGTATGGTGTCGTGACTGGCAACCCGTCAAGCTCGCCGTGTGTCTCATCACCAATCGAAGTGAAGATAGGCTCGTCGTGACCCGCAGCCTCAACATATGCCTGCACACGGACCACATAGCCCGTCGGGTTCTCAGCCACAAGGCGCACAGGGATCGCTGGCGCCTCACTGTTGAAACGTGCGATGATCTTGAGCTCCACCGTCGAAACACACAGCTGCTCCAGACGCTCGGCGTAACGGTACGCCAGAATACGGATCACACCTTCAAGATACTGGGGATCCACAATCGCCTGCGGCAAGATGTTCAGGTACACGTGGTTGTTTTTCGTCGGCAGCTGCGATTTCTTGACCAGAGGATTTGCCAGGTTGACCTCCAAGGCGTTCAGAGCATCGACGAGTGAGCGCTCCGGACCAGGGTAAGCATCGTACTGTGAGCGAGAGCCGCTGCCATCGTGGTCCAGTTGACGCACGACGGAGCGCACAAAGATGCGCTGGAAGCGGTCAGTCACGATGTGCGAATCGGACTCCTTAATCTTGGCCAGGTACAAGTGCACGTTCTTGTTCTCCGACGCCAACGGGGTAACGCTGTAGTTCTGCAGACGACGCAGCTCCAGTTTGTAAGCAAGCGGTGCTTCCATGTGGCGTAAGATCTTGTCTTCACTGTAGTTCAGGCGCCCAGGGAACGTGTAAATGTTCGGGTATAGTGCCATGTCAGCGTTGTGCGCGGAAATGTCCTCGATATTCTGCGGACGCACAGCGAACGTCACACGACGAATGTTGTGCGCACGCAGGTCTTGGTCCACAGACTTTAGGTAGGCCTGTGCCTGCTCCAAGAAACTCGCCTCCTCCGAGTGCTCATCCACTAGAAGAATGTGCACGACGTTCACAAGCGGGTCCTTGCGCACCGACAGCGTCTTCTTCGCGAGCGGGAACAGGCTCATGATGTCCGTGAACGACTGCTGGAAAACCTTCAGGTTCGTAAGACGAATGATGGCGCCGTGACGCTCAAAGTCAGATGATATTTTTTGGTATCCATCGGTAGGCTTGGCAAGCGGCTTCTCAACCGATTCTTGCTCATCGCTATTTTCTTCCGAACTGTGCAAGTCGAGCGAGCTCGCAGAGCTGTTGCGACGCAGCAGACACGACAAATCGTCATAGCTCTCGGCAGGGGCAACTCCGACGGCCAGCGCATCGACGACAGGCGATTTGAATTGAAACGTCTTCGCGAAAATGTCGTTAAAGGCCATAGTCTCCATAGACTCGATGACGTACGAGCGGTATACACGCAGGGCGTATAGCTCAAGAGCCAACTCGCGGACCTGCTGTTCCTCGTGGTCAAGAAGCGAAACGAGCAGGTCGAAGAGCGGCTGTGACTGATCCAGAAGGTTACTGCAAGCGGCAGAAAGGTCCGTTGACGAACCGTCAGCGATGTAGCTCTTGAGCACTTTCTCCACCTGGCTCAGACGGTCGCGGTATGACGGCATCTTGTTGTCAATCAATAGCTGACGCGCCTCCAGAGCCACCAGCGAGTACTGTTTCTCCTTAAATGTTGCAAGCTTCTCAAGAAGCGGTACGAACGCTGCCGACTTCACCGACTTGCGAGGGGCACCGCGCGCCATTTGGCCAAGGAGCTGCAGCAGCAACTTGTTCTTCGCCTCCAGTGCTTTGTGCGAACGAGCGATAGCGAACACCTTATTCAGGTCGGCCAAGTTTTGCTGACGTAGGGCCATCACCACATCCTCGACGTTGTGTGAGTTCGCGTACACAGTTTCGACAGTGAAGTACTCGTTGATCAGCTCCGTAAGCACAGCCTCTTCGCCAGACTGCAAACCGTGCTTGTACTTGGCGGCAATATCGCGGAGCGTCATCACTGAGGCCTCGAAGTCCGATCGTTGGCGGTCCTTCGTGAGGGTATTCTTGTGTTCATCTAGGATCTCAATCACCTCCGCCACGTTGAACTCGTGCGTAGCCGTAGGTTCTTCAGCCACTGCCTTCTTAAACATCTGAATCTTGTCCGTAATCTTTGCGAACACATCGAGCGGAATGCGGCCGGCCAGCGACGACATAGCCTCCTTGATCTCCTCGACAGGCAAGAGCGGTTCATTCAACACCTGGAACAAGTTGACTAGTGCCTTTTGCGTAAGGTCCTCAGGAGCGAAAAAGCCTTGCAGCACGCTCTTCAAAAGTGCCAACGCCTTGCGCATCTTGTGCACAGCCTTTATGCTGTTTCCGTTAGCATTCTCTAATGGCGGAAGCTTTCCCATGTAAACGTCTGACTTTTTCACGCACGAAGGATCGTCAAGCTCCATGGTAGCAATGCAGTCGCCAGGCGCCAAAACAGCGCCCTCGGACTTGAGCAACCGGATAACACCAGCTTCCGGGGTGAGAAGTGGCATGTACATCTTCATCACCTCAATTTCAGCGTACGGCATACCACGACGCAGGCTAGCACCGTCGTCCACCAGGTAGCGAGCGAGCTTACCAGCCGTGTTGGTTACCAAGCGTGTCGGATCGTACTCCTTGGTGAACACGCACGTGTGACTGTCAACAACAAGACGCAGGCCCTGCGCCTCCTTCGTAGCGTACGCAACGTGCGACTTGCCATTCAGCAGAACGAGGAAACCGCCATCCGACAGTGTGCGAATCTCTACCTGCAGGTAGGAGCCGTTGCAGAAGAGTGTGAACTGGATTGGGCCGCTGCGGCACGCCTTGATGTTGTACTTGATCCCTTCATAAATAAGCTCAAGTGACTCCTCCTGAGACAACAAGTCATTGTGAGGGAGCTGACCGCGCTCAACTTGACTGACGTACTCCTCCTGGAGCGTATTCGACGCCTGGTACGCACAGCACACAGCACCCACGAGGACCACCATTAATGGGTCTGGACGGCCTTGCAGACGCACTTCATTGTGGTGCGAGATACGCTCGTCTAGCCATGACGTCGAGATGCGGTTGTACTTGAAATCGTCCGACTCCATCATGTTGACAATGTACTCTACAGTCGTGTGAATGTCTCCACGAATGGACAACTCTTTCAGCGCAAGAATCATGTTCTTCCGGGCCTTTTCACGGGTCAGACTCCACGAGAACAAGTGACCAATCTGTGAGTCCGCAAACTCGTGGACTTGGCCGGACGAGTCCACCGAAAAGTAGCCCCACACATCGGGCGTACTACGAAAGTTGAGCTCTTGGATTGCACCGCTAGTAGGCTGAAAGCCAGCGTTCGGGTCCTCAGCTGTAATACGCGCAGCAATGACGTGACCATGTGGAGGCTTCTGTTTCTCCGTGTCAAAATCAATAGGAGCTGTTTCGAATGCATCCTTGTTGTACAGACGACGTACATCCGGGATGCAGTACAGCGGAATACCCATAGCTACTTGGAGCTGAGCAGCCGGTAGGTTTACATGAGTAATCATCTCGGTCACAGGGTGTTCCACCTGTAGACGTGGATTAAGCTCTAGGAAGAAGAACGAATTGCCATTGTCCTCTGGCAGCTCACTGAAAAGGTACTCGACTGTACCAGCGTTGACGTACTCGACCTCTTGAGCAAGACGTGTTGCGGCACGCATCATTTTCTCCCATACTTCCTCAGTAGGGGCAAGCACTGGTCCTTCCTCCACAATCTTTTGATGACGACGCTGCACGGAGCAGTCACGACCACTAAGGGCAATGGCATTCCCGTACGTGTCTGCTAACAGCTGCACTTCTAAGTGACGTGACTTGGGTGCCAACTTCATGACAAAGATGGGCGAGCCAGGGATTTCGCCACGTACGGCTTCCCAAGCACTAAGGACTTGGTTCTCTTCATGACACATTCGAATCCCTTTACCCCCTCCACCTTCACTGGCCTTTATCATGACAGGAAAACCAATCCGCTTACATTCTTCAAGACAATGTTGACCATCACGTAGCATAGCTGCATTGTAAATCTCGTCAGGAATCCCGTCATGTTCCTTGTAGTTTACTTGCATCCCATCACCATTCCAGGCAATTGTAGGTACATTTGCACTCTGTGCAATGATCGTCGAGCCAATCTTATCACCCAGAGCACGCATTGGTTTAGCTGGCGGTCCAATAAAAATGATCTTCCGTTCCGTTTGAAGAAGTGAATCCGGTAGTAATGGATTTTCACTTGCGTGACCCCATCCAGCCCATACAGCATCCACATTGTATCTCTCAGCAATCTCAATAATGAGTGATACATTGGCATAATTGTGGTTATTCGAACCTCCAGGCACTTCGACCACATGTTCAGCCATCCGAATGTATTCAGCATTAGCTTTGAGATCTTCAGGTGTAGCCATGACAACAAACGTAACAATACGTTCATTTGCAAACATTTCATAACACCAACTACGAATGCTTCGAATGGCTTTAACAGCTGAAATCCCATTGTTTGCAATAAGAATGGACGTAATTGGACGAGATCCTTGTTGAAGACGGACATATTCATCCATATTCGAGTATGTTAAAGGATTCTTATCACTACGAAGTGTGTGTTGCATTGCATTCGATGCAATACTAGGAAATACTCCTTCCTGGGCCACCATAGAGTCTAATAAGATCTTGGAATATCTATCACCTAGAGCTCTAATTGTGGAATGACCCTGGTTTTTAAAGAGGGTAGTTTGAAATGCATGGAATTTAAACCAATGAAAAGAGAGGACATCCTTTTTCAAGGGCTAGGCTTGAAGAGCGCGTCATCGGTTGCATGGTTCGGAGTATTTCTTACAGTGCACCTTTTGTCATTTTTGACGACACCGCCCGACGATTTCGAGATTCAATGACACTTTGTACATTTTCTTAGTGTTTAATGACAACACATAGACTTCTACTTGAGCGTGGCTAGCTACATAGTCAAGTCGGAGTCTATGATTATGCTTATGAAAAGGAAAGAGACAGCGATAGTATGCAAAGTCATGGAAGTATTTATCAGGTACATGTTTATATAGTGCAAAAGGTTAAATATGATGGCAGTACAGTATGGGGCAGAGAAAGCTTGTCAAAGAATTGGAAAATATGACACAAGTGACGTCACTCGTGAGCTTATTCATGACGTTGTCGACGCACCATACAATTTCTAAGCGGGGGAAAAAAACATAGACGAGCCATGATGCTTGCAGGTGATGCCTGCCACATGTCGCAGCCGATGACGCGCATGTAGCCATCTGGACCTGCCTCATCGCAATGAGAGATTCCTCCTACCCAAAAAGTAGCTTATTAATTCAATTCTTGGATGAGCCGATAAGGTGTTATAATATGCAGTTTCCATCTTGTATTGGATCGTGAATCGCTTTCCACTAAGCCGATCATCCGATCAACAGAGCTATAATGAAGACCTCTTTCTATCAATTGTCCAGAACTTTCGACACGGTTATTTAGATTTGCATCTATCGTCCATTCCTCCATCATTTGCTGTGATGAGATAAGGACTTTGCAAGAATTGGCTCGTCATAGTTGGCGACGTAAAACAAGTATTGCCGCTCACCTTGCCTGTACAGCAATGGGGCCGATTTGCGTTGGCTTGCATCTCAAGTTGATTCAAACATCGCTGTATCGACTTTTGCTCTCGTCAGTCTTCAGCTGGTATTTCAAAGCAGGCAATAGGTGGTCTAAGAAATAAGCAAGAGCTGTAGCTTCTTCAGCATCGACCCCATCACCTCTTTCACTTGGACAGCATTCACCTAACGCTTTTTGGTTTCTTGGCAAAGCGACCAACTTTGGTAAAAGGTTCTGCATCACATGCGACAAAGATAACAAACAGTTTTCGTTAAGAAGTCGGCAAAGTTATAGGCACGTATCCACTGACTACCATACTGAGACCCAACCAGCTACCTAAGTGCAGCGCTTCTTTGCCGGTGCTTTGCGTGGCGCCTTTTTTCCTGTAGCAGCAGGAGCCTTGCGCTTTGCGCCGCCCCGCGGCTTTTTCTGAAATTTGCTAACATCCAAGTCTACCTCCTCGTCTGGCTCACTCTCTGCGTCCGACGGCGGACGTAGACCATTCTCCTCGTCTTTGACGGCATTAGCCTTCCCTCGTCCCTTCTTGATGGTGGTTGACCCAAGAACCGACTCCACAACTGCTTGGGATTTATGAGATGCCTTGTTGTACCTGAATTGACAACGCAAAATGTAGATAGACAAAAGCGTATCAGTGAGCATGCTGCATGGAAGAGAACGCTAGATAGACGCAAAGTCGTGTGCACATCGTACATTCGCGTGAACGTCGTCTTCGCCTTGGAGTCGAGCTCCGAGTAAGAGTGTCGTTTTACACCAGGGAACTTGAAGCTTTCCATAGACTCCGTAAGGTCTTCGCGGGTGATTTCGCACTCATCTAGCAGGTTAATCACCTCGTGGATGTTCTGCACATACGAAGCATAAGAGCGAGGCTAAGAATGACTCTACATCAATTGCAGCAACAGTTGACAGTGGATCCACGTACGTCTTCCCCTAACAGTAGCTTTTTCAAAAGGATCTCCTTCATATACGGCACGTAGTCGAGGCGGATGACTACATTTACATCAGTTAACCCATGTTAATGCCAATACTAGACACGTACGGACTGATACGTGCAACCAACACTAAAAATACCAACCTTCTCGGGATCCCGAGGCGTGCGATCTCATTCGGACTGACAACTCGCTTAGCAATCGCTTTGACTTGGAAGCCGAGGAGTTTTTTCCTAACCATCTGCGTGTAATAAGACAAACGCAAGGGTTAGCAAGTCGACCCATACCACTTTTCCACTACCAAACGTACTTGGAAAACTCTGGGTGACCAACGAATCCAGCCGAGTATATACAAGCACCAACGTTCATCGCGGCTTGCTTTGTAAGCAGATCCCAACGCTGCTCCACCCGGACATACGTATTCAGAAGGTCACTTTCTGAAATGAACTCCGACGCGTGCATCGCTGCTTCCAGGTTTGTATCTGACGACGTCCGGTTATTCATAATACTTTGAATGTAGTTTTCCTGAACCATCAGCGGCATCAAGTCGTAGTCGACGAAATACGCTTCATTTCTCGAATCGAAAGAAAGATCACGCTGAAATATCTGCTGTGTTGCGCTGAAAGGGTTTAGTCGCAGACATTCATCTTTGTTGTGCTGCGAGGACGGGTTTACCAAATCAGCATAGGTGATATTAGTGGTGGTAAGTCGCCATCTTTGCATCTGCGTCAGCAATTGTCGAATATCATTGCCGCATCGGTCGGCAGCTTCTTCGATTGCGTTCTTTTCCATGTGCAACCCTTCTTTCAAGCCAATCTCCATCATTCGCTTGCCAATTTGAACCTTTGTGGGACGCCGCATACGCAAATCAAACGAATGATTTGCCAGTGAGCGAACCTTTTGGCTTTGCCGGTCGTTGCAAATGCAAATAATTGGAGCCTTCGACTTCTTGATGAGCTGTATAAGTTCCGCCGTACCACCACGATCGCCACCGGACATACCGTCGACCTCGTCCATGATGATCACGCGATGTGCTAAATGCATTTTTCCTTTGGATTTCCCTTTCGGCGCATCGAATCGAAGTGCTTGTGTACCTAGCACGTCTTTGAGCCCGGTTTGCAGCATTTTTTTACTACGAGTGTCACTCGCGTTCAGCTCAGTGCATTCGAATCCACACTCGCGAGCAACCAGGTTCGCAATCGTGGTCTTACCAATACCAGGAGGTCCCGACAACAGCACCGTCTTCGCTCCGCGGTTCTCCGACAACTTTGTCGAAAATGGGATCTTCTTCGTCCCTTTCACGTGCATTGCCTCCCAGTCCAGAAGCCACATCTTTAGCTTTTTTCCTAGCTCAATATTGCCAATCATGTGATCAAGTGTCCGGGGCTTGTACTTGTCAGTCCACAACTCGGTATTAATCAATCTGCAGTACAATAAGCAACACAGATTCGGTAAATATGCAGCACTCGTGGTGAAGCACTCTAGTAATGCAAGCCTTATCGTACGAGTTTAGCTTGTTTTTGTCCTTTAAAGACGAGGTATCTGCAGCTTCCGCCTTCATCTTCTTTTTCTCAGTCGCCAGGTCTTGTGCCTGTTGAACTGCCGAAGCTTCGGTAATGAGATTGTAAAATTCATTCTGTGTCAAGATTTGCACATTCTTGGCTACAGCTTCCTGGTACTTGAATCCCTCCGTCACATTTCCACCCTGTTCCAACGTGGCACCAATCACCAAATGTTTCGTATTACGCGTCACGGTTTTTGCAACAGACCCACCACAACTCTTAACAAGATGCATGACATCCTCCCGTGACAGATTTTCAAATACACCCGAGAAGACGAACGTCTTGCCATCAAGACATCCTGAGCACGGAGCCGGAACCTTTTTCAACGCACTTTCCTGCTTCACAATAGCTTCCTCTGAAGCAGAGCCACTTGTAGTCGAGCTTGCAACGTTTTGGCTATTGTCTGTCATTACTTTTAGCTCCACTTTTGGCATTTCTTCATCGTTTTGATCCCCACGACACAATCGCTTCCGCTGCGTCGCTTTTCGCTTGAGCTTCACGTCCACCACTTCATTGTCACTGGACTTCATGTCGATGTCCGAGTCAATTGTCCTCTTTGTCTTGTGGTTCTTGGCTACAGCTTTACGTTTGGTACTAACGTCGTCGTCGTCTTCATCACTGTCGTCCAGTACTACGACATTCTGTTTCGAAGTGCGACGAGTTGTACGACGTGATGATGAAGGTGTTGGCTCTGGTTCCGCTCGCTTGGCTGGCAAATGACACACGAGTCCATTACTATGATACAGGAAGAAATGGATGGAGATTATTTCATACAAGAGATTAAAGACACAACGTACATTTGGCTGGTGTCACTACCTTCTTCTTGCTACTAATGCTAGGAGGTTTCTTCTGAAAAAACGAGCGAATGTCCATAATTGACGGTCGGGTCCTTTTACGAGTATCAACAAGAGGTGGACCTTCCGATGGTGCTGGTCTGTTTTCCCGCCAAAAATTGACAATAATTCATGTCCTTGTAAAGGAAGATTCCAAATTCTCGGAAAACGATATGATGTGGTGCACATGAAATACCATGATTGCTAATAAAGCTCGAGAAAATGGAGCTCTCTCCGACGGTGCTCAAATATGGAAGTCTGTGCATCTTGTGCGTACAAAACAGTCTCTTGGTAATTCTAATGCGTCTCTCGCGAGTCGGCAATTTTCCGCGCTTTATTCCTGCCACTGCCGTCTTTATAGGGGAAGCACTAAAGTTGATCACGTGTTTCGTCGTGCTTATCCACGTAAATCTCAATTTGCATGAAGTACATTTCAATTGACTGTATCTAACTATTGACCATTTATAGGAATTCCATGGACTCGAAAAGCTACAGCGTCGTAAACGTCTGGGTGATTCCTTCCGTGCCATCACCAACATGGGTGAATTGCTGCGTGTGAGTGTACCGGCAATGCTCTATGTAGTGCAAAACAACTTGCAATACGTAGCAGTATCAAATCTCGACGCATCCACGTTTCAAGTCTTGTACCAGCTTAAAATTCTGACGACCGCCATTTTCTCGGTCGTAATGTTACAACGAACATTGTTGCTCACACAATGGGGTGCTATTGTCACATTAATGATGGGCGTTGCACTCGTGCAATTAGACGAGGGGTCATCTGCTGCTACAGTGAAGTCGGAGCAGACAGTGCAGAGCACTACCAACGGACTATTGGCGGTTATCGCTGCTTGTATGTGCTCGGGCTTTGCTGGCGTGTACTTGGAAAAAATTCTTAAAGCTGCGGGCTCACAGACGTCCTTATGGGAACGCAACGTGCAAATGTGTTTTCTTGGACTTGTTCTCTCAGGTGGTGGTCTTGCATACAATGACTATGAGTCCATCATGACTCGTGGATTTTTCTATGGCTACCGTCCTGTAGTTTGGGCGGCCATTAGTTTCTCGGCTTTTGGTGGATTGCTTACTGCTGTGGTCGTCAAGTACGCCGACAATATTCTAAAAGCGTTCGCAACCTCCATCGCCGTCGTTCTCTCTGTCATCCTGTCGGTGTTCGTGTTTGACAAGATACCGACGGGTCAATTCGTAATTGGAGCAATTCTTGTAAATGGATCGGTGTACGCGTACGGAAAAGCCCCCGAGTGGCGCAACGACCACTTCAAATCTATCCTGCCTGTTGTAGATAAAGAAGACGCAAAGGAGGTCAAACACATAGCCTAGAAACAAGCCAGTCATGTCCAAAAATCACACACTTTTGAATCAATACATAATATACCATACATCTCAAGTGTTTGGACGAAAGATGCAAGGCTTTTGTCCATTCAATTTCAGGAGCGCTTCAAACGAGAAATATGCCCCATACAGCTACTAACACTCATTTCATCTATCTGGCTCGAATACTAACAGTAGCTGCTGCCTTTTGTTAAAGTTGGCATTAGATCTCTTGTGCGTAAGCGTGTCCAGTGTATATCGATTTTCAATCTGTAGCTCGTTCATTTGTCCTCCTCATGAGACGGTCGTCGTTGCTGCTTCTGCTGAAGAGGAGGAGCAGAAGACGATGTTTGGTTCTCACAGTATCGATTATATACGATCCCACACGTGAAAATGGTCTGCGTCGTGAGCAAAATATTCCATCGCTGGCCCCATAAATAGCCTTTTAATCCCGTCAGTGTCGCCATGGTCGCTTCTTTTGTACTAAATGACAAAACGTGAGGCTGTTTATAAATTTACAATAGCTACAATGTTATTGTAATTTTTATTCTCCATTTTGTTGTAGGATTTGCTCGTATGGATGACGATTGGCGCGAGGATGGCAGTCTCCGTAGCTTAAATGCTGGTGGTGGCCAAGGGAAGGCTCGCGGCAAAGGAAAAGGACCGCAATTTACGCGCGTCATCCCTACATTTTTGCAAAAATATTACCAGCCGCCTGCAATCCAGGCTAAATTTGCGACATTGTCTAAGGCTGGTGAGGAGGAGGAGGAGGAGGAGGAAGGACTGGACGAGGTGCAACAAGCGGCAATTGACGAGTATTTAGTCAAGAAGAAGAAGGAGACGACAATGAAGAGCTTTGAATTTAATGGAAAAGAAGATGAGAAGGATAGCAACAAGAAGAAAAAGTGCAAGACGTCAGGACAAAATGTAGTAGAGATGGGCAAAATTAAAACGGTAGACACGACGAGGAAGAAGAAGCGCAAACGCACGGATCAATTGATACTTGGTAACAAGAAACTGCTCTCATTCTCAATGGATGCTGAATGAGTGGATTAACATGTGCTTTATTACTAGTCAGTTCTATACCTACAGCGTGAGGACTAAATGTAGCTCCTGGACCAATTTCAACACCTTCTTTTTGTATAAAACCGTCTTATTACCAGGCTGAATGTAAAGTGACCATTTCTTAATTTCGTAACCTATTATAAAATCTTGCAGGTCAAACAAAAAAAGCAGTAATAAGTAAATGTTTGTCGATGTCATGCTTTTACAAGTATAAAACCGTTTCAATCCTTATTTAATCTCTTTAAATTATTCTATAAGATAGGGTTTTATAAAAATAATGCAAAGCCATATTAATGAAGAGCAGATAAAGCAGCAGCTACGATCGCAGCAGAAATTATGGTACCACTAAGTCACTAAAGTCTATCAATTATTCACATACTTACTGCTTTATTATGAATAAAACCATGCAGGGAAGCAGAACAAGTCACTCGTGGATCCTCTGCTCTTCCTGCTCTTCAAATTTGGAGCATTGGAAAGTTCTTACGTCTACTTGAAACCTCAAAAAGAACCACAAATCCATCAAAAACTCTGATGTCACACGGAATTATTTGTCATACAATGGATAGTATAAAGAAGCATCAAGTACCGTCTCAATCCATTGTAAAAGAGACATTGGAGGTCTCGAATGTGGACATTGTGACGTACACTTCAACTTTTGTGTCGATTATGGGGTTTCTTCATTTTGGAGACAATGTATACAATTGTAATACTATACACTTATGTGATACTAACTCTAAGCTACCGAGTTATCTATTGGATCCAAGTCTTGATGTAATTGATCAGTTGGTGCTAATAAAACAGTGGGTGTTAGTGGACAAGACATTTGGTGGCGTACACACTCCAAACTCAATGTTTCTTGAGATTCACGATGAAAAACCTGTCTTGTTATTGCCGTTAAATGATTTGTATACGAAATGGACTCAGGAAAGCGTGCTACAAGTGCTAGAATCGAGTTACCAAACAAAAGACCCACCAATGTATACGGGTCTTGAGCCATGGGCTGCAACAAGTGCAGCGCGTGTGCAAGGAGACAACGTGAATTACGAGGTAGTACAGTCGATGACCGGGAATGGTGACATGACGACGGTGAGGAAGCAGAAAACGCGCAAACGTGTTCATGTGGTGTTTGGTCGTGTCACGAGCGTGAGTCCTATCTCACGTCAAAAAGATCGCGCGAGTTGCCATTTCTTCGTGGAGATTGAAAGCCAACCAAGCTGTATTGAGTCGACGACACAAAGCACTGTCAACGTCATGTTTACGGGTGTCCATAGCATGCGCTGGCGCTTATTTCTCCGCCCTGGTAAAAAGGTGTTACTGACCGATCTGGTGAAAGTGTTTTCCCGAGAATGTGAAATGTTTTTACTTCAAACAACTCACGAATGCGCACCTGGCCATCTTCCTGTAACTGATAAGGGATCAATGAAAACATTGGTTATGGTTTGGAATGAGCCGGAATCTTCTCAAATGAACATTCTGAAGTGCATTAACGATTCGCTGGATTTTTCAAAGGAAAACGCTACTCGGTGCAGTGGTAAGCTCTTAGATTACGAAGGCAAAGTATGTCGACTCTTATGGGATGAGTGCATCGAGCTTCAGGGGCATGATGAAACGCGAGTTATTGTTTCGCTCTTTCACTTTCCGTATGAACAAGAATTGGTTCGCCTTCGCATTGGTGGAATCCTGCGAGTCTATGGCGCTCACGTTCTTAGATGGCCAACACCGGTTGGAGGCAAATTTATGATTGGATTGTGCCCAAGGAGCCACTTTGCTATCACGGCTTACGGAGATCCGGGTAGATCCTGCCTTGTCAAGGAAACTCGTCCTCACCGAAGCAGAGTACAAAAGAAATGGTCGTGTTTGGGTGACTTTCATTCTCAATCTGCAGTGCTTTCTATGTGGATTCTAGAGCTGCTGGAGGTACTGAGCGCAAAGTTTTTCTTTGGAGAAATCGAGCAAGTGCAGTTAAAATCTTCGGTCTTGTCGTTTCCAGGGATTCGACGCCGACGAGCAGCAGCCCAAGTGGCAAAGAAGCTGCAGTTTTCGCTAAGTGATGACCACACTCGAACAGCCATGACTCTTGGTGCTCTCTTTTTAAAATGTCACGCAACAAATGCAGATAATTGTATCACGTTACAACTTTCCCCTCGTGAAAAGATATTGACATCCACGCGCGCTTTAACGATTCGCGAGCTGCAGGCTTTTGGTGAGAGCAAATTAAGTGAAAAAACTGAAGCGAGATCTGGCAGTGTCAGAGGATTTGACGAATTGCAATCGATACGTATCTCGGCCGAGAATCTTGATTGGTGCCTCCTCCTTGCATGTATTCGAGGAAATATCGATACTGGTGACTTGGAAGTTTGTGACCGCACTGGGTCAATCCCCTTGCAATTATATAGGGCGGAGACGGGTATCAGTCATATCGGCGAACGTGGCATGTATTTGATTCAAAACTTTGATTTAGTGGTCGAGGACTACAATCAAATTGAAGAAGTCGAAAACGAAGACAAAGTGCCGATTGTGTTTTGCATTAGCTGTTCGGTAGGCGATGTTGAGTTCGTTTCAATGCATGAAGATGACTTCGCTCACAATTTGCAAGAAGAAAACACAGCACCTGATGCACCTGATGATGCACAGGAACCGCAGGAACTTGTGTTCTTAGTCACACACGTTGATGCTTTACCGCTTTCCAGTGTTCGGTCGGCAGGGCTGCTAGCTCAGTACCGAGTTGTGCATGGCTTGGTGTGTCCAATCGGCGAAGGACTTCAATCAGGGCGCTTCATTGAGTCGATGCGGACGGCTGAGATATTGGTCAACACAGAGCGCGCTAGCTGGTATATTGAGAAAGGCGGTTGCTATCGAGTACAAGCACTCAAAGTCAGCTTAGATAATGTAAATCGCGGTTCTTCTCAGTATAGCTTTGAAGACCTGGCAGTTGAGCTATCAATTGACTACTGGAAGAAAGCGATGGTTGCTGAGGACAACAATCTCCTATGCTTTGACTCACTTGAACAGTTTCGCTGTCATATTGGTGGAGAATCGAGTACCCAAGAGCGTCCATTCCGAGTGTATCGAGTTGAAGATGGACAGTTGGTTTCGACCAGAATGAAATGTAACAGCTTCGAGCGCGAGCGATGTGGTTTGCATGACATATGCCGAAAAGCCAATCACGATGTCAACGGTGTGGCAGTAGTTCCAGCGAAAGATAATGGAAGTCGTGGTGAGGATGCGATAAGGACCCTCAGTGCAAAGCATCTTGTAAAACACGCGCTAATTGAAGTCACTGTTCCGGAATATATGGCGATGAGCATACTCAGCCATTTCCTCCGACGATCGGAGATTGTTGCTGATGTTTCTAGCTTGCTTCTACATCCACTTAGAAGCCGATCGCAACAATCTGGTGATGATGGGAAAAGCGTTGAAGAAGGGCTAACTGAGAACACAGTGGAGCCAAATCTACACAAGCCTCATCTTGTCTCTATCGTGGGAATTATCACAAAGAAGAAATACTACTGGCAGTCCAACTCGCAACAGCAGTCGTTTGGCAAGGTATTGCAAACTGCAACCGTCGGTGTGAAGCGTACACGAGAATGTTATAGCAGTATTGCAGGAGGCTCTAGACGACAATTACGAGCTATCTTTTATGTCCGCGATCTTGAGCATCTTGATACTGTTGAAATTCGTATTGATGCATCACGCTTTAGTGTGCTAGGCACGTTACAACGTGGCAATATCGTGGAGTTCTCAAGATTGCAGGGATTCATCGCTCGCTCGAGCTACAAGGCGTTTCTAAGTTGGGGTCACTTGACAGCAGCTCGGCTGGTACTTGACAGAGTGTGTTTACCAGCACGCGATGCGGAGTTGTTTGGGTCAATGCCTACGACATTTCTAAACGACCTTTATCACGCTACGAATATTGACCGAATGCTGCATCGTTACGTGGTCAGTGTAATGCACATAAGCTACGTGCTGCTCAAGAGAAAATGTAAATTGTGTCACCAGTCTTTGCAGCTCGATAAGCGTCGTGGCTGTTGGAAGCATGCAGAGCCACAAAGTGAGTCGAAGTATTCGCGAGACTGTGCGCGTAGATGGCACCAAATGGCACCATCTAATCCTAGTTTTCGAGCCCGAACGTACATGGGGACAACAATGCGATGCGTCATTGATGACGGATCCGGTCAGGCTGAGCTGTTTGCCGAGAACGACGTCGCGTGGGAGTTGCTAATGTGCACCGACGGCCAGCGTCAGCGTTTTACGAATATTCTGAGCAATTATGTCGATGAGCTGAAATACTTTTCCGGACGCACGGCAAACGAGTCGTTTGCTACCAGTAAGGCCGAGCGTGATCAAGAATATTATCAGAACGAACTGCGGGCGTTTGTGCTAGATACAATGCCGTCTCTGAGGTCAATGGTGGTGTTTGCCCAGCAATTCTACAGTGCAAAACAAAAGGAGAGCACCTCAGTGCTCACATTTGGCAACGACATTCACATCACGACAAGGACAGTGTCACTACCGAAATTGGAGGCCAAACGTATTGATCAAGTACACGTTCGAAATGAATTGAAACGACGTCTCGTCCAATTGCAGTCGGTCGTGAATACTTGAATCTCGCTAGACAATGGCAACAAATAGCAGCAAAGTGACGATTTTCTTTGACCCAATACCGAGCAGTATTATCCCGTCATTGTAAAGCCGTAGGATGGTTACAGCTACTGTTACAGACTCTGGTGAGAAAAAAACTCTTACTTAATGACCTTATTTGATAAATGGCTATATGATTTACAAATGGTTTCTGACTTTCTTAAAATTTTAGTCGACCAGACATTCCTGTGTGTTGTACCACTTATGACGACAAATCGTCATGATAATTATTTTGACGTTAATGACGGTACAAAGCACTGTCAAATTGTAAATGACATAAACTGATACTTTTCTAAATCAATACATGGTTTATGTCTTTATTTTCCATAGTCACTTCAATATTCTATTTTTCTATTTTATTCTAGACACTGCATGTTATGTCACGTATACTCGCATGAAACTATTTGATCTCTTCAACTCATTCGTGCCATTTGATTGGTCAATTCTCTTAAAAAAACGACCCAGAAAGGCTCCAGTCAAAGACTTCATGGCGTCTTCCGACTCTGATCAAAAGAAATCTGGCGCTACACGAGGCCGTAAGTTAACACCTCACTCTCGAGTGAAAAAGAACGTCGTGACCGAAACCAAGAAGATAGCAACGAAACGACGAGCGAGTCCAAGGAAAAACCTTCGAAAAACGATGTCAAAGGACAGTGATCATGAGAAACCTCTAGAAAATAATTTATCTTCTTCAACCATTTGCGTGGGTGTAGAAAACGAACACGAAATGAAAGACAATGCAGATGAGGAGACCTCCGTGCAAGTGGAGATTGCACCTGCTCAAGATACGCAATTAAGAAGAAATTATCTCCAACGAATGTACGTGATTGGTGCATTTTTTATTTAAAAGAAAAAAAGAACAAAATATTTCTTTTTTGGATAAAAAATGAAAAAATATGATTATATCGTTTTTTCTTCTAACTATTCGGTATTTTATGTCTTTTTATGATAGATATCGACAATTGCAAAGTACACATCCACATCAAAATGATACATTAAGACGACAAGTTGCTACTAATGTTGAGATGCAAACGTGTCAAAAAGCGACGACACGGGTACCGATACTTTTATATTGTATCCATTCTCATATGAAAATTATAATATTTTTCCGACACTAGTTTTGTTGTTGGATGTTTTAGAGTGAATATGCTGCTTTAATGGATCAAGAAATCCATAAACTCATGCAAGTGGAATTGGCACAAGCCAATGCATCAGTGTACACACACGAAGGTCAAAGTTTTGACAACTTGCACAACAATAATCGACAAGCTCACCCACCCATAGTGTCAAGTGAGATACAAAGTGGATATTCGCCAAATCAAATCTCCCATTCGCGCAGTTTCGAGTATGCCCAAGCACTAGCAAAGGCACAATCTCAAGAGACAAACAGATTGTCGGCATATTCCACACCACGTCAATCCGCGAGTGGTGACAACTCGTTTCAATCACTGATGACTAATCAGACGCCAGGATATGGACATGGGTTGCAACAACAGCAGCAGCAACAGAGTACTCCAAATCGAGTCGTGGGCATGCAAAGTCTCCCACAGATTGGCAACCAATTTTATTCGATCACTTCGAAGATGCCTTTACCTAGCCAAAACTTTTTGCTTCAGAGCAATGTGGGAACCATGTCAGGACAAGACGTACCTCGGGCACAACAGCAGCTAAACAGCTTTCAAATGCAATCGCAGTATAAGCATCAATCCGGGTCAACGCGTTTACATCAACGGGTCTCAACTTTCCAGGAATTTTCCGCCCAAATCCAGCATCTGGACAAGTCTGTGTTGATTGAATTGTTGTGGAAGCAAAGAGGTGCCTTGGCCCAGTGGCAACGACAAGCAAAGCAACTTGAGCTCCAACTGTCTGTCCAGCAGAACACTGGAAGCAGCATAGAAAATAGCGATTTTCATTCCCCATACAACTCACCTAACGTGAGTGGAAGCAAATTCGTTTGTCCAAATGTCTCTGCGGAAGCTGAGATGCAGCGAGGCCGAGAACGGAATAACGCGCGGAATGTAATGTCGCAGTACTCGTATACGCAACAATCGAACGAGAGCAGTCCTGCATGTTCTCAAGCGGCTGGTAACGGAATGGACTGGGGAGAAAATGCGCAGGTGTATTGGGACAAAGTTCGATCTTTAAAGACGACATATTCTGACCAGTTGCGCGTTGCAAAGCGAGCATTAGCCAACAACAGCGCTCCTCCTAACACGCTATACAGTGCGAAGGCCAAATCCGTGATGAACAATATTTGTTTGGTGATTGACATCTTGGGTGAGCAACCCACGAACATGCAGCCACGAAAGTTCGACGTGCTCACCTCCATCGAGCACTTTATTCAGGTGACGGTAGTTCCGATTGTACGAAAAGTTCGATCGTCGTTAACCACCTCAGCACCGCAAACAGCAGTGACTTCGGCTTCTTTCCCAGCAGTAGCCACGAGTGTTGCTACATATGCTTCGGAAAACTCGCCTTCTCAAAGTGGTGCTCAGGGTCTGGCTGGACAAAGAGCGGAAAGCCATAATGCTGGGAGTGGATGGTCTTCTAATACAATCTCGGAGCAGTCGTCACGTGAATCATATACTCAGTCTGCCGATGTGAAAAGCTCTCCCGGTCGAATTATTGAAGATTGCACCGATATGCCAACGAGAATGGAGGAATTGCCTCCGTCAGTCGAAAACAGTCCGACAAACGACAGCAGGTATACGTCTTCTCAATATGCGTCGGTAAGACCGGAAAGTAATGACGCTGCGGTGATGCAGAGTGATACATCAGCAGATCAGGCATCGGAGTTTGAAGCCAACATGATGCCGAACGAGCCATTTACTCCAACGTCTGAGTTTCGTTTGCCTACGGTATCCGAAATGCGCCCTCCTAGTTCACAAAATGGTATTATAAAAGATAGCAAGGTGTTGCAGTCTAACGTCGATGTCTTGAACGATTTCAACGACTTTTCCGAGCTGGATTTTGACGAAGACAGCAGCAATTTTTCGAAAGAGAACAACTCGTCAAATATCTCGATGAAGCGAGGAATTGAAGATGTGTGATGGCACTTACCAGACAGAACGCGGATACACTTTGCCATGGAATTTGAGATCCTATGTGGCAGTTATGCAGACGTGTGCGATGCTGATGTCAGTTGAGTACGCTATGAATGGAGACCATTAAATGAGTATCTATCTGGTAATGGTTGCGTGAGTATTTTTGTATTTGCATTAACGTTTTCTTTGTACCTCTCATGCGCTCCTCATGTGATCCAAGCCTTTGGATTCTTTCTCGTATGCATTGCATTGGAGTGAGAGAATCGCTCGATGTTTTATATTAGCACCCTCAACGAGCGAAGCCCAAGGCAAGATTTACATAATGCACTTGACTGAGAATATACCGAGCACGGTCACCGACAGCAGCGGTACGGCCACCTGGGAAAATGGCATTGGGTAAGTCATTCCAGGAGCAATAGGAGATCTCTACCTCCATACCACGTTTCTTTTCGGTGGCTGTGTCAAGTTCCGTCGCGAGAAAATATCGCGTCGCCGAAGCTACACAATTTCTTGCGAGCTCCTCGTTACTAGAACTAATAGGGACAATCGGTCGCGCAAATGATCTGCGATCGCCACGCCAAGCTTGTGACATCGATGGTGCATTGACTGTGTATCCAATAACGTAATACCCGATCACCGATCCGCTCTTGGTTAGCTCAAGACTTTGCGGACGCAAGAGCTCGGGCAACGGATGGAGTGAACCAACCAAAGGCGTATGGTGCAAAGTTTCCACTAGTTTTCGAGTGCGACTGGCGATGAAGCTGGACCATTCAGCTAACGATTCCTCATTTGGTGCACGCACCTCAATCACAACGTAGTGGTCATATCGTACAAGCACTTCGGTCGGAATGAAAAGCTGGGTCCATGACGACGGGTGACTAAGACTGCGACGACGCAAGTCATCCATAATGCGTTGTCCACGCGCAAACTCCTCCCGCATGACACGCAATGTCGACAAATTCACGTTCACTGCAGTGTTGACGGCAGGAAAGCCCGGCGTAATAATTGGCATGAGATGTGCTCGGTCGTGATTGTTATGTTGAGGGTCCCACTGGACATTGTCTGCACTGACATCGTTTGACGGGTGTGCCACGAGAATCGGTGTTGGCCAACGCCATGACGCCATTACTGAGAAGAACCGATGCACAATTGCAGCTACACTAGCACGCGGGAACATTTGGCACACAAAGCATACGAGTAACGCCCACGAAATACCACCCAGAAATCCAGCCTTGTTCGAGTACAAGCCACGAAGTCGTGCCCATAATCGAATCACGCGCAGACAAGACCTGAAAACACTGGCGTTTGGCACGAGCTCGAGAATGAGAGAAGCTACTCGAGCAACAGACAGCGAGCGCACTGACGTCGTGTCCATGCCATGCATTACCTGCATGTCATCTCCAGGCAGAAGCGGCAGGTGCTTGGGCACCGCCTGCTTTTGGGCGTACCGTGCAAACAATAAGTCCACGCGTACAGTACTGAGCTGGAACGATAGCACGGGAACGGCAGCTTTCCGTCGTGCAACGAGCTTCGAGACGGATGCTTCTCGATTAAGGTGTTCGCACAATGAACTGAAAAAGATCTCGCTGGTCACATTGTGCGGCATAAGCGCCACAACGTCAAGATCTGACTCGGCCGTCCCGACTTTCAGATGCCAACTACCTCCCAGCAGCAACGTAGCTGTAGTTGTCGATTTCTTTCCACAATCTGCAGAAACTCTATGGATCGTGTCAAGAGTGCGACACAGCCAGACATCTACAATCCGTTGCAGCTCATGAATGACCAAGTGCTTGACTGACAATTCATCAGAGGTGGGTAGTGGTGCAATTGCATTCACATATTTCATAAGACCGTTGGTACTTCGTAAATCGTACTCGCTAGGAGGCAAAAGTTCTGCAGGTACGACAATAGGAATCACTCGACGTTGTCGACTTGTTGAAGCTCGGAACGTCTTCGAATGGCTCTCGTGGTCTTTTATCTTGTAAGTTCTCGGTGATCCACTTGATAGCAAGAATCGGTTTTTTTGCTGCGTCTTGTGCTCATTTGTTGTTTTCTCCGTCCAAGTGGCTTGACAACCTACTTCCAACGCAAGCTGCAACGACTCAACAACCTCTTTCTTCGAGACGGGGGTACTCGTACACGAATCGCTACTAATAGAGCCGTTCTCGCTGCAGTTTGATCCCATTGTGGACATGCCATCATCATCATCCCAACCATCATCATGACTAGTGGCACAACTCGTTTGTCCTATAGAGCACGTATCACTCTCTTTCTTGAGCACATCCGAGTCAGCGACATTATTTACCAAATACAATGCCTTCTTAAGCTTTTGCATGCGTTCGGCATCTTCCCAGCAAAAACAAGTCATCTTTTATCGGTCTTATAGTGTCGTTTGCAGATAATTTACCACTTGATTCAATTGGTTTGAGCACAAAGTTTTTGACGTTCACAAGGTCCAAGGACTCGAGTGAAGTGATAATGCGTGTGTGTGCGTAGTTTCTTTCCGTTCTCTTATGAAGAATGACGACTGGAGATTTCGATCAAATGCCAAAGATTAGCGTTCGTATGGCGATGCAAGCAGACGATTTCTGGTAAAGCAGACTGCGCAGTAGAAATTGAGCCCCAGTCAATCGGTTTCAAAGTCAAGGGCGTCCATGCAGAGACTTTTGACCGCTACTTGCTCCTTCACTCTACAGCTCAGAACATCGAGTGGCTATTTTCTGCCCAAAAGAGCATGCATGGAATCGTAGAAACTGGTAGAAACAAGAAAATTGAGATGGAAGTTTGACTGCATCTGGAAGAGTTTTGATTGTCAACGTAGAGGACCTGCTTTGCTCCATAGTCATCAAGCACAATATCATTGTCGTGCTGTCTTGTCGTAAAAACTCGGATGAAATATTCTTCTACACAAGAGACGTGCCTAGGAATTGCATCTCGACAGGCGGTATGGGTTCGGTGTGACGACGGATGGTATCATACGACCTCGTTTTGATCGACAACGACCAAGAGCAGAAACGTAGAAGAAGATCAAAAGGGTCGAGTTGATTGATACAAATGCCTGTCGCCGTCCTTTCGCCTCTATATCGGAATCGTGTCACAGCCAAGCAATAGCCTGCATGCTCGTGTCTTCGTAACCACATATTGTTTACTGTAGCCTAAAGCGACAAAGTCCACCTTGGCTAATTGATTCTAGTAAAACTGGGAATAAATATTTCCACTGCTGCTGGTCGACGCCGTGAACGACCGAAAAGACCCGGTAGGATATGGCCAGAATAGTGCATTGGTCCCTCTAGAAAGTCGATCCAACAATCGGACTACGACGATATCGCGCCCATAATCCACTATCTTCCCAGTGCTATCGATTCCAAATCCTCGAACGTCACGAGATCGGTTCTAGACGCTGACCGTCCAGCTTTTTCCTGCCCGACCTGCTACAATCTTGGCCTGAACAGTTTCCTCTATTTTTGGCTGTTCTTCCTCAAAGCGCTTTACTCGATCCTGCTCCTGTGTAAAGTGCTCCAACTCGGCAGTGGCCTCTGGGTGAAAATAGCAAACGTCTTCGAAAATAAGGCGACGCAGGGTGTTCTTGTCCATGTCGCCCTTGTTGTTCCTCTCGAATGAAAAGTCAATAGGACTCACTGCTAGAGTCTCCGAGCCCATTTCCATACCATCAACATGGCAAGATGCAAGGAATGGATGTGCGATAGCATCGTCCACTGAGATTCGCTTGCGAGGGTCAAACTGTAACAGTTTTTGCATGAGGTCCAGTGCTTCGATTGGGGCATTAGGACAAATCAAATGTAGCGGCTTGGCCTCCTGCTGCTGTTGACGCGCCATCCACCGCTTAGCCTTCAAATTGGTGACGAAACCCATATCATCTGCCGGTGGACTTCCCACGAGTTGCAGGATCAAATGCAGTTGGTGCACGTGATCGTGACCCGGAAAGAGCGCTTTGCGCGTGAACATCTCAGCAAGGATACAGCCTACAGCCCATAGATCAATTGCTGTAGAGTATCGACTTGCGAGTAGAAGCTCAGGCGCTCGATACCAACGGGTCACCACGTATTCCGTCAAAGCTTCGTCTAGAGTAGGCTCCCCGTCTTGACTGCTTGGCGTGCTACTCCCATCGACATTGCGTGGCGTGACGTTGCGGATGTCAATGCCTCGTGCGAGCCCGAAATCGCACAGCTTGACTAAGCAATCGCGGTTGATCAAAACGTTTGACGGTTTGACGTCGCGGTGGATAATATGTGCCGAGTGGACGTAGCGCAATCCGCACAGCATCTGATACGTGATGAATGCTACATGATCGCTCGATAAAGCTTCGGGCGAGTTTATAACTCGGTGTAGATCAGTCTCCATGAGGTCTGTAATAATGTACGTATCCTCAAAATGAGCAAGCGATCGGGGACGCATGACATCTAGTAACGATATCACATGCGGATGGCACAAATGTCTCATCAGCCGAATTTCACGCACAATGCGCTTTGCGTCGACGAGATCATCGAAGGTACGCGGTACATTCTTGATTGCCACCGAATTTCCAGTAATTTGGTCACTTGCTGCGATCACTACTCCGTATGCGCCATGGCCTATCGCACGAATAAGCTGATATCGCCTGTGCACGCGGAACTTGGTAGAAGCCACTGTAAATGAGTACATATCTGCGTCTTCCGATAATATTACCTTATCCTTAGTTTCCAGCTCACATCCACCAGCTATATCGCTTCCTGCAAGCGAGTAGCGCTCAGAAACTCGCTGATTCTGACCAGTCTCCTTGTGTAGCTTCTGTAGCCTGTCAAAACTTTTGCGATACCTTGGTGATCGACCGCCTTGGACCAGAGAACTTCCACCAGACGATACATCAGATTCTTCTCCATCCTCACTCGTGCTTACGTCGTCGTTTCTACCCATTAAATCGTCCGAATAGGGGGCAAAGCTGATGCTAAGCTCTAGACGACCACAGCTTTCATTGTCTTCTCGTGCACCTTTTTCGAAGCTCTCTGCTCTGTAGATGTCAAACCACTTCGGTATAGCCACTGATGCAATTTCCTCTTCTGTCCCCTCCGATGAGTGCAAATATTCCGCCAAGTTTACTTTTGCGCAACCAATAAGTTCATCGCCAATAACACCAAGACTCCAGACGTCGATGCATAAAATGGCTGTTGAACCAGGCACAGCCCCAGAGAACTCAAGGTGCAGTGTCTCGGCCCAAAACGGTCCTTTTTCTCCAATGCTTTTTACAACACGAGTCGAGTACGATTTCCACGAGCCAACGCGACTCAGACCATCTGCATTCGTCGTGATCGCATCCCTGCTACTACTTCTGCTAGTGCGAATAGGACCAGAAACCTTTGTCGTGACATGCGGAAACTCGTTCAGACCGATAATCACCTTATATCCACTACTTCCACCAGTTGTAGGTTTTCGTTTTTGGAATTTCTTGCCAGATATACACACTACACGAATCTCACCTGGAGGACAAGTACTAGCTTGTTGTTCGCGCTCACGCGGGAGCGCAGCCAGCGACAGTCCAGTCGCCTCACCGGAGCCCCGACGTGCTCCACTTCCCCCGCCATTGGCAAATGCTACAGCTGCTGCAGTCTTGTCCGCTAGAATATTAATGTGGCTAATACGACCATCAGCTTCAAACCGCAGTTCGTGTTTCCACACATGTCGAAATCGTCTTCCACTCGCTGCACTCCGAATAGTCTCGCGACCAGAGACCACTGCCAGATCTCTCTCTCGTGCTACATGTTCAACATCATAGTGAGACACGTTTATTGAGCCATGAAAATTCGAAAAGAAAGCCAAGATTCCTGAAAGCCCGTGATATTCTCCTGCAATAGGAACGGTTGGAGGATAATTCGACGTTAGCGTGATGTTCGGGTGGAGACTCGGCATGAGTAATGCAAAGTTGCCTTTTCGCGCTTGAATACATCCCCATGTATCGTAGAATATAGTCAAGTCTACACTCACGGATGTTCCCAGCAACGTCAAAGCCTGTATTCTAGCTCTGCTTTTTGTGGACAATGGTGCAAACGTCAGTGTCTTCCTCAAAGAGGTGTCAACTTCTAAGCCTGCTGCTTTCAGTCTTTTCTCCGCATTTGGCAGCACTTTGTGCACTTGTCTCACCACAGCACTTATCAAATGGATCCACAACACTCTCTCCAGCTCACTATTCACCACGAAATGCAGCGGTTTTTTCTTCTCCTTTGTCTTGACATGAAAGCCATGAGAACGTCCGACATTCTCCTTGTCCACGGCTTTCACTGTATAAGACTTGTATTTCTTGTCGAATATAACAGACTTGACGCTCTGGTCCTTCTTTAGCTGTTGATCCAGCTCCTGTGCCTCCAAAAATCGTCCTCTCGACTCGAAAATACGCAACATCACGCCGTCCAAACTTAGATACACGTCGTCCCAATGCGGCAGCCAATCACCTTTCTTGCATGCATGTCCATACCATTGAATAGGGATCAATTGCATCAATAGATTAGACCCTATAGCCTCCGAAAGCGACGAAGCATTGGTCACATGTTTGTGACTGCGTTTATGATGCTCCTGAGGGTCCAAATGCAGCGCAATTGGTGTCGAAAGCGCATTGAGAGATTCTTCTTTATCTGGTGAATAGAATGAGCTATTTTGAGCTAAAGGAGACGCAGCAGAAGCTTCCATTTACTCACCCAAGTGCGTCGTAGCCGATGTCGTACCAAATACGTTTTGGGTTTTCCTGATGTCACAAATGCGAGGGATCAAATCCCCGAAAAACTGACTTCTTATGCATGGCAAAGTGTAGCCATGTTACAACCTGCTGGAGATGACTCCGACAAGTATCATCGTCGAAATGGTAGCAGTGCCAGCCATGACCTTTTCTGGGAAACGCATACAATACAGTACAATCTTACCAAGTATCTTGGAGTCGAAGTGCTGGGCATTTGGACGCATGGGCAACGGAGAACCAGCGACTGCAAAAAGGTCCACCACGGCACGAAGTGTGAGTCCCCATAGCACGAAATCGTGCACGTTACGACGCGACAGATGATCGTCACCGAGCAGTAAGTGGTTCGGTCTCGGCAAGTAAATGCAATCGAACAACATATTGCCAAGCAACCTCTTTGCCATTGCAAGCACACGCGGATGCATTCGGAGACTCAATAGACTATCTTCCAGCGGATAGGAGAGAACGTGGTATCGTTGTGTGTTAAACAGTTCGTGCACGTCCACCCAAAACACATCGGCGACCTCAGATTCCTGAAGTTTCGGCTTGTAATCGTGTTCACTCGCTGCTACATCAATGAAGAAGACTAGCCAAATCAATCACACCACCACAGTGTTATCAAGAGCTGGTCAATTGTAACTACACACAGTCCTGTAGAGTCCTACTTATTGTACCTTGTATACTGACACGCAATGAACGCAAATGCGTTCGAATAGGTGGCAAGTTACCAATCCAGTGCACGTGTCTAACACACCATTCCCACACGATCAGCTCAGCTTTATACAATTCTACATTGTAAGTCATAAATGATACATACGAAGTCGAGAGGTCCAGTCCAACTTCCTCCATCGTCTCTCGCTGTGCCGTCTCACAGAGTGACTCCCAGTCCGTCCACTCCTTAGACACTTTATTCAGATTGGAGTCGTCCGTCTTGATCTTCTTCTGTCGTCGACCACCGGGAAATGCCACTTGGCCACTCCATGTGTCTTTTTCATTTACACATCGCCGCACAAATAAAAGCTGAAACGATTGTTTTTCTTTCTCTTTCCACCGAAAAATTGCTGCTACACTTGCACGCTGTAGATATTTATTTGTATCAATGATATGGTCAATAGTCTTCATTCAAATACAAATGATCAATTATACACACCACAAACGGTGCGTCATGGTGTAGAAATGGCTGCTTGGCTAGATTACGCTGTAGTACTGACATTAGATTTTTCATAACGCTCTGCTCGATGAATTTCTTAGACACATTCATTATTAGCACTCATTCTTAAAGGTACTTATTATATCGTTTAGTATGGCTAATATCGTGGGTAGGGTTAATACACAGTCGACAAGAATTATCTTGTCTACCGTTGGTAGTCAATTTTTTAGGTGAAAAGGATAAAAAAATCGGTGGGACGATATACGGTCATGGTTTCGAAATTAGAGCTGATCCACTAGCTACTTATGGAATAATATCTTTGCGATGGGAAACATTTGCATGAAGTTGAGCTTATCATCTGCGAGCATTGTCATTTTCGCCATTCGATGCGATCCTACACGTACGTCTTGACGGCAAAATATGGTTACAAATAGTCCTCACTATATTTCGACTGTTTCACAAAAGTCCATACCTACTTTTTTAAAGTAAAATTGTTTTTACATAACTAATACAAACAAAAAACAAAAGTTATGGGAAAGTTTATGCGTGGGTTGACTGACCTCTTTACAGTCATAAAAGTACATTTGGTTTTTGTATTCGTGGTCTGTTCACGGCAGAGCTGTCCGAGTCATAATCAAAAAAGCAGACATCCGTCACCACCTCGTTCGTTAGGGTCGTCCCATTTGAATTCATTGAGAATGGACCTCAACAATCTCAAGAGCATGGCCAATCGTGCTGGTAATACACTGTACTTTGCTGGTGCAGCGGCCGCAGAGATTGGCAAGGAAAAGGGCACGCAGGCACTGGCAGTTGCATCGGGAGCGGCTGCAGTCGGATGCGACAGAATGAAGAGCTCTACGACGTTCCAGAGCGCCACAGTAGCGGCTACAGTGGGCCGTGAGAAGGTCAAGACATCGCAGGCTTTCCAAGTGGCGTCGTCAGCCGCCGTCGTTGGTAAAGAGAAGGCGTCGACCGCCGCGTCAACCGCTGCGACCGTCGCGACCGCCGGCCGTCTTAAGGCCGTGAGTGCGCTCGTTTTGGCCAAGAATCGCATTACAGGAGCTAAGACCTCATCTAGTTCTCCAGATCCTGTTAATTTACCGTCGGCTGAGAAGGAATTTTACAAGTACGAGATGTCGGAAGAGGAGAAGAAGAAAAAGCGCGCACAGGCGCGTCGACGTGCTGAGAAAAACAAGCAGCCGATGGCGAGCTCGAGCTCGAACCTCTCATGCCGGATCGACTGCTCGACGAGAAGGCAGTTCTAGACCTGCTACGGGATCAAACTCCAAGTCTGGTGCAAGTGCTGGATCGAGCAAGACCAGCAGTAGCAGCTCCAATAGCAAGTACAACCATCGATCGGGCGGTGAGAGCAGACGACCTGGTGGCAGCAGACGCAACGAAGGAGACAAGCGATTGTAGAGAGAACAAGATGCTAATACTACAACTCAGAATGTACTGGTGATGTCGAAAGAACGTATTGTCGTCCATACGCGCATTTTTTTCGTCTGCTTGTGTGGACAGACCAACGTGTTTAGTCGTCATAGCAATTGACAAATGCGTGCTTCAAATTTCGTATAGACTACGTACGAACTGCACGTAGTCCAGCTCGTCTTCGTTGCTTGCAGTTCTCTCTGCGAGTAGCACTTCCACCACGAACTCACCCCATAGCTTGCCCGGCCGATCGTACGGGTTGAGATTACGGAAGTGGGACGGTATATTGGCCTTTGTGCTGCTCGTGCGACTATTGACCGTCTCACGGTTGTAACTACTCGATTGCTGGACGCGCCGACACTTTCTAGTCGGCTGTTGCGTTGCTGCAGCAATCCCGTTTACTGATTGTGCTTGGTCCGCAGTATATTGAAGAGGAGAAGTTGGAGCCCACTCAATTTGGTAGGGAATGTCTCGCATGGATGTCGACACTTGGCGAGGTGGGGCTTGTCCCGGTGACGGAGAGTTGTGGTAAGCAGTAGCATGATTTACTGCTGAAGGGGGCCGTCTTGAATGCACCATGTCTATAGAAAGCGAAGATTGTCCTACACCTGCAAGGTTCTGGCTACAATCAGTCGATGGTCCATCACCTTCTAGTGGCAAATGTAGCAATTCGCCATAAAGTTCTTGCGTAGCTGACCCTTTTTGCAATGATGTATTGTCCCGCCGCGATACGTCTTTATCTTCAAACGTCTCCACAGTTCTATTTCGAACTCGTTTCCTGGCTGCCATTGTCGCTTTTGTATAGATATTTCTGCCCGACAAAAGAGGTTCATCAGCACTATCAATGGCGTCGTCCATTGCTTGCCGACGCGTCCGTTGTTTATATTCTGGAGTCAAAGTACTACAAGGCGTCCAACAAATCCGTCTATCAAGTGTGTCCACCGTCGGTACTCTACTTGTTGGTGTCCCGGTCGTTGTCCTAATTGCATTGTCATACCGATTCGGCAGGTCCGAATCGATCGACACCAACGTCTCGGGGAGATATTTACTTGCACGTGCCGCAAAATCCTCCGTCGTCCGATCATTGATAACGTACTTGGTGTCTTTACTTGTCATAATCTGTAGAAACATCTCCAATTGTGCTGTCCAGCATATCGTTAGACTCTCATTGTCTACAACGTGTCGCATCTGAGCTCCAAGCTCCCGCATCTCAATCAATGACCACTGTGCATAACCATCGGAGCTTCGTGTTGCATTACTAAATGTCATGCTAATGACACCGGTACGTATCGCCTGTAACATTGCAATACAAGCGGCTTTCGAGTTGCACGGCCACTTGCGATCGCAACAAATTGATGTAAAGACCTTATACGTCTCTTCATGCCAACTCCAAATCGTGTCATGACAATAACCTACCCAACCCTCATCTATCTCCAATAACAAACGCGCTACTTCCACCGTCCACGGTTCGTCATAGAATGTGATGGTCGCAGCACCAGATGTCGGCACTGCTGATGTAGCCGAAATCATTTTTTCTGCAATATTCTTTTTAATTGAGGAAAAATTACAGTAGAAAGTTGTAATTGTAGATTTTGCTGACCGTCACTGATGAAAATGAGCCGGGCCATTTGGGACTAAATTTTGATGCACGACTTTGACTCGGTAGTTGGCTCGAGCAAGAGGTTCTTGCGCTTGTAAAACAAAATATAAGCGGCATTGGACTTAATCTGACTCGGCATCGCTGGTGTCACGAGACTATCGTCAAATGAGTACCAACCTGGATATAACTCACCATCACCGTCCTTCCAGCTCTTAGCAAAAGCAGTGTAGTGACCAAAGCCCATCCTTCCATAGTGATTACTCACAGCAAACAGATCGTAGCTGAAGTGGTCCTTGTCACTGCTCTTCTCAAGACTGTATGGTGACATGTCAAGGCCTTCAAGGGGAAAGTCGACAAAAACGTCCAGCTTGTCACGCAGAATATCATTGCGATACTCAAACCGTTTCAGTGAGAGTATTAGAACATCCGGTAGCCGCCACATTTCCATAGTCTTGCGCGCTTGTCGGTGCTCCTTGCAGTGACTGCAGTACCACAAGTTTGCCTGGTCAAGCGTCTCGGACTTTACAAAATTCCGAAAGCAGTCGTCTAGAGAAATGCCCTCGTGTGCACGAGACCCACTAGCTTTCGCACGTACACTCTCGTGATTGACAATTTGCTCCATCTCAGGGTGAGGAGAAGCCGACGAGGACAACATCAGTGATGACCAAGCAACCGTAGCAAAAACCAGTTCATTCGGCGAGTCTTCACCGTACAACGTAGCGAAATCCGAAAATTTTGCGTCGGCAGCTGGAGGAACTGGTTCATTGCGTAAACAAACACCATTGCGGTCGGTTAGATACACACATTGCGATAGCATATTGCTCGGAATCTTGGCGCTCAAAGCCTGTGAGAAATGCATGCTCAGCAATTCGCTCCACTTCTCCATCATCTCAGTACATGTCGTTGAAGCAGTGTAGGTGAAGAGCAACGGGTCACCTGCCAAAGCGGACCCAACTCGGTGATATAGGAAGCCGTGTAACACGGGATCTTCAGTTGGTGTGGCATCCACTTGATACATAAGAATGCGGTCACCTTCTCGTAAACGATTCAACCGCTTGGTATCTCCGATGATCCGGTACGTCATAGATTGATAGATATCGGCTGCAAACAGACTGCTGGGGCTCAGCTTGCACAACTTGCCCAACGCGCGTTTCAGCTGGAGGACGGTCCCTTTCTTGGGTACTTCTACAAGGTAACGAGTCATAGACTTGCCTGGCTCGCTCGGGACGAAAATGACTTCTATTTCGCGATTCTGCTGCTGAGGTAGCTCCAACTGGATGCAATTAAATGGATCGAAAGTAATCGAAACTTTGTTGCAGATTGGGCATACAACCGTAGACTTGAACTGGCCCTGAACATGATCCACAAAGATACTGTCGTTGCGTAGCAAGTGGCATTCCCATGCTTTCTTCGCTACAGAAGCATCGTTTTGTGAGCCGTCAGACTCCTTCAACTCAATATACGGCTTGTGTTTGACGCGATTCAGATCTTCATGCAAGCCATCGATAATGTATGCGAGCAATTCTTGGGCGTCATGCTGTTGAAATCCGGAAAATTGCGGAGCAAACCGACTGATTGCCCGCTTGAAGTTGGCGGGTGAGGTGCTAGGCATTGTGCCAAAGTATATCTCCTTCAGTAAAGCATCGTATTCCTCAACCAAGTTGCCACCCGTTCCTAATGGATTGTCGCGGTTTAAATCTCTCTTGTACTTGTTGCTTAAGAAATAGCGCGTCAGCAACTCTACGTGGCTTAAACACTGCAGTGCTGAGTTCATAAAGCACGTGTTGCCGAGGTTACGAAGACCCATCTTACCACGCCGCTCTGTTTGCCATCTCTGTAGCGTTTCATCTTCTTTTTCTTCAGCCGAGAGCTTGGAGCGACACACAGCCTTGTGGTATTTCCAATGAGACATTTGACAGCTTGACCCACAGTACCAAATAAGTTGGCAGCTACTGCAACGCTTTAGCGATCCCGTTGCTTTCCGACAAGCACCACAAAGTTTTGGAATGGAGCTAGACACTGCACTTGGAGTGCGCTGCATTTCAATCCCGTATCCAGACTCATCCTTCTGACTATTCAGTGTAGCCGTCAGATCATCGCTCTGTATGAAATCGTCGTGCACATTTTTTGCAGTATCCTCCATATCTTCTACCGTCTGTTCCTGAAGCATCATAACACACATTTATTAATCAACGTCAGTCCAACAGTAACAAACCACTACGTCAACAATTCTTCACTTACCGGGTACACCTCTACACGATTGAAAACGTTTCCACGTTCTGGATCTCCGACTTGAACAACGAAGCGTGCAATAGTTGGTCCTCCATCATACCAAATCAAAAATGCGTCCCATACTTCTCGTGGAATCAGCACATAGTGAAAGTTTTCCTTTAATTGCGGACGTAATGGCCCTCCCATCAGCTCATCAAGTGGCATTTCTGAGCTCACATGAAGAAGCGGCAAATTGTCGATACGACTGGGCGGTAGATTCCACGCCTCAGCTGCCAAAAGTGGGTCTTTTTCTTCCTTAAAATCCACAAAGTCACACCAACGTTCCCACCATTTGGCTGAGAGCACAAAGCGTGTGTCTCCAATCTGTAGCCCCTGCTGATCCGCCTGCTTCATGAGGCGCTTGACAATTTCGCGCTGCTTGCAATAGTCTAAACGTTTAGTTGTGCCATTAAGCAGCAATTTCCCATTCTCGTTCGAGGTTTCGACGCTGAGCTTCTGGTCCGATAATGAAGCAACTGACACGAGCATCCCGTTCTTCTGCTTGTGCTGATCTTTCTTTGATTGCGTCTTCTTATTCTAGCATACAAATGTAAAGTGTCAATACAAGACGGATACAATGTATTCTAATACAAGACCTCGTGTACCTTGCCCATACTGTCAACTATAGGTGGTTTACGTGATCTTTTAGTGTGATAGTGTACACCACACCATTGCTCTAGTATTTCATGTGGTCCACACGCATTTCCATCTGACTTTAAATTGCAGTTTCAAGAGTGAAGGTCATTCATTTAGTATGGAACCATCTCCAGCGCCGCGCTTAGAGGAATTGATCCTCTCGGGCGCGGATGTGAACGTACTGAACCACACAACGTTGTCTCTATGGCATTTTCAGCAGTTGACACATGAACTTCTTCCATTTACGGCGACTATTGAGCCGGAGGAAGATCTGGACGGAGTCAAAAGTTCCAAGACGGAGACACCAGATCTTGTATCAACCTATGTACGAAGCGTAGACCTTGGTGAAGGAATGAATGTAGCTGCAGTACTATACGAGCAGCCTATGGATGTCTTAAAGCTTGATACAAGTGACCAGGAAGATGAAAAGCAGATCAGGGACAGTTTTAACGGGACAGAAGATGGACCTGGAACACTGACCACTACAATCAAGGGACACTTGACTCCGGACACTCGAGTTGCTGCCATTTTTCAACGCTATCGTTGTGTCTTGTGTCTTGATGCGTCACCTTCTATCTTGTCCATTGATCCATCCTCTGGACGATTGTTCTTGGACTTGCTATATGAGAGTGTGGAGCTTTTTATTTGGAGTATTTTACGTCCAATGGAAGTTGGTGGTGTAGCCTTCACTCCAGAGCTTCATGTGTCTGTATTAGTACAAGGAGCTCTTGTGGAGTCACTTTGCGTGCTTATGCAAGGATATATCGTCACAAGGACAAACGCTGCAGGCTTTTTGCAGTTGATAAAAGAGAGATTCCAGTTAATTGAAAATAATTGGGCCTCTCAGGCCCAGAAACAAGGGCAGTGGGGGTTGTTGGGCAATGCGACACCAGCCACACTTGACTGGATCCTGCAAAACGCCGTCTTTGCACTTAATTCATTGCCTACGGACTGTGCACCGATGATGGTCCTGGTAACGGACGGTGTCCTCGATGTACGAGATGTCTTTTCGTACGACAATTTGTTGATGCAACTTGTGCGTCATGATATTCAGTGTCATTTTTTGCGCATTGGAGGAGGTGGAGAAGATGAACTTAACGCTACTTTTGGCTTTGTGCCGGACACGCATCTACTACGCTTCGTAGCAGAGTATACTAGCGGAACAGTGTTTGATTACGCCGCTATTCACGAAGCTTGCTATGGCAAAACGAGCACAAGTAGCGACACTGTTAAGAAAATGACGGGGTTACAGGATGCCTTTTTCTTACGTAAATCAAGTGTGCATGCCAACTCGGCACCTGTGGTCAAGCTAAATGAGATGGATAGCACGTCATTTGATAGAAGGACGCTTTTGCCGTTACGTCCTTACCGCATGTGGCGGGACAAGGTACTTGAATATCGCATTTTTGCAGACGTGAATCGTATTGTGGAGGCAAGACTTTGTGAAGGCTTCTCGATCAACAAGATTCATGTGAAGACTTACCGGCAGCCACGACTGGCAGAAAGAGATTCCGTTCCAGGAGCTGGCGTAGATACTTCTAGCAATGGTGATGCAAGCAACGCGATTGAGAGCTCTAATGAAGTCACCAAGTTATTGATTGTGTTCTTACTGCAATGGAAACAGAATGTTTGGCTAGAATACGTGGTGTCAACAACAACCGAGGACTCAGCGACATTGATATCGTCATCAACTCCGGCACCTCACAGCGGTCGACGAGTGAGTGGACAGGGATTAAAAGGTCCGCCGACATCATCAGCAGCATCAAGAATACCTACAGGAATTTCCTGTAAGGACCAGAGAACAGCTTGGAGTGAGTGGTACGTGAAAATGAACATTTTAGGCTACGCGGACTTCCTCCGTGCGTTTGAAGATACTATGCAGCACTCTTTGGCAAGTGAAACCCGAGGGGCTGCAGCCAGGGGAGAAAATTCCATGGCATCACCAGTCTTTGTGCACGACTTTATTAGAAATGTTCAAGATGTCGACCGTGTGCTGCTGCATTTGATGACAGCGACGGCTAGTATTAATGAAACCAGCGACTCGGTTACCAACCAGTTTTCCTTTGGAACAAACTTAACATCAGCATCTGCAACCCCCAGGATAACAAGTTTCCACCCGGTATTTAACATTATTGGTGACCTCTCTACTGTGCTCTGGCATCGTTGGTTTTTTGTAGAGCGATTTGAGATTCTCTCAGTTGTTAAAAGTGGCGCATGTACGGACTTATTTTATCGCAGCGAAATACATGATGTCGGGCGAGGAAGCGCAAGCTCGCATTTGCGTGGCTTAGGAAATTTTGCACAAGGAATGATTCACAATCATGAAACAAATGTGTATGGGGCACACAATGGACACATTACGATTGGAGTTGAAAGCTTCGCTGAGCCCCTAGTCGCGATTCTTGTTAGATGGTCTTCGCAAAAGTTGTCCCAGGATTTGTTCTTGAAGTTTCTTCGTCCGACTGATTCGGAAAAAATCCATGCTCCTTCAAGGGCAAAGGCTCCGTCATCTACTATAACTTTGTCTGGAGGGATTGCACAACGACGCCGACAGCGCAGTTATAATAGCAGCATTGGCGACGGTGCTACACGTGGTGACGATAGCTGCAGCACAAAAGAAAGTAAGGCAGCACTTTGCTTTGTACGGCTCGAGTACAAGAACAAAACGTTATGTGCAATTCACGTAGCATTCTTCGCGACTAGATCATCAACCCGCCGGCAGGTTTTAGATGACCTGAAAAGCACTATTTTTTCGAGTATTAATGAGGTGGCTGTAATACCTACCCCAGCCAAGCTGCTCTCTTCATCACTGGTGGACACTCCAGTCATTCTTTGTCATCGAATGCTGAGTCGTTTGCTTGTCACGCACGACACACTTCTTCTTCACGGAATTGACCAGGACCCTGGACCCTTTGATTGTTATGTTGCATCGCCGACGTTGGAGGCTGAGAAAAATGCAGGAGCGATACCTCCGTCAAGCATATGCTGCGGTGGGAGCGAATTGCAGCTACAGCGAGTGTTCGGTGCGTACGTGTGGCACTCGAGTTGGAAGTGGAAAGTGTCAAACTTATCGACATTGTTGGACGTAATGCGGCGGCTTCATGATGCCCGCATCAGCAGTGGATTTTGGGTCTTGGACTGGAAAATGGAGGAAGGAGATGCTGGTCAAGGTGCACATGTTGAGAGTGTAATTTTTGGGCGGGAAATTTTGATGGAAAATGAGAACGGGCACACAAAGACATGCCTGGTACAATATGCGCTTCGTCGTGTCTCAGATACTTGCCTAATGACGTCCTTCTGGATGGAACCTCAGCATGGCGTTGTTAAGACTCGATTATCGGATGAAGCTGATCAACTAGACAGATTTCACTGGAGACTGAAGCAAGCTATTGGGCACAGTACACCATTTGAGAATCGTGACAGTCGTGATTCTCATCGAAGCAATATCCCGCATGGAGCTTCTGGGTGGGTTTCTGCATCTTCGATGGGTTCAGCGGATGACGAACGGAAGTCAATGCAGCACGAAGATGTGAGCATGCACTGGAATGAGGATTCCAAGTACTTGGATGAGAGTGAATTGCTGCATTTAATTCGTGGATACCTGTTCAAAAGTGACCGCCACTTCCTCTCGTGCCTGTACACGTTTGATAGCATCATTAATTTGCGCGAAGACATCGAGTTGAGCAAGAGTATTGATGGTATCGTTGGCTCCAACTGGAGTATAGATCGGCACTTGGCGTCGAAAAATGGCATGATCCTTCCTCCATTCAGCACTGCAAGACTTTTGGCGACTTCAAAACGATCTACAGAACATTTTCTGATGTATCTGCAAAACAGTAAATATTCTGCGGATGAGGCGAATGAGCCGAGTAGTGGGATTGCGCCTTCAGTCTCTACAGCCAACGACAATTTGTATTCTATGCTTGAACTTACTCTTAGGGGCCTGAGTGATTGCGAGGTGGCATGGACAGACTACAATGGCGACGTTGTGGCAGGTACTAGTATGGCTACAAACGGCAATATTGAAGATGATCGCTTTTTTAGGGAAGGCATGGATGGACAGTTGCCATTGTGGTTGAAGCAGCACTTGGCATTGACTTTCAAGGACCGTGTGCCGCATCATGCCTTAAGTAAAGGCAAGTGCTATGCAAAACTTGTGAGCGATGATTGCGTCGTGTTGGCATTTTTTCCTTCATTGGATACTCTGCAGGTCCAAAACAAAACGGGTCGAGGGGGGTTTGCGCAAATTGATGGAATGAAAGGCAAGTCACCTCTTGAAGACAGGCTGGATACAATAAACGTGGCATCTGGAAAAGAAGAGGGGCGCAAAAACCCTTTAGAGCAATTTTCCGTCCGTTCAGCGGACGAAAGTGGGGCGAAATCTCGAGCTGTGCGGATGTCAGTGTCTGCGGACGATATCGTGCTGTATCAAGAGCGCCGGCGCAGCTTCCGTGAAGGCTATAAATCTTGGAGAATGGGGCATTATCAAGGATCTCGTGATGAAAAGCATAGTTATGGGCGTGACTTTCAGAAACTCCGTCTTCCTTCAACACCAGAAGATCATGAGTTTTGTGAAGAAATCAGTCGTCAAGCGGCTTACGGCTGCGATTTTCATCTAGTTATTGAAAGTGCCAATGGAGCTATGGGCTCAGGCTTCTTTCAAGTTGCATTTTATGAATGCTCGCTTTCTAGGTTGTCCACGGACTTGCACGATACGAGTAACGAGATGCATGATCATGCAGATTTGCCTCACACTATTCTGAGGCATCTATTCTTCTCAAAACGCCATGATAAGTCGAGGGAAGACCGGTCAACAATACCACTCGGTCGCCGTTTTTGGAACATATCTTTAGCCCGATCACCATTAGGCTCAACAGCGAATCGATTGAGTTCTAGCGGTATTCGCGCTTCTCATCGATTTCGCAAAAAGATTAAACGTGCACACGAGCATAACTTTTCTCGCGGTGTTTACATGGCGCTTCGTGAAGGAGGAACAGTCCAGCACAGTGATTTGCTTCAGGCACTGTCGAGCTGTATTGAAGTCCCAGTGGATGTTGATATTACGCTCCTGTTTCGTATGACGGAGGCTGCTGCATCACACAAAATTTTGCCACTGAGTCCGGCAGCAGCAGCAGTGGTCTCTGCTGGTATGGGCGTGGACATTCTAAAGGACAAGCTGACAAAGTCTTTCGAAACAATCCTTTCCAATGTTTTCGTTCCTATTGCTGGCACAAAGTATTACTACTTCTCAGGAAATGAAAACACTATGTATGAAGATATGTCTGCAAGTGAGTACGACTTGCATATTCTAATGGAAGACTCAGATGATGGCGAAGCGATCTCCGAAAGTCGTAAAAAGGGTCAATCTGATGACGCTAGTTTCAGTGGAGAAGAAACCGTAGATGCTGCCGAGAAGGGTTCCAATCGAAGCAGGCGTGATAGCTTGGGACGTGAATTACCCCCGCCAGTGATCACCTCAAGTGAAGAAAAATCAGAGAGCGAGCAGCACCATGCAAATGTTGAAGAGGACGCAGAATTCAACAAAGATGTTGCTGTAGCGACGTCTAGCTTCTCTGTGCCATTCTTTTTGAAGTTTGAATGCCGTCTGCTCAATAGTTCACACGAGAATCGGTCAAATGCTGCCGACGTGCATGCTTTAGGAGCGACGACTGAGTCTGCTTTGCTAAGTCGATCGTCTAGCAGCGCTGCTTACGAAGACATGGGAAAGGATATGGTTGCACAGGCACAACTCGCTTCACCTAGTAGTCGACAGGAAAAGCTTGACGCATTTTTGGAATCATTAAAGACTTACCATGGATCTCAGTACCACTCGCACTCAACCGATGTTTCGCAATTTGCTGAGTCCTTTTTCAATCTGCCGTCGGGACGTATCGCTTTGCGTTTGATGACGTTGACTTTACCCAACGAACAAGTATATGATGACGGGCGCCTGCCGCCTCATGTGCCATTTGAAATGGACATTAGCCGTGGACAGGCAAGTGAGACCAACGCATTGCCGTCAATTTTGCACAACTATTCGACGCTGCACCTTTTTCAGCGCCAAGTACTAACTCGTATTCGAAAGGACATTAAGGAGTGGTCTAGCGTGGAAATTCTTTCAATTTTGAAGTCGGCAAATGAGATCACACCGGCAATTGGGGCACTGGTGCAGAACCTCTTCGATGACCTTCCTGAGCTTGCTGTGACAAAAGCAAATTATCCGCTTGAGTTTGTCGCAGGCAGCCAAGAAACCGCTGTCGTGCCACTTGATCTATTCAAGCGCGAGTTTGAAAAGGGCGATTTGCTCAATGTTTACCGGTGTAACGGAGTGTACTTCGTGGTGGAAAGTGTGAGTCCTACTGGTACGGATCTAGACGAAGATGCCGACAACCGGTCTGGCGCGAGTTTTAAGATACCTTACTGGGCGTTTTTTGAATTTGGAGCAGACCACATTAGTTTGCAGCTCCATCATCCAGATCACTTTGGGATCGACGCTAAAGGGTTCAATCGGTTAAATGTTCTAACACGCCTTCAACTTGGACTTCGCGCGTTATGTCGTCGTGTAAATCAGTTCTTACTCTTGCTGCAGCTCCACGAGACTCGCACATGCAATGGATTACTGCTTCCGCCAAACGGCAACTTGCTGTCAAGTCCACGATCACCTAAACAAAATAATGGCTCACAAAGAGCTTCGAGTTCAGTGAATGGAAAGGATGGAAACATGAAACAAGGCAGTTTTTTTTGGCCTGGGCAGTTCGAGTGTGACTTGCGCTACTCTGCTTTTTTTAAGCTTCACGAGCGGTTGGCGCCCAATTTTGCGCTCAATATATTGTGCACTTCAGCACTGGAGCAGTTCCAAGTTCATAATCGACGCCATATTTTTGTGTACCGAGATCGCGACGGTCACGTGTTTTATATGAAGATTAGTATATTTTACGATACGACATTGTTCAATGCAGAGGACAGTCAACCCGTCGAAGAACGGCAAGAGCGAAACGGTTTTGCTAGATCTAGCACTGGAGGAAGCTGTGGTGGAGGTGCAACAACTTCAGCGACTACACCAGCAGGGGTCCCTGGAATTCGGCTGGAAGTATTCGGTGTATCTGAAGCCGGTGAAGAAGTAACTCATGAGTTGTGCCGCCTGCTGGAACGAAAGCTAGACGAAGCAACGCAAGTGGTTCTGATGAAGTTGCTGGCACGCAATACAAAATTCCAGCTCAGTCAATCAGACCTAGCGTTTTTGTGTCCACCTTCAGCCGAACCTTCGAGTAAGGTCAATTACATTCTTCCTGACGAGATAGCTGATGACTGCTGCACATTGCTGCACTACTTGTCCCAGACACTTAAACTCTCAGCATATATACGCCCTGTTACAAGTGGTGGATCGTTGCCCTCACGAAGCTCACGAGATAATGTGGATAACAATACGCTACGGCCGACTCGGCTCGGCAGTTTGGCGTCTGCAGGTAGCTATGTAAGTTTATCCAGTGAGGAACATGCGAAAGTAACAGCTCCAGATAAATGTGAAGAAGCAAAGCTTGAAGAAGTAACGCGCGCTACACAAGACAGTGCTAGCATACACCCTGCTTACTTCGGACGCTATCCGAAAACGTTTGAGCTCCAGGAAGAAGGTCCCTCAATTTTGTTCGACGCAGCTTCTCGATCACCTGTTTTCTTCTATTCAGAACATGAAGCGGAAAGGGAGAATGATGCTTTTGATGAAGTGGTCTCAGGTGTTGCACCGATACAACCATTACCTGAAATCGTGGCCTGCGCATCGTATGTTTTAAATTTGAACCCAGACTTGCGCCTCTCGCAAGGATTTTTGTCGCGGGTCGGAAAGGGGCTTGCTCTTATGCGTGTGGATCTAATCCGTCAGAACTTCGCCAAGACTGGAGCTGAAAATGAACATCAGGAGGATGCCAAGTCAGAGAGCATCAATAAGGTTAAGCAGATGCACGACATTCCAGGACTCGCGGCGTTGTACTCAACTCGTGTGAACACAAGCAACAACACCCTAGTGGCTAGATGTCAGGTGTGGATCCGAGGATCCATTCATTCAACGGAACTAAGTCAAGTTGTGGAGTCATTTATGGATGAAGCTTTGTACGACTACCACATCGAAGCGACTATCCGAAAGTTGCATTCATTCAACGGACGGCTTGATACTTGTACAAGCAGTGATGCGTCCCCAGATTTATCTGGGACCCAAGGGAATCTGCCCTCGGATGTGGATACGCTAGTGTCGCTCTTTAAGAGCGCGTGTCTTTTGCCTTCGTCCTCTGTTACAAAGTTAGAAGCGGATGAATCGATTGCGCCATGGGACCTCAACAATGCTGTGGCGCAGATTCGCAATTTTTTGTGCTGCCTGCCTCACCACTTGCGACCAGCAGTTTATGCAAAGTCTAAGCTTTCAGGTAGATATGAGACTGTTTCGAGTCGCAATGTAGGTCTGAGCTCTTACACGACTGGACCCCCACCAAACAAGTTTCGGCTGGTATTACAGCTTGCTGGCGATCTGGACGCACACGACGACTCAAGTGACTCGGATACAGAAACGATAGCGTCAATGACCTCAGCAGTTCATCACATTGAACCGCTGATGAGAACCGACTCTATTCATTCCGAGATGTCAGATATTGACTCGATATCAGGCCGAGTGCCGCTCACATTGACATCATGCTCAGATTTGAATGCGATTTCACAGATGCAAAATGCGCCGTCTGTGTCTTCCACAACTTCATCAATGGTTGGACTGATGGGAATTCTGTCGCACCAACCACATCACCCGAAGAATGTGAGCTTTTCGGAGAGAGACGTATTACTCTACTCGAACAAAGGCAGTACTCGGCATCGCCAAAAACCGCAATCTTATGAATATCGGGAGGTGACACGATCGTTTTACTACGTGGTGGATCTGTCCACGAGCAAGGGATTACGGTTACACGGATACAATATGAGCGGCGCTCTGGTGGAGGCTCTAGCCACATACACAGCGCGGATACTTACATGGAGCATGCTTCGCGAAAAGCTGCTGAGAACCTTGCTGCTGGAAAAGTCGGGGCTTTCCACCGCCGCTCCTGTTGGCTCCATGGTGCTGCAGCCCTCCAGTTTATTTTCGGCCACCGGAAGGATGGAACAAGCTGGGAAAGGCGTCGGCAAGAATACTATTGCTCAGTGTAAGGATTCCGCTGTGCATTTCATAGAGTATCGACCTCCCGTGCTATCAATACTGCAGTCCAACGAATGGTTTCCTAGAGTCCTGGATGCAGGTCGCCTGCGCTCAATTGAGGGTTCCACCCTCGGAGCATATTTGCGTGAAGCACAAACCCAACCAGCCTTAGCAGCACTTGACTCTCAGTATCAGCGCCCTAGAGGGCATAGTAGCACGAATTTGGGTGCTTCATTTGGCCCTACAAGCATTCCAGATCTTACGCGAGAAACATCAGGGCCATCATTATCCCAGCGGAGTTTTAACAGCAATGGAGATATTTCAGCACATGTGCTGGGAGGCCAAGCACCCGGAAGAAGCAGGAGCGGTGGCATTGTCAGCAGCAGCAATGTATCGGATAGCCTGGTATCGTCTCCAGGTAAGCGATTAAGTGGACCTAGTTCTGCCTTGCCATGTCCAGGTACCGGTCGGAGTGAAGTCACAGCTCGGATGCGAGGCGGAGCGGGAGCCGCAACAGCATTAATGGCTGCACGTGCCCGAGCAAGGGGTAGTGGTGCCTTTCTCAACCATATAGGCGGCGGATCAGGCATTGGTGTAGCGCAAGTTGGTGGAAGGTCATCAGCAGCATCGTCAGGTGACAGTGTTGCGCCGTGGGATTTGCCATTGTCGAATATGAAAGGACCACGGTTGCAAATCTCAGCGGATGATGCTGATTCTAGGTTAATTACGGGTCGGGATGGCAGTCAAACAGATTCCTACTCAAGGAATGACTCCAGCTCCACAATCACAGCAAGTGCAACTCTGAAGACTAAATTGAGTGGAGTGAATCACCTTGGGCGGAGAGGATCTCGGAATAACTGTCTAGCCAACCTAGTATCATCATCGTCTTCATCTTCATTGTCTGGACTTACAGTGGCGAAGTCATCTGCGCATCACAAGGGCAGCAATGAAACGTTATCCTCGGATCAATGCCAAATCCATAGTTCTTGGAAGAAACGCTTGGAGTTTGCATGGGGACCTCGTTTTTTATTCCCTGGTAATACGGATCGATGGGCGACGATTGTTGCAGTTGAACAGCGGCAGCATTCTACTGACCTCGAGGAGGGCAAAAAAGAGTACCAGCATACAAAAGTTCAAACACCTCTTTCGTTATTTTGTGCTGCACTGGATAAGCGCTGGGAGGCATTTGAAATACGATCGACAAGTCACACGGTGGGCATGAATCTGCTGGAAAAGCTTGCGTCGTTGCGAGCAGACGAAGAGATGGAAGAGCCTGTTGCGAAGGATGTTGTGGCACATCTCGTGGAGAGCGGACACCTTTTGTTGTATCAGCGCTTTCGAGCTGCTTTTGTGGAACGATGGGTAGCCTCAGAAGTGATTGGAGTACCTGAAGAAGACGGGGTAATGAATAGTCGCTTTCGCGCTTTGCAGTCATGCATGGATCTAGTGCACTTGCTTAGCTACAAAAGAGAATTTGTATTTGATCAAGACGAATGCTCTGTGGCCAAACTTTACACGGAGCACACTGTTCTCAGCATGGGAGCTGGTGCTGGTGCAGATGTTTCTGGGATTAAGCAGCAGGTTGCCACCAACTTGGAGCCATTGCGCCTGGCAGTGGCGAGCGAGTTTTACAAGGAATATGCTGTACACTTGCGCACGCTGGGATTCCGACGCCTTCGGACAATAAATACAAGTAGAAGCTGTGCACGCGCATTCCCCATCGATCACGGCACTGTTGCAAATGAAAACGAAATACCAGGTGTGGAGGGCTTTACCGAATACTTTTATCATCCTGAAAGGGCAGCCGCAGAAGCTGGTGGATGGAAGATGGATCCAACCGATAGCACCAATGATGCTCATCCACTATCGCTTGTGATTTTAAAAGTGAGATGCGACAACTGTGGCGTGCGGCTCTCTGCTGTGCTTGTGAGCTTAAATGACGTGGAGCAGCAAGACCTGCGATTTCAAAATTGTTTGGCCGTAAAAGCTGGAAATCACGCAATGGGGACGTCAGGATCACGGGTTCAAAGCGTAGCCTCGTGGCTACGAGCCCAATTACATACTGAGGCCCTGATCTATGGATTTACGATTCGCTACTTTCAGCAGCATATACTTCAGTGGATCGACGCTTCTCGCAATTTTCATGCAGGACAGAATGGGCATGGACGCAGTGTTGGAAAGCATCTTAGGGAAGATGATGCTCTTGTAGTTACCCCACCGTTACCATGGAAGAAAGTCTCCACGTTCCAAAACATCGTTAAAGGTCTTCAGTGCTTTCTGCATGCATTTCCGGATCTACCAGACGAATCTCAGAATGCAGCAGCGCCAACCCTGTCATTCGTAAGTAAAACTTGCGATGGCGAAAACACAGTAAGGACCGGATCAAGCGATTTAAAAGTACCTTCGATCCCTTTTTCGTCTGCAGCACCTGGTAGCGATGGCCATAAGTCAGCATCGCAAGCCGCTTCGAGGTTTTCTCGGCGGGTTGCAACCGACCAGCATCGTCAGCAACCCCTCCATATGACTTCATCTGCGCCGGACACCAGCATCAAGTCTGCAGCACCTTTATCTTTGCTATGGCATGACTGTGTGATACGAGTGGCGACGGTAACGTTGCGACCTACTTCACTACAATCGAATTGCTCCGAGTTAATCATGGTTCAGATTCTGCTGCGATATATCGCGTGCCATGGCTTGCGCTATGAGCTGCTAGACTTATTGCAGTTCGGCACACCGGATGCTGTAGTATGCCATTCTTCATCAGGCAGCTTCTTCCATCGATCCACCATGACACCATCACCAAGCAAGGTGAAACTATCTGGAGGATACTCGTTAGTGATCACGACGCAACCACTGACTATCACGCCGGTCGACAAGGACTCAGTGCAGCTTGTGCTGCTCAAGAGTACGCCCTCGACGCTAGGTGTTTTGCCGGTGGAGCGAGCGCTGCAGGAAGCCCAGCTATTTACCAGAGAGCTGTTTCGCGTTGCTAGTGAACACTATGAGCGTGACCTACTATGGTCTCGACTGCTGTTCGATGACTCGCGCGGTCCCGAGACGGATGTAGCTCGCACACTGGCGCTTCCAGCTGACTCTTTTCGCGTGGAAGTGGGGCCGCAGCAATTGGAGGAATGCCTTAGGCTGTCAATTTGTACTCCCTTGGAAACGCTTGACCCGCGTCTTGACGAGCTGTTACGAGTATCCGGCGTCTGCTGGCAAGAGTTGGCGCTACGACTGCGTGATATATATGCCGATCAGCTCCGAGAGTTTCAGTTTGAAGAAGAGGACGAGAACAGCAGCCACCTGCTGTTGCTCTGTCCCGACGCGTTTGACCTCATCATCCACTTGACATTCATCACACCCAGAGACCAAACAGTCTTAGAACAAGCACAAGACAGAGTGGTCAGTAGAAGTGGCGACGAAAGTACAGACAGCAGAAGCTCAAGTATCAACGGCAGCCACATTAGCAGTATTGGTGAGCAGTTGAACGAAAACAGCTTTCGTTCAGCCGCTAGACAATTTGAAAAAGATGCTGAGGGTGACGTGCGCGTGGAGATCTGCCGCCGTGAAGAGCCGACAAACAAGCAGTTTACTTTTGCGCAGCGGCGTTCGATCTTGGAGTTCGTCAACAGTATTGTGCACTGGCAATGGCGGAGTCTCATTTACGATTGAAGGAGTTACTAAAAGTAACGATTGGTATGGCACCACTCGTAGCTGATGTTACATTAGCATTATGCGCAACGCTGATATTGATGGGTAACAGCACGACACCCAAGCAAAACCCTACCGATAGTAAAGTATGCATTAATCGCAAGCCTCTAGGACCCTATTCAGTAACACAAAAGTGCAGTAAATATCATGGCTGCAAACCAATTTGACGTAGTGTGGCGCCAAGATACATTAGGTCTACGCTTTACACCAAACGAGAATGATCTACCAGTCGTGTGTCAAGTGCCATCTAATGCCTGCCCTGCCTTGTTGGCGTCTCCTTTGGTTGTTGGTGACGTACTCGTGGCCTACGACTTGCAACTTGCCAACCAGTTAAACGGTATGCAACCAGTCCAATCGTTTGACCAATTGATAACTGTCCTGCGCTGTGCTACGCTGCCAGTCACGCTGCGATTTCAATCACGGGAAAAAGAAATTCCTCAGAGAGTGGACGAGTCTGACGTTGTATGCAGCTACGTCTTTACATGGGAGGCCCATACGTCGCTAGGTGTGTCATTGGCCATGGATCCGTGCTCTTTACACGCTGCAATTACGACTATTAACTCCAACAAGATCTCACCGGCATTCCAGGACCTCAAGCCAAGGCTGGGCGACGTGTTGGTCGCTATTTCCCGAGACATTGATGACAGCGAAGTCACACGTCTCGATGAGATGCGCTTTGAAGACATCATTCTGACGCTGCGTCAGTTCCCGCGACCTTGTCGTCTTACGTTCGTGAGACTTATGGATGATACAGCTTCGGACTCGTCCGGACCGGAAGAGGATAAGGTGCTGTCCCTGGGTCGTCCGAAAGCGACTTCCTCTTCCAGCGACGAAGCAGCGGACATCTCGAAGCCTCCATTCCTGATGCGACCAGTGCAAGTGCTTCAGAAAACTCGGCTGAGAGATGATAAGCCTCTTCCACGAAAGGAGATCCCTATCTCGATGAGAAAGAGCTTCCGCATTGATAAGCCGGTGCCGAATCCGCTTTCGTCAGGCAAGAGTAGACCCCACACTGTTTCCACCATCTCGGAAGACGGTAGGTCTCGCTTTGAATCGAGCGCAGACAACAAGAATCATTACACGGTCATGTTCAGCGGGGGCGCCGCGGGTTTGCACCTTCGCGACTGCAGCCAGGACGACAAGAACCTCACGAAAAGCAATGACAAGACCAATCGAACGAACGGTTACGCGGTGGCAATTCGGAACGTGACGGATCCAAAGTCTGCCCCTGGTCTGGAGATCGCGATGGTGGATGATCTGCTCATAGCTATCGGCCAAAAGGACCTTCAGCATATGTCGTTCGAAGATGTGCGCAAGGAACTTGGCGCTATTCAAAGCCCCACGCAATTACTCTTTGAGAAGCGCAAACGCGTTGTGGGCAACTCTTCGGGCTCTTCCTTAATTGAGTCGCTGCTGCTCTTTCTTGTGTAACAAAGCTAGGGAATTACGCGATGCCGGTTGCTGTTGTGATAAAACACTTTCACGAAATCCACTAGTCCAAGCTGTCTCGATTATTCAATGAAACCGTCATAGTGCGATTGTATCGACAGTACACATGCTTTTCGACCAATGCAAGCACCTTATCAACAGCAACCACCACACATTACGTTGAGATGGTAAACGACATCTTCAAAATTCCGTTTGCCGCGCGAATTTTAAATGATATGGAAGCATGGAGAGAACTTGTGTCGATAGGATGTGAATCATCTTGTAGATTGCATAATTCCTTTCTCCACGTAAAATAACAACTTGCCTGCAACATCATCTCATCGCAGCCTTTTTGACTGTTAAACGGAATTTGCACGAGCGATCGGTCACTGTTTGAAGTGAGGGTCATGCCTTGTCGTCTGCGCCAACGAGTGTACCGACCAATACTAAGCGCGCTGCTTCTAAAGAAGAAGCTGTGGCTCAACAGAAGGTCGAAGATTCTTACTTTTCCGCCTCCGTGGGTTTAACCCCTACGTCTGATGTCTTGACTATTTATAATGGTGAGTCAGGCTCAGGCAAGTGTGAAATTTAAGCTCCATGACATCACAGACGACGCCACTAGGACACCGTCGCGAAGGAGGCTATGTAATAGCGAAGCTGATGCTTGTCATAGCGAAGATGATTCAGTAAAACAGCCATTGCAGCAAATCAGCTTCGCTATGACGCGTGCAAGAGATACTTTTGGGCGATGAATTATCCCCAATTTCTTCTCACCACGCTGTTCCTGCTAGTCGATCAGGACCTAGCAGAATGAATGCAGCTGATGCTCTTGCTCGTAAAGCAGACATAGCCCAGGCACGTTGGCTTGCAATGCGTCAACTGGTTCCCAAGAGTCAAAAGATTTCGGGTATCCTTTCCACTGGACAAGGATCTGAACCTTTTGCTTCGCATGGCGGTGGGATAACAACCTTCCAACAAGGAAGCGTGTGCTTTCACCTGCAAACACCAGCATATGTGGCGACGAATAGGAGCGGCGATTACGCCAAACTATTCGCGGCTGCCTACCCTGCCGTCGCTCAGACGCAGGCGGAGATCGCTGCGCTAAAGAAAGAGGTGGCTGATATGTCAACTTAAGTCTCGCGACTGACTTCAGATCTACGCTCTGTGAATGCGAGGGATCGTCAGGGGTATGACCGCCTGAAGACCCGTTTGGACATACACGAGCGACTGTTGATGAGAGACCCGCGTCCAACGCGGAGTCCTCCTCGATCACCGAGTCCTCTGTTGTCGGTCTTGTATACGGGAAGTCGTTCACCTTCACCGTCGCCTGATCGGCAACGATGCTCGACTTACAGTCGACGTCACCATCAGTCTCGTTATACTGATGCGGATGTGTGATCTCTTGTGGATCCACATACCGCTTCAGACGACCCGCGTAAAATTCGGGGTGCGTCTTCATATACGGTGGGAGAGTGAGCCTAGAATTTAGGTCTCCAACCTCCTCGACCACCGTAAATGGCCCAATGAATCAGGGCAATAGTTTAGTAGTACCACCAGGTAGTACAGAAATTGCATTTTTAGGTAGGGTAGCAGTACTTAGTAGCACTCTGTTTCCAACACTAAAGCGTTCATTGTTTTTGCGACCATGTTGGTCCGCATATTGGTTTTTTGCGCTTTCCATAGCGTCATAGACTTTTCGTGTGATGTCTAATCGCTCATCCACAACGCGCTGAGCTTTGCCTACAATTTAAGCATCCAGCTCGCCTATGACACCCCCGAGAGGTCGGTCATGGGTCGACGCTGTTAAAAACACGATAGTGTTATCGCCAAGTAGCACAGGCATTTTCTTGCCGTGCCTCCCCTGTGACACCTATAGGTGTCGTGACCTATGTTAAATTGACACTGTTACTAGGGCAGCTTTGGCTCTCTTTGGCATTTGCGACGAGCGAAGTGATATACTCCTACCACTAAGACTCGTCTGCGCTTTTACGATCCGCTTGCTACCCTAGCAGCCAAACACATGACGCCAAAACCCCGACGTAAAACGCGGATCCTGGTCCGATAATATGGACTCGGGCATCCCGTGTAGTCGATACACGTGATCCAGAAACAAGAGAGCAGCCTCTTTTTTAAGATCATGGTGCTACATGGTGCCAAATGAACCATCTTGCTCAGTCTGTCTACAAAGACAACGAGCCCCGTCCTGCCTTTATGGTCAGGCGGTCAACCAAACATGAAGTCCAAACTGACCGACTTCCAACATTTCGTTTGAATCAGCAGCGGCTTCAGTCGTGCACTGTTCGAAGGTGCAGGCTTCATGCGCTGTCACTCTTCGCAAGAGCGAATATAGTTGGCCACCTACCGGTATAGGTAAGGCTAACAAAATTCCTCTGACACTCGTAAGAATGTCTTTGCACGTCCCAGATGTCCACTAGATGGCGCACCATGGCACTCGTGAATCATCATCAGCTTGAGATCTGTGTCATGAGGGACATAGATTCCCAAGGGATCACCAGGTGACAGTTGATGCCATAACAGGCCATCACTGGGACTAAAGCAATTAAGCTTCGCTTTCAGGTGCGACGGAAGGGTAACCTTTCGTCCACCAAAATGATCCAACAGCAGGCGACAATGCCGTCCTGACTGTAGCACTTTTTACATCGGAGGACATTGAGATCGTCACATAGTAGGCTTTTATGGCTACGACTCAACTTGTGATTTTGCACGAGACACACTTTCCTGGCGCCTTGCCTCGAAGTCTGATCTGCGCGATAACGCGTCAGCCAATACATTCGACTTTACCGGCTTATATTCAACTCTGAAATTAAATTCAGAGAAGAATGTTATCCACCTCGTCATTCTTTGGCGAGGGGTGCGTTGAATTTATAGCGGACCTCAGTGATGCGTGATTCGTATAAACCACAAAAGGTTCGGTACCCAAGAGGTGCACCCGAAACTTTACAAGGGCATACTTAATTGAAAGTAGCTCCTTGTCATGCACAAGGTAGGTAATTCAGCTCTGCGGCTTTTAATAGCCGATACTGATAAGAAATGACACGTTTATTGCAAATTGTCATCCTTCTGCATGAGCGCGCTGCCGATTGCAAAACTGCTTGCATCGCAGACGACGCAAAAAGACTTATCCGCGTCCGGCAATGTCAAGACCGGTGTCTCTACAAGAGATTGCTTTACTGACGTGAACGCATCTACTTGCTCCTTAGACCAAGTACATGCTGCATCCTTTTTTAAAAGGTCAGACAATGGCTTAGTTCGCTCCGCATAATTCTTTCTGTACTTATGCAAGTAATTAGCGGGCCCAAGGAATTGTCACAGATCCTTCACGGGTCGTGGGACTGGCCATTCCTTTACAGCCTTTACCTTTTCTGGGTCTGCTTGTACACCGTGCGCACCTAAGATGCAGCTCAGAACAGGTATCTCGGGGACCCCTATGAAGCACTTTTGCAAGTTCACGTATAATTGGGCGTCACCCAGAGTCTGCAACACAGCGTCTAAATGACGCTTGTGCGACTCTATCGCGCTCAGACCATCCTCCGACCTACTATGCACAAATACGTCGTCAAAGTAATGGGGCGCGTAGGCACGGTGCTGACGCATCACTCGGTTGAATGTTGCCGGAGAATTTTCCAACCCTTGTGGCATCACAAGCCACTCACACAGCATACCGCTTGGGGTGCTTACTGCCGTTTTGGCTACATCGGTATCTCTCATGAAAACTTGATCCTTCGGATCCAACGCGGAAAAGATAGTTGAGTTTCCCGTGGAGATTAAAACGACATCTTTCCGCGGGATCGGCGTTTGAGCCGAAATGATGTCCGTGCCTTCAGCTTGTCATAAGCATGAACCACGCGTCATTCACCTGTTGCTTTACGCACACAGAAGGTCGGGCTGAAGTGAGGCGACTTGATCTCACGTACATGTCCCGCCTTAGCTTGCTTGTCGAAGAACTCATCGATGTAATTGACTTGTTCCTTCGGCAACGGCCATTGCCTGGTCACACAATACTTGGTGCCAGGTTCCAGGTTCCAGGTCAATCTCGTGCCTGATGCCCCAATCGGCCGGTAGGCGGCTCAGCACTTCTGCTGGAAACACATCACGGTGTTTCCACCGAGTATAATAGAAAGGGATACCTTCAAGGTATCTCAGCCTTGAGCAGCGAACCGTTTATTATTGTCGGTCTCCAAGATGCTCTCATCCATCGTGGATGAAGAGCAACAGTCCACCACGTTTTCTTCTGGAACTGGTGCGACTATCTCGTGGATCTTTCCTTCCTTTAGTTCGGACAGGAACAGATCCTACGTAATCTGTGAGAGATTTACTATCTCCTCGGCTGATGCCAAGACAAGTTAGAGCACCTCGACTGAGGATGCCTCCGGCATTTTGTTTTCGACGATCTCGAACAACTCGTTCATAGGTCCGTCTTCTTGGGCCGAGACTGATCCAAGGGTCACTCGTTTCGACGTGCCCTTAATCGTCTTAATACATCTAATGCTCGTTCTTCGAGTCACCACGACCTTTGACCTGGAAGAAGGTGTCGTTGCTATCTCAGCTAACGCACTCCTTCCAACCGAACCAGGCTCTTGGCTCTGTGCCGGTTCTTGTGGCGCTTGACTTCCTGTCAGCCCGCCATCAACTGCCACAGGCTCTCGTCTCTGTGCAGGACTATTGGACGCATGACTACCTGTCATCGCCCCATTCACTACACCAGTCTTTTCGACCTGGGTAGAAATATGTGTCACCTGGTTTTCCACCAGTGCACTCACAACTATACCACTCTTTTCGAGCTGGGTAGTTCCTGGTGCCGATTGATATACCGTCATCGTACCCTCGACTATGTTGGACAAAGCATCAATCGCATAAGCCTCTCGCAGGAGCACTTCCTTTTCGATGTCCCGAGTAGAGTTAGCGATTGTGCGTGTACGCCAGTCTATCCATGGTTTGTATTTAGCCAACCAAGGCATGCCTAGTATGAGGTCATACGGACTCTCCATACCTATCACTGTGAACTTCTATTTACAAGAGAAGTCACTGAAACTGAAGGCGAGTTCAACTTGAACTCCCTCCAATTTTACGAGCGCGCCGTTCGCTATGAGAATTGTCGCCTTGTCTCGCTTGCCATCCTGACAAAGCGACTCATAACTCGGCGGACTCTTTTCCAGAGCCGCGAGTTTCGCATAATTCTGTGATGCACCCGAATAAAAGAGAAGGGTCATCACTTGGTCATTAGCCTCGTATTCGAGAGCTATAGACCAAAAGGGTTGAGGTCCGACCTTTCGGTACCTCAGGGACTATGCTACCTATTTTTTCGATCACTCTGAACTAGGGGTAGCGTTATAGTCCGCGACAGTAGGGCATCCCGGTACCTACTGCTCTATCACATTTCCCTACCGATCTTGTGCAGATGCTGAACTTTTGCGTTACGCAAGCTGGTTATTTGCACATCATTTGGGTGGCAAAATCCAATTTTCAGTCCTTGTATTGCTCCACTCCGCTGAACTTTTCAATCATCAACTTTGAGTCTCAAGCGTTGGGCACGTGATGTTCACCAAGACCCGGCAAACAGCCAGGGTCTGCGTACGGCGTTTTGGGCTGTCCTTGTTGATGATGCGCCTGAGCTTGATACGCTGCTTGCACTTGGGCTGCCGCTTGTGCTTGCAACGCGGCTTGTGCTTCCGGCGCACCTTGATTAACCGCGCCTATGCTTCGACGCGCCGGTAAAAGCATCCAGCTCCGAACGGTCCCATGCCATACAGTACGTTGATCTGCATTGGAGTGCACCCTAGCGCACTGCCGCCATCAATTGAGCGACGAAAACCACTTACTACAAATGAAGCTTGCGCCAAGTTGCGCCCATTCGTTTGTCGCCCAGGTTGTGCATGTTGCATGCGTGGCGAGATAGGCGAACCGTTTGACACGCTTACACTAGCTCTTTCGATAGTGTCCATGCGTGTCTCCAACCGTGTGAGTGCTGCGAGCACGCGGTCCATATTTGACAGTGACGTCTCCTGGTCAGCGTCGCTCCTTTCGCGAGCGACTCCTCCGGTCGGGGGTGTTCGTACCTCGCCGACAGGATGCTCAGACCCGTCGCTTGGGCTTATAATCTCTTGAATTGGAATGACCTGTGCACGAGAGAGGAATTTTGAGATATATTCCTGATCATAGCAACTCGCATTTGATCTTACTTCGTGTTGGTTTCACACGACTGTTGAATAGAATCATCCGAAAGTATAACTGCTCACGCGGCTACTCTCAGGGGTCAGCCAGCTCCGCGACTGTTCACCAATATTTTCAAGACTAACATCATCTTTTTAGGATCCTACGAGAATGTCAAGGGTACCTGAAACCCTCCAAGGTCATGGCTTGACGATCCGTGAGCTTGGATGATGTGACATAAGCAGCATATTCAACGTTCAGATGAAGAAGAGTGTGTTGTTGCACAATTGGTGAGGGACCTACGATCTTGGTGAGGGAGTAAGAGATGGTGAGGGAGTAAGAGAAGCAGCCTACAGAGGTTTTCTATGTGTACGTTTCTATGTTTTTAGGATTACGGTCAAATAATTCAAGAGATCTTTTTCCTGAGATATATACACTTTTCCTTTTTTACCCCTTAAAGACTAATTAAACTTTCCCGAGCAACTTTCTTTGGCATTAACACGCCACATTTTTCGTGTAGTTTTTGTTCAGTGGATCCCCTAAGTAGGTTTCTCGTGTTCACGACTAAGTTACGCGGGGCTTTTCCTTCAAACATCCATACGGCACTCACATGATCCAGGACCTTGATATTAGAGCTAATGTATACGATAAAGTACCTTTTGAGCTTATGAAGGTCAAATGGCACTCAACAGTCGAGAATGACGTGTCAGGCAGAATTTGAAACAGGGAGACTATTCCGCGTAGACTAATATACCATTAATAAACCTTAGAGATAAATTTGATTTATTGCTAATAATTACTACTGATACGCTCATCTTAAACATAACGGAGCGAAAAAATGACTAAAATTATACCATCTCATTGCTCATTGGTTAAAACCTTCTCCAGAGAAGCGAATTCCGTAAATAATCCAGAGAGCCAAGAAGTCGAGGCGATAGTAAAATGCCGAGCAACGAAGAGAATGTCGCACTCCATGCATCGAACCCCAACATCATAAGTACAAGTGCATTACCATCTCCATCTAGAGCTCGTCTGCTTGCATCTGCTGGATTTGGCAATGGTCCTACTGCACCTGATGAAGCACATGCCGTCCGTCTAAATGTGCTCAATAGTAGCGTTCAAGAAGCCCGTGAAGCGCGTAATTCGCGTCTTATTATAGGGGCAATCTCATTGGTCAATTTACCCCAGATCATTGCTGCTGCTGTCATTTTAGCGTCATCATGGCAAAATGAGACGTTGTGCTTCCGGATTCAAGTGTGGGTTTTACTTCACACGATCCACTTAACACTCACTTTGCTGCTCGAATGGGCACTTTACTATTTAAATCTCGCACGCAGTAACAATGCGATTCGTCTTCGAGAGAAGTACATGACTATCTTGAGTCAAGTCAAGTACGGACTTGATCTGGCTGGTCTCTTTTGGTTCCTAGTGGGCAATATGTGGGTCATCAGTGACAGTGCTCGTTGTAATGACGGGTCTGCAATGTACCAATTAGCATTATGGATGATCATCATTTCCTATGCCAAGATTTTTCTGCCGTGTTTGCTGCTACTGGCGTTATTGCCGATCCTATGCTTCTGTCTGCCTTGTGTCATTCGACTCCTCAGCAGATTGCAGGACCCCATGAGAGGAAAAGGGGCCACCCAAGAGGTGGAAACTGTATTTTGTTTATTTTGCTTTTGTTTCGTACTGACGTTTTGTTTTTTACTTGATGTAGCTCATCGACCAGTTAGAGACCAAGACGTACACGAGCAACATGTTCCCGCCCGAAGATGCATGCTGCTGTATTTGCCTGAATACTTACGAAGCTTCACAGTCCTTGCGTGTGCTACCGTGCGCGCACCATTTTCACAAAGAATGCGTGGACGAATGGCTTTTAGTGAATTCGACGTGCCCAACCTGCCGCAAATCCATGTTTGACGCAGGTTTAGGCGGTCCCATGGCAACAAGCGAGGAAGACATGCTGCAGCGTGTGTAATGACGAAGACTTTTTACCGCCGCCAGATATTCTCAGTTTATTGGTTAATGATTATGTAGACTTTTGATTACACGGTGGCTGATGTGAGCTTCTACTTTCCAAAATAGCCATTCCAAGAAATTCGGCGGCATTTGAAGAGCAATGATATATGCCAGTTCGTCGTCGCCATAGCGTGCTTGCATTAACGCAATAGATGTGCGTAGCAGGTACTCACCAGATTTTAATTAGTGTAGGCCTTTTGGTGCAGATACTACAACGACCACAGCACAGTCCGAAATATCGTGTTCCTACAAGCTTCTTTTGCATATCTGTTGAGACTAATGTTATTGTGCTCGTCGTAGCAAAGTCATGATTACCATCGATCTAGATCAGGCTTGGATATTTTTAATATACTTCAATACTTTGTGGTGAGAACGTTCTATTTGAAGGGTCTGTACAGGCATGTTAGAAATAAGTATCAAATGCAGGCAACAACTTTACATCTATAAACATAACAAAAAAATTTTAAGATACATAAAAATTAGAAAGAGAATTAATGAAGATGAGCTTTTTTTAGAGATGAGGTTGTAATCGAAAAATAAACTCCTAAGGGGATCAGCTGTTCTGTAAACTAATATACATGCCACTTCTTTCTATCCATGTCACGTAGCTTCTTGCCGTGGTAATTAGATGGCAGCTCAGCTTTATTCAATGTAAAGAGTTCCGGTCAGAAGTCGCGCTCGAAGACACCAGATGGAATACGCGTAGTGCCAGCCTAGTAGCGGTCAGCGTACTCCGTTTTTTCTTGGTTTTTATTTTGTCATGCGTATAGAATACGCCGTGGTATGTATTTTTTCTTATCTCTTGGTACATTTATCGTGTAATATAAGCTTTAACCTTTTTTATAGTTCTTTTGATTAACAACTTCTTGTTGAAAATAATCGTCACATGTCTGAAGATAATATAAATTTGTGACCTCTGGTGCAGTCGTCTGTATAGGTGTCATCATCCTTTGTGATATCACGGAAGCTGGGGCTGTTTGAAGGAGAGATAGTAAATATTGTAAGAACCAGCTCCACGTCTCCTTATTTCCATTAATACTAGCCCGACTTTACTTATTTTGAGTCTCGTTATTTTCATAAACATGCCACAAAAGTATCCCATCGACTGAAGTCGTAAATGTGCCATTCACGAATATCTCATGGTCACTGTATAACTTATGCGCTTGCATCCCTTCTCGAGAATTATGCTCAATTGCCTGAATTTAACATTTACAATTTCAAGCTTGGCTTTGTGACCTGGTTAAAACGAGGTTGTATTGCTCAATGCATTTCCAAATAGCTTAAGCTTTACCTTTCCCGAGCGTACACACATGTAGTGTAGTGCGATCGCAATATTTGCGGATGCGATCACCCCAGTCAACACTGGCGCGCACACGACCGACTACGAAGGGGTACCAAAACTTTTGGCGCGCAACTACGCTTGTGCGATACATACAATAATCATTGCAATGGGTCCACATTATTGAAAAAAATCACGCCCGCATAAGTTTGTCATACGATCAAATGCCCTTGTCACTCACTGACTTCACAGGCGGTCATCATCCCCCAAAAAGGTCTCTTACCACGATATCTCTTTCGTCGAACAATATTCTGTCCCTTGAGCTGCAACGACATCTTCGCCTCCAAGAGCTTAGTAAATTTGGCCTCACATATTTAATAACAACCGAGCCTGGACGGTCGCTTTTATATTCATGCTGCGTAACATTGCCGCTATAAAATCTACAAATTTATATCGTGGCAACAATTGCATTTTTATAATCGATTTTCTTAATTTTTTTAAACAGTTTTTATATATTTCTTTAGCTACTAACCTCTCTAACCGTTTAATGGTTTTAACTCGTTTAAACTCGTTTTACACTCTGTAGACAATCTACCACGCTTATAGCAAGATAATCTAGGTAAGTTTACGTCTGCATGCTAGGTTTAATTACTGAGTAATAAGTGGTATTAGTTTTAGGGAAGCGTTAAATATCCCACACCTTTTTGTTATTGGCCCACACTCCCAATTTTAATTGGTCAATATGTTTTTTCGCCCTTTTTAAAAGTAGAACGAGATCGTCAATATTGATGATCACTTTACCCATTAAAACCACAACGAACAGCTTTGCACCACCTCCACAGCTTGCATATGCTTTGTTGAGTGAAAACTATATTGAATATAAAACATCTGACAGATTAGGTTTAACACATCCCTGGGTACTTGCGTGGCTAAAATATGTAGAAAGTCGTCGATGCCTAAACATTGTCAAGAATGTCATTTTTTGCTGCAGCTCTTCGATCTTTGGCCCTTAAAGCAAACAATTGTGGTCACATTTTTCTCATCTCTTCACTCTAGTCATTTGTTGATGCCAGAATGAGACGGCTCCCTGTCAGCAACGGGTTGTGCCCTTCTGACTGCTGGTTGTTGATTGTTTCTTGAAATATTTGCGTTGGTAGACATTGGTTGATGCCCGTTCTTCACAATTTATCCTATTTAGCTGCTGTTCTTGATAGCGACCGCTCAGAGTTGGCAAAGAAGGACTTGTTTTATGTACATTGATGGACTTTCCTCCATATGTACGCTCCTGTTCCGTTGAATCCTTCACATGATCACGCGGACGGACCAAGCAATACACCATCTCCTCTTCCAGGCCCGGCCGACTACGGCTGCTGTGTCTGGAACATGCACTAGGTATCTGTCCGCAATCGGTGCAACACTACGACATTCTTCAAATTGTACTTAGCATCACGTTACAATTCATTATAATCCATAGCCAACATGTCAACCCTTTCTTAGTACCCCGCAGTGTAAGAAAATATATAAATTCACCATTTCACGCGGTACTGTCACTTTTAAGTGATTGAGCTTGTGTCGAATCCGCTTCGACTAGGGCAAATCTAATCTGAATATCAGCTGCTCTCGATCTTGTGATTTGTTTACCTCGTGCTACACACGCTTCGTTATCTAATCTAGCAATCGGAATCTGCGGCACACCCATCCACGATGAATTTCAAACCATTCGTGCTTATATAGCCAGAAAATCTCTTGTGACGGGTGAAAGGACCCGTCTGCACGAGCTGTAGACCTCGAAAGTCGATGAATGTATCGTTCGTGGCACTCTCATTGTTCACTGGAGACGTTGCACATTTCTTTTTATTCCAGTTTCCACCATCTTTTCGCCAAAGATGACCCCTCCTGCCAAGTCCTGCAGCGACAAAGTCAAAGAAGCTCTAATTAAGCATTGGACAGTACCCGACAAGAAACGGCCCGCGGAGCAAGACGCAGCCGAGAAATATCTGCTCACCGTCTGCATCTTCGGCAAGTACATGACGCTGCCGTGGATCAAATTCAAGCGCTGGTATCTCTTGGTGACGAGTTTCTTGGTGCAATTCTGCATCGGTGCGATCTCCTCATGGTCGGTACTTAACAATCCCATTGATGTGCTCATCTACGGCAAGAAGGACAAGGGCATGGCGGTCAACGCCTTTTACATCTCTGTGGGTATGCTAGGTACCACGACGGCCATCATGGGTCCGTGGCTTGAGCGCAATGGTCCTCGAGCTGGTATGGTGCTTGGTACGACATCGTTTCTAATCGGGTGTATTATCAGCTGCATCTCGTTGCACGCCAAGTCAATTGTCGGTCTCTACATTGGCTACGGGCTATTTTGCGGCTTTGGGAACGGTATATGCTACACTTCGCCCGTGTCGGCCCTGCAGAAGTGGTTTCCGGATTACCGCGGTGCTGCTGCTGGCTTTGCTGTAAGTGGCTTTGGGGTCGGGTCGGTCGTGTGGGCCAAGGCGTACCTCCCCATCATCGCTTGGACTAGCGTGCCCGACCTGTTCATCGTCACTGGATGTGTTATGGGAGTCATTTTGTACAGTTGTGCTGTTTGTCTGCGCAACCCGCCCTCTTCGTTCCACGTGGGTGGACTGAATATACATGGTGAAGTCGTTTACGAGACGCAGGAGGAGTCCTTTCAGCGCGGCGAGAATGTGAGTATTAGGTCTTCGCTCAGGTACGAGTCAGCCACGAACCTGGCCGCTCAAGAAGAGGAGGACCCGAGCACGAACGATAGTAAGGCCCAGGTGAAGAAATTGACTCTCATCCAGTCAATGACGTCGCCCGACTTCATATGTATGTGTATCATGTTCTTTGGCAACCAGCTTTATGGGCTCATCGTGCTGTCCAAGCTCTCCACTATGTCCACCACGCTCTTCGGCAAGACAGCCGCCCAAGGTGCGGACATCGTGTCCATCAACGGTCTATTCAGCTTTGTCGGGCGACTAGTGTTCCCTCTCATCTCGGATGTGATCGTGCGCGTATTCAACGTTGAGCATGCATTCGCGCGTAAATGCCTCTTTCTCTACGGAGTGATCTCACAGATCGTTATCATTGCTATCATCCCGACGCTGATCCGAAATGACAGCTACACAGTCTTCGCGGTCCTCGTATTTCTGCTGACGTTGTCGTATGGTGGCGGTTTGGGCACGATCCCGTGCTTCCTGACAGACATGTTCGGTGCCTTCAACATCGGTACCTTGCACGGCTTAATCTTGTGGGCGTGGTCGCTTGGTGGTGTGGTGGGCGGACTGGTCTTTAACGCCAAGTACACTGCGGCTATAAAGAACGGTGCCACACCCGAGGACGCGTACATCGACAGCATCTACAAGATTCTGATTGTGGTGTGTGTCACAGGTAGCTTCGTTTTTATGGTGCGCACGAACCCACGCGACCGATTCGAGAAGGGATACCACCACAGTCTGTTTGGCAAGCGTGTGATCAGTATCAAGCCCAAGGATACGACCGTGAATCAAAATGGCTCAATGCAAAACGAGGTCTAAGATGACATGTTCATCTATTGTGAATAGCTAGCTCTCATTACTAAATTGATAAATTGGGGGCATTCTAAAGCTGCTAGCTAAAAGTTATAATGTAACAGGGTATCTAGTTACACGTAAACATTGAGTAATATACTTAATGTAAGGTCTAAAAGTATCCATGATTATTTTTGACCTGTCACTTGGGTGCGATACACAAACGTAAACCAACCTCGTGAATGTGATGTCCATTGATGGATTCACATGGAAAGAGATGACGCTAGTTGAAGCTAGGCATCGCGACGTCCCAAAAGGACGTCATTATGTATGTATGTGAACGCTTTACGCGAGCCGTCTTGCCACCAAAGTGGCTCAACTTCCGCATGCGTCGGGTTATCTCTCTCTTTCTACAATTCTCTCTCTTTCGGCCAGGGTCTATCAAGCGGCGTGCACTACAAGCGCCTCGGTCAAGTCCTTCCAGGCTGCACGATCCTGTGCACAAAGGCGAAGGAGGTTAGGTCTGGGGCGCGTTGAAGGTGATGTCCTGCGGAAAGTGTCTGAAGGTCGGCATCGAGGACCATCGGTAACGTTAGGAGGCGTCTGCCTCTCCATTTGCCGGCCTCGCTGGGGCTGAGGAAGGCTTCCATGAATCGGTATGCTGGAATTTCTGCAGTTCTGCGGAGGATGTGGCCCAAAAGGCTCCATCGACTGCGAAGCAAGTGGAATCGGAGTGGCTGCGTCTTCGTACGGTCGTAGAGCTTCTCATTCGAAATCGTGGCTGGATTACGGACTCTGATCACTTTGCGGAGCTGTTGACGATGGAAACTCTCGAGGCTACTTAGTACGGAATCGGTGAGGGCCCAAGTCCCGCAGTTGTAAAGCAGGATCGGCAAGACGTAGCAGTTGTAGAGGCGCAGGCGCGTAGCTTCCGAGGTCTTCGATGGCCAAAGCCTAACTTTCCACATGCGGTGTAGTGCAGCAGTCTCTACATTCTTGCGACGGGAGACGTCTTCGGCGTCTGCAACAACCGCCAAAACCCGCTATCGGAAGCGGCATCCCTCACCTCAAGGTCCGGGAGCAACG